GCAGCCACCGTTGTCCAGCGAGCAGAAAATACTTGAAAAAAGCTCCCAATCGGCGCAATCTATGCACGGATTCGCCAGGCGGAAAAATTAATCAAAGCTCTCGTATGCGCGCGACGTATACGGCAACTGGTTCTCGATAAGGCACACGCGCGTACCTACGTGTATATAAAATCTCTCGCAGCCATTATATATACAATAATAAAGGCGACTTTGAGAGGCTATTAATTAAGGGTAGCTAAAACGTTTGTTGTTGCACGTACGCAACGAAAATAGCACCGACTCGAAGTTGTGTTCCGCTCTCGGCTTCTATATACTGCGAGCGGAGATACAACTCGACGTCGCTTATTGAATTACGACGTCGATTAAAAATAAATCAGTAGTCGAGACATTTTTAATCGTCTATACGGAAAACTTGAAATTCTTCGAGATAACTGATAGAACTCGTGCGTATGTGTACATCGAGCCCGTAGAGAAACATGTTTCACCTATTGCCAAAGAAATTATTAACCCATCAGTTTTGTAGCTCAGTGCGCTTGCCGAACAACATATTTAATGTTTCAAGTGTCCAGTCACGGTATTGCGAAAGAAAAATGTAACGTATTGTTAAGGTGAATCAAAAGTGGCTGCACGTGCGCTGCGCCGAAGCTTAGCTCCAGGGGGCGTAAGATCGTTTCGATCAAGCGCACCTAGGCACGCACGTGAGCAAATATAAGTTCGTAGTATTATATATAGCAGCTACTGAGCAGTAGAACAAGTCGATGTTAGTCGGTCATTATTATTTAGTCGCGGCCTGGCTGCTGCTCGATGATCGCGTGCGGGAGGCACAAGAGCGAATCATTAGTTAACCGTATTTTTTAGCTCTTCTTTTTTTTTCTCAAGAGAGCGAGAGAAAGAGAGAGATTGAAACAATGACTCGGAGCGATTGTATAACAGCATTCCGCTGGCGAGTCCAAAAAAGAAGACTGCTGCATCACGGGATGGGTTTGCTCGACTCTGGCCGTTCGATGACTCGATCGTTGCGTCGACTCGCCGTGCAAGGGTGAGCCATGCGAGCAGCTGCATATCTGCCCAAAGGAGCCAGGCAAGGATCACTGCTTCGATCTTTCGGTGCACGGCTCTCGCATTCACTTAGTCAGTCTCTCAAGAGCAAGGACACGTAATATAATGTACGACGAGGCGCACAGCGATCGCTCGAGTTGGAAATGCAGTTGGCTCAAGACCTTGACCCTCGATTCGGCAGCTCTGTAGGATATAGTTGGGCCGTGGCGCGAGCCGCAAAACCGCGCCGAATCGACGCGCTTATTTTTTTAATACGCATACATTACAGGAAGGCGCATTATAACCCGACTGATTTGGCATGTACGGTTATAAGCCGTTAATGTATGCTGCTCCATCAGTCCCACAGTCAAGGAGCTTTACTTTACTTTTTTTTTCTTTCTTTCTTTCTTTCTTTCTCTTTCTCTGCTTTCCTCCGGGAATGTACTCTTTCGCTCTATAACGGAACGCGCCGTGTTTGTACTGTGCGTTGAGCGTATGTGCGGCGTCGTGCATGTGCAGCAAGCACGCGCCACTTCCGAGCTGCTTCTTCGCGCCTTTTCGATAAGAATACGCCTTTTTTTTAATGTCGCGTATCGAGAGTGCTCCTTGCGACTCGGATTGGATTTTTATGTACGAGCCTCCGACCCCTGCGCAAGAGAGAGAGAGGAAGACGGACAGAGAGGTTGCTGACCTATATTTTTGCGAATTTTCAGTTTTATCAAAATTAGCGTTTTGTCGCATGCACCTTTGATGGACATATTTAAACGCCTTACGGCATTTTTATACTCAGCGTCAGCTGGAGAAAGATTTTATTTTCAAAACTAATATAAGTCAGGAACGTTTCGGTCGTATCGTTGAATACCCCGGCCGATAAAACGTCGTTCGTCGACTGCATGTATACCCGAGAATTCTTCTTCCTCTGCTCTCTCGGGGTTTTTTCGCGAACCGCAAGAGATAAGAAATTATCCGAGCGAATTCCGAGGAAACATATTTCATGCATGTATAAAGTACACCGAGCGGCGGCAATGGTCGACATAATAGACGAAAATTCGCAAATTAAATAATTGTAATCGACGCCGTAATAAAAAGATTTTCAACCACATTCCACGCAGGCCTACGGCTCGCCGGGGCTGGAATTTTACGATATTACGATGCGAAATGGTTCGATATTAAAGTCGAGAGGCAACGTCGTCGTCGACAACACGGGCGGTGACTATTCGCGATCGTTTTGCAGCTCCTTTTTCAGATGTACGCAGATACGCAGCGCATACACCTATATATAGCGCGCCCAAGTACTTTATAATAATGTATTTGTAAACACCTCTCGTTCCTACGACGCGTTCTCTCTCGTGTAAGTACGCTCGACGAAACAGCGAGGCTTCTTCGCATTTTTCCCCTCATTCCTGCTTTTGTGCGTTCAGAGCACTGCAAAGACCGCGACGATATAAATCAGTCCCTTACGCGCTAACCACCCGTTCGGCGCGAGCCACCGAAAGCTTTGATACGTTTAAAAGCACCCGCGATAATGATCGCGGAGCGCCGACGTATAGCGACCACGATAAGGTGCATACGTACATGCATAGCGATCGTAACGCCGTGAAATTTTTCGCCAATTTACGCGGCTGATCGCGAGCAAGATAGCGCTTTAATCGCGTGCCATTATTCCTTTTTTAATTAATTTGTCCTTTTTCGCTTTGATTTTACGAGAGTATACGAGGTATTACGCACGGAAGCAAGGTATTACAATTTTGACACGAGATAATGATGTCATCGCCGTTCGGTTTATATTTAAAATGCGCGATGATTTACGCCTGCCTGCCTCTCGTAGCGCGTCGCGGCTGCAAATGTACCTTGTAAGCAGATTACACGCGAGAATTACAGAAACGACAACGTGTTTTTTCATCCACCGGAGCCGTGCATTCAAGAGAGGAAGCCCAAAATTCTCGAGGTGTGCTTGTGCGCACTCGAGCGAACATCGCTATAGAGGCCTCGATTTTCTCTCCTGGCTTGACAGCTGCGAAAAAATCGTGTATTTTTGACACTGCACGTAAGAAAAAATTTCATAACTTTGCGTGTAATCAGTCAAAGCTTACATTCGCTGAATCATCGGTATGCGCGCCCCAACCATCTCAAATCAGTCGACGCGTTCCGACGTTATTTAATACGAATCTATACGTGCGCTATGTTATCGTGCCCTTTCGTGCGCTCGCACGCAACTATAAAATCATGAATCATTCACTCGCACGAGGGTCTATTCCGGCGAAGAAAAATATAAACTGCTTCGGAGCAGAGCGAGACGACTCGAGAGTTAGATTGATCTTTAAAAAAAAAGTAAACGAAGCGAGCATTCAAAAGCAATGTGGCAATTGCATGTAATTATCACCTCGACAATAAAAATTCCAATGAGAAAATCTGCCTGCGTTGCGATGGAATGACAGCTACGATCGCATAACAAGCCGCGACTAGTCTCGCGCGAAATGCCTAATTTACGCTACCACTATGGCAGCAGCGCAAAGCGAATAAATAGGTGTAAAGTATAAAATGCAAGCTTAGACCCGAGCCTGCAGTGTCCGCGAATAAATATATGCCCGTATAACGCGGCGTAATGATTATGGCGATACGAGGCGCGACGTCGTACCGGTTATTACAATAACATTTCGCGCACGCACAGTCGAGATTTGTTAATGTCCCTCTGGTTACATGGCAGAAAGCCTCGTACCACTAGCTAGGATGGCCTCGACCTTCGATAATCCGCGTAAAGGATACCTCGTCGCTATCATCGTGTTGGTGTGCATTCGCCCGAGCGCGTGTGCATCTCGTTGCAATGTGTGCGTGTACGTGTGTGTGTGTGCCGATATTTTTTTTGGTCCAGAGAGAAAGAGAGACGAAGAGAAAGAGAGGAAAGAGAAAGAGAGGAAGAGAAGAGGAGCTTGGAGCCGGGGCAAAGAATCGCAGGATACGAAGAAGCTGCTTCTGCATTGGACGCGAGCACGGAGCCCCGAGGGTGGGGGCAGCCCTATGTAAGCCCTGGGTCAGACCCATGGACCGCACATCTTCGGTCGAGCCGTTGAACTGAGAATCCCCCGAGGACTCTCTGTCCGATTCGCGAGTCAGCTTTTTTCGAGCAGCCTAGTCTATATAAAAGTACGGTAGTGCGACTCTTCGGCACATTGGTTTTGGATTTTGGAGCTGCTTCGAGAGGACATAGAGAAGAAGAAATAAGAAGCAGAAAAGGATAACGCGAGTCGCTATGAAGTTGTTCGTGATCGCGTTGTGTCTGTTCGTGGTGGTGTCGGCCCGCGGGCCAAAGCGCGGCCGAGGAAGACAGCTTCGACGCCAGGAAGGTAAGTGTCTATATACTTTGCCGCTTTGCCGCTGCTATGCGCGAAAAGCTCCCCGAGTAAAAGCCACGCGCGCGCGCAATTCGAAGTCAATTTTTTCTTCTCCGCTTGGAGTTGCTAGAGCTGAAATACGGTGAAAATTTAACGGTCCTTTCTTGTCGAGTTGCTTTAGTACACGCTGTCAAGTAGTAGCTTCTGGTCGGCGCGTATGTACGCGGCAACGTTTCGTTAGCGGAGCTTTATGTAGTACTGTTCGAGCGCTGGGCTCTATTCAATGCTAATCAGGCCGCGGCCAGTCAGTCGAAGCGTACCGGATCGCCGCCGCTTGTTCGCCTTTATCGGAAGCTCGGGTCTACAACTAATGCACGACTTAGCCTTGATGCCATTTTTTCCTTTTTTCGTTTACCGCTATACGCGTTGTTGAGATTGTTTCATCCTCTGAACGCTTTTCATTTATTTCGAGTACTTTTAATCTAGTTATCCTCTCTATTGAAATTAATTATAAAAATATTTATAACACGAAGAAAAGATTTTCTTGGCTATAGCAAAATAATTGAAAGTCTTTTATTAAATTACTTATATTTTTCAATGCTCGATATGCCATTTAAAAATGTTTCGCAGCACCTGTAGCAGAGGCTTTTATTTGGGAACCTCCATCGAACTACGGTAACGTAGTTCCCGTTGCTCACGTCGAGTCTCGACAATACGGAGGACAACAGGGCGGCTACCCAGGCCAGGGCGGATATCCAGGCCAGCAAGGCGGTGGCGGCGGTTATCCCGGCCAAGGTGGAACGGGAGGCGCAGGTGGAGGCGGTCAGGGCGGTTACCCCGGTCAAGGTGGTGACGGAGGCAGTGGTGGAGCCGGCGGTTCCGGAGGTTCGGGTGGATCCGGCGGTTCCCCTGGTTCTGGAGGTTCGGGTGGATCCGGCGGTTCTGGCGGCTCCCCTGGTTCCGGTGGTTCCGGAGGCTCGGGCGGCGACGGAGGCGACAACGAGATCCCCCGACCGCTGCCGGGCAAGCCCAGCAAGCCCCAGAGACCCCCGGGCTGTCTGGCCGATCGCGGCCAGTTCCCCAGCTCCAAGAGCTGCGGCAGCTACATCAACTGCTGGGACGACGTGGCCATCGAGCAGAAATGCCCGAGCGGACTGCTGTTCAACGAGAAGCGCCAGTACTGCGACTTCCCGTACAACGTGAATTGCGGCAACAGGCCCAAGCCGTCGCAGAGTAAGTGCTGTTGATTTCTGTTTATTCTGTTGGCCTTCCATTAACGCGACGAGAGGCTCTCGCGAGCGCCGCATGCAAATGTGTTAATGTAATTACCACCGCGAGGAGTGACAAGTTTTGCTGGCCGCATATTGTCCGCTACGTGCTTGCTCTTGAGATTTGCATATCATGCGAATGGATAAGATAGAGGGAAAGAGAAAGAAAATACTCGGGGCCGTGTTGTTGCACGACACGATCGTCTCGACAACGTTTTCGAGCGGTTTCGCGATAAAATAAAGACAAAACGATGTCGCAGTCGTCGTTGGCCGAGCGACGTCTCGCTGCCGATGTGCTCGAGTAACGATCTCGATATCGAAATGACCCTTGCGAGCAGCACGATCTGATTATTAATCACGGCTGCTAACGAGCAAGCGACGCGAGCACCGACTAACAAAGAGGAATCGTTTTTCATATTTGAATAAAGCGCGGCGCGTTGAAAAAAAATAAAGCAAATACCTACGTTCGAGCACGAAAACAGAATATTCCGATCTGCACGTGAATAGCCGCGCAATAAAAGACGAATTTTTTGCTCTGTGACCTGTTCGGGGTGATCGAGGAGTAAAGTCCTGCAGGACTAACGAGCCTCTCTCGCTGCTGCTGCCTCGATAAATCTTGTCCAATCGCTGGGCTCGCTCGGCCGCTCGCTTGGAGCATAGCGAAATTTAAGAACCCCCCGCTATATGGACTCGGCGTCGTTTTTCTTTTTTGTGGTCATCTCACCGCGAGCGCGCATACATATATTCGCGTTGGTCCTCTCGCACGAGGCGAGAAAAAGAATGTATATAAAGACGCGAGACGAGCGCAGCGGCTCTTGCTTTTTTTCTCCGTCCTTTTTCGGGGGCAGCTGGCTTACGCTCGTATGTGCGTGCCGTGCGCGCGCACTAATGATGTTGCAGGGCCATCCTTGCCAAACAACTCGAAGCGCTGCCCAGATCCGAACGGCCGCTACCGCAGCTCCAGCAATTGCTCCGAGTTCTACGTCTGCGTCAATGGTCAGCCCATCAAATTCAATTGTCCCGAGGGCCTAGTTTACAGCGAGGTGAGTACAAGATCGTGGTGCGGCTTTAATTATTTTTTTATTCAATATGCCGTCGCAAAAACCTAAAGCAATAATTAATTGCTTTCGCGAATTTAATATGCACTTTTACGAGGGGATGGAAGCGAAGCTTTATTTCTTCCTTCAATGGTAAAAAATGGCAATAAAGTTTCCTATCGATTCGTTCCAATTAGCAGATCGCGCAATAGTGTGCCTATACTAGTATCATCCTTAAAAAGAAGATTGCGCGTATTGGTCGCCACTAAAGCGACATAAAAGTCCGTATCAAGCTCAACGCGTATCGCTTTTGGTACTCGCGCCGCGAGTACACAGACGCACCGGCGGATATTATCTCGGCGAGGGAGAAAAAAAAATCGATCAGCGAACGAAAGAGCGAAGAAAGAATAAGAAAGGATAATCTAATAAGAGCTGCAACGGGGTAAAAGAGCTGCTGCTGTTGCTACTTTTTATGGCGCTAGTCTCGAAGCTGTTTGGACGATACGCGCGGCATTACGGAATATTGAAATGCAAACGATGTAATTCGAAAAGGAATAAATGGATAGTCGGGCCGGACTAGCACCGATTCCGCTCGTATAAGTCGAAGCACGAGCTCGAAGTACGGTAATGGCCTCGAATCGACGAGTATATCCGAGCATGATATAAATTCGCGAGCCCGTCGGTGAGCGTATACGCATCCATAAAAGCACGTACATAGAGAGGTAAAAGGGACGTCTTTATTATTCGCGACTCTACGATCGAGTACTAGACGCAGAGGAAAAATAGACGAAGCTTTTATTGTACGTCCCGGCAATGGAGTACTAATTGGAGGATGTGCGCGCACACGATCGCCGACAACCCAAGTTGTTACTTTCGAAGCCCGAACAAGGTCCAACAAATGTTCCCTCCCGAACGAGTTCAGTGCCCGCGAAGAGAGAGAGAGAGAGAGAAAAAGAGGGAAAAGAAATATGGCACCTGCTCGCTGGGCCTCAAATAACCTCAAGACCACCATTGTCGGCGCAACACGTAGCCGGTCATTGAACCGATCGTCGCTTTTCTCGTTTCGCAGGAGAATCAGATCTGCGATTATCAGGAGAAGGTCGATTGCAAAGGACTAGCGACCCCCAGACCACCACCGACCACCACCGAGGCACCCACTCGACCACCCAGACCCAGCCCACCCCCGCAAGGAGGTAACAACAACAACAACAACAACAACAACAATAACCAAGGGGGCGGCGGCGGCTATCCCGGCCAACAGCAACCCGGCGGTGGCAGCGACGGTGGAAACAACAGTATCCCCGAGGAGGTAAACCCGAACCCCCCTTACGAGCCGAACCAGCCGGACCTGCCCGCACCCATCAACCCGTACCAGCAGCAGCAGGTGCAGCCCAGCAACACGTTCTTCAACAGAGGCCGACCCAGCGAGTTCTGGCAGCAGAGGCAGGCGCAGCTGCACTCGGACCTTCAGCAGGAGCTTCAGGTACGTCATATAACGCAATAAGCAACGGTAACTTTTGTCGCGCTCGAGTCCTCGTCTCCCTTTCGCATATAATAATACATATAAAATACATGTTATATCGCTACGCGTTGTCGTTGCACGAGCAAAGGCGCAATCGGAGCGAGAGAGAGAGAGAGAGAGAGAGAGAGAGAGAGAAGGGAAGGGACTCGCATCCGCGGCAGAGAAACACGCGTATACATTTATACGTGGGTAGGTACGAAGGCTCATAAGCTGCTGCATCGAGGGAGCCTCCGCAGATTCGTGCGGCCTTAATGATACGGAGAATTTACAATTTATATACTACTCGGACGGCATGTATATGGATGAGCAGCTCCTGCAGCCAACTGCATAAGGTCCCGAGCCAAGCTCGCTCCGACTCGCGAGTCTTTTTAATTTTTATTGCCTTTACAGTTAGCTGCTCCGCGCGCACGATTGTCGTTTTTCGAGCTCGCTCGATGCTGCACTGTCGCTGCGTCATCCTCGTCCTGTACGCACTCGACAATGCCATGTATACCTGCTTGTTATTACCTTTATCCCTCGTAATTTCGACGCTCTTCTTCTTTTTTTCCCGCGATCGTACGGTAAATTTAATCGGCGAATTTCGACGCGCCTACCTTCTTTCTACCCCCCTGGCCGCAATCGACGATCGAGAGACCGGACTCGTATACATGTATATGATCGAGAGTGCGGCCCGTTTTATGGCTCGCGCGGCTCCGTTCCTAATGATACGGTCGCCCGAAACTCGCCAAAATTATACACGTAACGAAAACGAAATTCTTTTTGCCGACCAAAGGAGCAGCAGCAGGTAGCCCTGCAAACGGCCCAACAAGCCGCCATCATTCAGGATAGGAGCGAGGTCGAGCTCGACGAGGACGTCGCCGAGGTCTCGACCACCATGATACCCGCCGGCCCGTGGGAGGTCTTCCACACGATTCCCCAGGAGTACGCCAAGGCCCCCTGCGAGAACGGCGAGCTGCACCGGCTCACCGAGAGCTGCTCGAGCGTCGTCGTCTGTAGAAATCGCCGGCCGCAGCTCATCAACTGCCAGACGGGTTACGCCTACGATCAGCCTTCCAACTCCTGCAGACCTTTCAACGTAGCCAAATGGTGAGTCCCTATTATCCTATACGTATTTACGATAAACAGATCCGAGCCAATTTATGCATTTACGACATTGTCTCTTGTTTCTGTTGCAGCTAGTTTATCATGAGAGACTACTTTACGAGCGATTGTTGACTGCGCGAGCGAATTTACATGAATAATGCATGTGCGAATCTGTTTTATTAACTTTTTAGTCAACTAATTGTAATTTGGTACATAGGTTTAAGAGTGACATGTTGATATAATTCATACCTTTTATTTCTTCCTCCTCCCTATATGCACCTAATTACGATAGGACGACGATTATAAACTCGATGTGGCTGATGAGAGACTCGGCGTTTATTCTTATATGAACGTTTATAGATTATTGTAATGTGTATGTTTTAATAATAAATTTAATTCTCAAACAAACAAAACCTGTACTTTTTTAATCGCTATTCTACACAAACTGCCTCTAAACACAATTCGTAATATTTTCTTTGAAACATGCGACGAGATGCGCCAACGGTCGAGTGCGCATCGACGCCGCCGCTTGCAGACGACATTACACGCGATTTAAAGACTTCCAGCTGTTTACGTTCGGCGCAATAAACACTTGTCTTTTCGTTCGAAAAATCGTCAATTTCGATCCACTGAGCCAACTCCTTGCTATTGCGATCGCGATAACGTGCCTTCTCATTTACCGAAATATGTAAAATATCGAAAAATCTAAAAATGTTTGGTGAAATTAAAGAATTCGCCCAAGCCTGCTGGAAGGAGGTCCTTGATTTGGCCGATGGTGCGGCTGTTTACATTGACCATCCGGCGACCGAATGCTTGCACTGGCACACCGGTGACAAAGCTTACTTGACTTTGAAGGATGCCGGTGCAGTATCGGTTCACGAATTGGCGCTCTATAATTTTCACGTGAGTCTCCGTACTGTAAACGACTCTTGGATAGTACTTTGAATACAAACTATTTTCTCAACTCTTTATAGAATCTTAAAGCCAAAAATGCTACCAAAGCCCTAATTATTTCAACGTCGACCGATACTCTGTTCTATCAGAGAACTTTGAAAGTTATCATTGAGAAAAACAATTTCCAAAAGTGTTATGTAGTATGTACAGCACATAAAAAAATTCTGCAATACACCTCCATCAAAACTAATGATGATATAGAAAGTGCAAATAGTTATGACTCTTTGAAAGATGACATTTTATACTGGATGAATGACAAAATGTTCACAGAAACTTCACAAGTTACAATGATATTCAAGCCAATTTTTATAGCTTGCTTGAAAAAAGATATTTTTGTAACGCCACCATTTGGAAATTTAATACCTTCCATTGATCAAGTTCTTTTACACGATTATGAAGCTGAGATTGATTTTTTAATAAGCTCTTTCCACACTCTATTTTCTTATTTCAATGTGACAGAAGATGTATTTTATTTAGGCAAATGTGGTCAATACGTTGCTGAAAAGATGAACCATTTTGATGCAGCAGTCAACAGAAGAAATGTATGACTTACTCTTGACTAATCAAAATGTAATACATTAAATATTTTTCAATTTCTTCTTTTTATATTGCAGCGTAATTCAGAACAAAAGAAAGTATCTCTGATATTTGTTGATAGACTTCTTGACTTATCTACAGCAACTAGCCATAACTCAGAATCAATGATGGGAAAAATTTTATGCACTTTGCCACATCTATCACACCACTATAATGATGTCGCAATCAATATGCAAGCAATGAATCTTAAAGATGAAGTGAATAATTTTTATTCATGTAATAATATGATTTCTTGCTGTGTACTGAATCAACATATGAATTGTAATGTTTTTAGGAAAGTAACTCTACTCTCATGGTCCCAGGATGCCTAGCTAATTCTGATGAGGCAATAATGAAAATTCTTTTTAACATGAAACAGAAAGAAGTTTTGACCTCTCTAAATAAAATGTTAATAGATATGTCAGAGGGAAGTCCTAAAACAAACAAAATTTCATCAAGAATTTCGGCTCATAGCTTGGAAAAAGGACTTCAAAAATTTAGAGAGACAGAAACTATTGAATCATTATGCAACAAGACAAAAAATGTGCAGGTTGTGTGATAATGCAAAATCAATCATCATTGAAACAATGCAATTTAACATTGAATTTTATTGTAGCTTATTTCCGCTGTGGTTCAAGCTTTAAAATCAAACAAAACTCCTCAAATTGATTTTATCATCAGTTTAGAAAAACTGATACTACAAAATTTAGCTGTGAGTGGAGATTCCTCAAGTATTTTATCTCAACTAAGTAATATTGTAAAAACAAGAGCTAGCCGAGGTTTGGATATGGATTATTTACTAGCACTTTTTATCCATTTATATGCAATGGCAGGACCAGATATCAAGTTTACTGAACAACAAGAAAAAAATTTCAGAGATTCTATGAGCAGTGCTATTTATGAAGATATAAACAAATGTAATGAAACTGACTTGATGGATGAATATTCAACATACTATCAAACATTATTATTATTAGGTAAATCAAAAACTTGAAATAGAACTTGAATTAGTTTTAAACATTACAATGTTATTTGAAATTGTTTATTGACTATATACGATTTAAATTATTACAGGTATCACTAACGAAGAATCTGCCAGAGAAATTTCTGATAAAATTACTGATAGAATAATGAATATATTGCACAAAGTATTGAATCAAAGAGAAATGCTTCAAAATTACAAGTATGTACAAATTATTTTGAAAATTTGTTTAAAACTTTTTTTTAACCGATTAATACACTGGTTTCTATCTACATAGGCAAGTAATGCATAAAACAAATCCTCGAGAAATGGCTAGACATGTTGGTTTATTAGAACAGCTTATCACTGATTTATTAGATGAAAAAAGGCCAGAAATACCTGACATAATTCTGGCATCAAAATCAAGGTAAATATAGTAATTATTTAACAAAAATGCTTTGATATGAGTTTATTCATATGACTAGAATGATTATACTTGATTTTTTTTTCAGTAATGCAACTCATGCAGATACAAAAGCTCATCCATGTGAAAATTCTTGGGTCATCATATATGTACTTGGTGGTATAACTCCAGACGAAATAAATATAATAGAAAATATAATAAATTCAAAAAATAACAATTCTCTAAGAGTAACTGTAGGTGGTACTAGATTATTAAGCCCTTTGGAAGTGGTGGATAAAATATTACTATCAAATATAACTAATGTATGAAAATAACTGAATAAAATACCTTATTTTTACAACATAAATATCACTCTTCTGTGAAAAATGATGTTTCAACTATTATTTATGAGCCACTTCAACTTAGTTTTAGTGATTTCATACTTTAATATTTTTATTTTATTTTTATATCTAACACTACAACTTAATTCATTACTTTTTTCATCTCTAACTAAGGAAATATCATAACTCAACAAATTCCTCAACTCGTAAGCATTTGAACTTTTGTGTTTTGAAACAAAGTCAATTGGTTTTGTGTACAGAGTCAAAATCTTAAATTCAGATGAAGATTTATGCACATTTTTCAATAATTTCAGTACAAATGAGTCATATGATAATTCAGTTTCCCTCTGCTGCCAATAATAGGCACTAATGCTGTCAATAATTATCAAGCCTATTTTTTTATTTTCTATTAAAATATTTTGAAGATTGTTGATTGTTACTAAAAATTGATAATAGTTATAGCAATGAATCATTTTCAACTTTGTTAAAGCACTTTTAACTTCTTCATCAAGTTTACTATGTCCTTCAAACTCTCTCATTTCGTTCAGGGCAGCTTCAAAAACAGCAGATATTTGAAATTGATTTTCAGTATTTATATAAAATACATCCATGTCCAAGCCATTGTATTTTGAAGGTAGTATAGACTTTGTAACAATTTGAACTAGTAACGATGGAACTCCACTCGACACTGAGCCTTTCACCTCAATTACGTCTTTGTTGCCGAGTTCGTTAAAAAATAAGATTGAATCCAAATCAACAACCGGTGGTCTTTGGATCAATCGCGATAACAATTGTACATACGTTTCAACTAATTCGGGTTTGCGTCGATCATTTGCTTTACTGCCTTCGTCGCGTAAAATGACATTCACATTATCGTCTTCGTCATCCATAATGAATGTATTTTCAAATATTTTTTAAAGAAACATTTTTCAGACTTTGAGGATAAAATCAGTTTCAAAATCTAACCTGAAAATAAACAACGAATTTTAGATTTTTTACGAAAATCTGCAATGTGATGAAAAATAGTTTATATACGTTATTCTATTTACTTTTGTAAGTGTTAGATGTAAATTATTTAAACTTGCATTATTGTCGTTTGTTTGAGCACTCAATAAAACAAAACAAAATTTAAGGACGAATAACGATTTTTAGGGACGTGACTTTAATGAAAAAAAGACAGAAACAGCAGAAGAAAAAAATGTAATGGGACAAAATTATTTGTCGGTGACCGTGAATATTTTGAATCCTAGTTCGAATCATAAGTCAAAAAAACGTAATAATTAACTTATAATAGAATATTATTTAAACAGCAACAGTTATAAATACAATTATCGCATATGTAATTTATACATCCATAACATTTAAAACACTTTTATAATAATTCTCATTTATGGTATACATTGTGAGTGAAACCAGAATTAACAGTCATAATACAAATTTGTTATGATAATTAATAGAAAATGAATAAATATCAATAAAATTTATTTTTTCTGTACATCAGGAAGCGGAAGATGCATAGAAAATATTCAAAGTATACGTTTGCATTAACGTAAAAAAATTAAGCATGACGTATAGAGAGATAACAACGAGATTCAGAAAAACCTTATCAAGATTATAAAGTTCAAAAAACACTTTGAGAAATGCATATTAATTTCATAAATATTAAAGGTCAACAGAAAATTCGGAGTAGTTTGAATTTCGTATGAACTGGCTATTTTCATTCGCAAATCCTTGATTGTCCGAAGCATTGCTGTAATGTGAATTTCTTTTTCTAATATTAGAATCACCATGAACGAATATTTCTTGTTCTTCTAATTTTTTACGAGCTCTCTCAGCCTCGCGCTTAATAATCAATTCTTCAGTCAAGAAAGCTTCGCGCTTTATTTGATCGCGAAGTTTTCGGGGCTTATCGGCCAAACACCACTGGACAGCCATGGTCATCAATGAGATGGCATTCTATCATGAAAAAATTATACAATTAGCTTTTAAAATTGAAAAGTTAAAGGGCAATGATAACAGAACAATATGTACCTGGAAAACTACGACAAAAGCCAATCTGACCGCTAAAATGTGCCAATAAATTGAAGGTCTCTTATAAGGTTGCTCAAAATGATCGGGAGGATTTCTATACTCAGTATAGCGACATGTGGTAACATTCGCAAAGTTTGTCATCAATGGAGCAGTACCATTAGCAAAATCCTTTGTATCGAAGTAAGCTAAGCTATGATTCAAAAATCCTGCATCGGTATGATCAGGACTAACCACGCTCATGTACACCAAACGAGGTATGAATGTCGACGAAAATGCTATGATAAATCCCTAAAAAATATTAATTGTTCGTGAATTAAAGTTTTAAGCTGTGTATTTTAAAACTCATACATTTGTGGTAACGGAGATACGGGCTAAGGCGTCGAGAATCTGACCCCATATACCAATATCGCGAGCTCTTCTCGGCACAGGACGACGATAATGACGTAAAAATTTGGCCGCGTCCAAACGCATTTCAAAAACATTGTTCGCCAAGGCAAAAAATGGAGCTAAGGGAAAGGCTACTACAAAGAGTGTGATAAAACCGAATTGAATCACCATTTCCAAATACTCGTCATACAATCCTCTTGCAGCTGCAAAATAAACAAATCTACGTAATTTCATTGAAATAAAATAAATTCATAAAACAAGAGAAATTGTTTGATCATGTAAACTTACACCAATCAAGCAGTTTAAGATCTCGTATCCATTGCCTCCGGGGCACAATAGGATCTTTTTGTTTTAAACCAGTGTGAATCCTAAACAATGCCCAAGACTTGTACAGAATTGGTAAAATCATTTCCATGACGGTGTAGATGGCTTGCTTCCCGACCATTATAATGACTAGTTGAATAGATAATTCTAGTAAGCACCCTCCAGGCGAACATTCTTCTTGTCTAAATCCCAAAATCTTATTGTACTTTTTTGGATAACCGACAAATTTGCCTTTCAAAAAAGCTACATAAAAAATCGAAGCATAATAATTGATAAACTGAAATAAGTAGACTTTCAAAGTTAAACTATCATCAAACTCTGCTTGGGTTCTAAGGAGTTCCATTTCTGTCAAGTACACAGCCAACCAATCATAAAAATAATTCAAAACTAAAATGCAAGCCTAAAGAAAAAAATTTGCCTGAAGAAAACAATTTGTAACAAATTTATATAACAAGACTTTGATTTACCAGATTTATTCCAGCTGCTATGGCAGGTATGGCAAATATTTTGTAAGTTTGTGAGTCTACTTCTCGACCAAATAGAGACGTTGAAGTTATGCTCGCCATCCGATACAAAACTACAGCAAAAACAGCCGCGAGTGCCATGGCAGTCAAAAGCATGACTATCGAAAAACTAAAAAACGTCGCTGGGACACGAACTTTCCAAAAACTTACGTGGGGCTCTTTTACCCTAGTAACTGGATTAAGTTTTTCTTTGACTTTGAATAACTTAGTATTTGCAAGTGCGGACAAATATTGAGGCCGCGAATGATCGCATCCTCTGTCCCAACCGCCTAGACCCCAACGGTAACTCAACTCTGCAGCTTTTCTTTTCCATAATTCCAAGTAAAATACAGACCAAACGGACATAAATGTAGCGAAATATAGCATGGCTGGATTGTCAAATAAGTGAGTTACACGAGTAAGTAAACAGGTTTCGCTGAGTCTCCAAAAATCACATGTTTTGTCACATTGGGGACACATAATAGTATCCTTAGCCCATTCGCTGCAAGCATCTTCAGCAAGTTTATTTGAACTCAAAGTTATTACTCCTGAAAAAGAATATAAATTTTTTTGCTTAAAGTTACTTTTTTAAGTTAAACATCATCAAAAATGTTTGTTCTATACCATAAAAAAATGTTATTAAACCAGCAATGCTAGCTGGAATAAGCATATAAGTGTAAAACCCAAGCCATGCAAAATACAAGGCAAAATTGATTCCAAAATATTCTCTTATAGTGTCGAGTGGCTGAATCTTAACCCAATGCTTAGCTTTGGCCCACTCTTCATAAAGTAGTGCTCTTGTACATCCTTTTTGCTTTATTGTACCCTGAAGGAAAAGTTTGACATGTATAAATTATTCAAGTGTACTTACATAAAAATACTACATTCTTATAAAATTTAGAATAGTTATGAGAGTTTTTCTTAAATTTATTCATATAAATAAACAAGCATTTTTACAACTATAAAATACTCTAGCTTACATCATGCAATGGGTATGCAGCTGAATAAACGCCTGTAGCTAATAAGCGTTGAATACCTTCACATTGTCTCTCCAAAATAAAATTCACTATCATTACCCTTATGTGAGTAGTAAAAAAATTCTTGTCCTTGGTATCGAATCTTTATAAAAAATTGGTGATACATAACAGGAATTATCTACACTGTCTACATCATGCAAATAACAAATATTAAACAACGATAAAAAAAATCATATGACTTACAAATAATCTTTATCTCTAGAATACTCAGCAGCTAGCTGATATTCTTTAGGCACAAATTTGGATTTGTCTAGCTGAGCAAAATTAAATAACTTAATAAACCATGACTTTGCATCATCGATTAAATCAGTTTCTTCGATAATAGTTTCATTAGGCAATGGTTTAATTGGCATCCTAAGTTTCATAATTTCACAGTATCTACATAAGACTTCCTTTAAGAAAAGTTGTATTAAATATATGTTTTGATAAAAAATATATGTAGTATGTAAAATATAATATGAATAAATTTACCTCTGGAGCATAGATTTTAACAAAACCTAAGCTACCAGTCTGTTCATACTCTAACTGAAGTCCTTGCTCCAATAGACTGCTTTCAAATTGTGCCCTTCTATGGGCTTGGTTTGCATTACCATTATCCATAAAGGCCAACACGAAATCAACTGGATTTTCTTCATCCTCATTAACATCAAGATTCGTTTCCTAAATCGAAATTATTTATTTTGGAATGAATGTCAAAGCGGGAGAAAAATAAGAATAGATATGTTCAATCATACTAACCGATTGTGCATGGTAATCATCTTGTTCAACAGATATAATTTTTTGAATAAATTCTATTGGCGAAATATCAGGCGTGTTATTCTCTTGGCTGTCAGCTGTAGTTTTATATGAATCCATTTTGGTCCACGCTTGACTTTCGAATCGGTCAATTATGCGTCACGATCGAAGTCCAAAAAAATTTCTACATAAAAATAATAATCGCATTATTGACGCAATGCATGAATGACTCAATACAAGAAAATAAGATTTCATCTTCAATCAGCCAACAATTATAGATTTGCAACAAGTGAGAAAATATTTTTTCACGTTTCCGCGTATATCGTCTTACCTTAGAAACAGGTCGACAATATCGGAATACAATCCCGTGTAGTTGAAAAGTATCCATGGCTAGACGCAGACACGACCTTGAACCGGATTTTTTTCCCCTAAATGCATAGTTAGAGCTTTGTAATTTCAAGCTTCGAAATCTCGCGGGCACTTTCGGAATCACTAATGAAACTTATTTGAGAACTTATCAGCTTGGATCGTATTTCCAGAACCGATTAGCTACTTATTAATTGTAAACACGATATGGGAGATAAGAATTAAAAGGCAAATTGACGACCCACTTATCGCGGCGTCGTCGGCGCGGACCAATACTGTTTAGTGCTGTCTGCTGCATTAAGCAAATGAACTCTTATATCGTGACAGCTAAGCATGAGTTATCGTATGCGTGCAGGCGCATGTTTTGTGCGATCATACCTGGCTATAGGTATGAGTTTATTATTTTTAAACGATGATGACATTTCACGTCGGTAAAAAAGTTTTCGATATTTACCGGTAGCATATAGTGTGTGTAACATGTGCTTATTATGACACGCCGGGGAACTGTTGTATTGCGTTTGTGTATTCAATGAAATAAGTGTAGATTGAACTCAAAAAGTATTTCCGCAGCTTAAAATAAAATGAAAAGGGTCTCAAGAGAGCGAGACGGATTTTGAAAATTAATAGCGAAAAATATTAGCGCTATGCCGTGGACTGTCTTGGGGCGAATAAATTTACACGCATCGCTAATTCACGCAGTGGTATCGAGGTCATCGCTGTTCACAAAAGTGCCCAGAGTATCACGAAACATTCAAATCAATGGGAATCTACAATCTTTAAAGTAAAAATCGGCCCTTTATTTTCCTCGAGAATTGAGACTCGAATCATATTTTTTAACAAACTAAGTACTTTCACTATTGAATACGATTGAGCAATCAATTGTATAGTGGAGTATATATACTGTTTTATTTCTCATGCTTATATCTACGAGTTTGCATAGCGCAGTTGTCTGCAAAAAGTTCACTGGTCATCGCGGCCCCCGTTGGATGCGACAAAAACAGTTAACGTCAACAACACATCTCAAAGTCAAGTGAGGAATTACTGGAAAATGAGTGTACAGAGTACGATTGACGATTTGACGCAGGTTTGCATTGACTTGCGGCAAAGTGTGAAAAAAGCCAGCAGCCAAGAGCAAAAGGAGGCGATCGCTTTGAAACACATCAAGACATATGCTGGCACTGGATTGAAGATAAACGATTTTGCTAAAGGTAATTTAACTGTTAGCTTAAGACTTGTACTCTTACAGATTTTTTGTATTTTTTCATTGTATTGTTGTAAATTGAAAATCAGAGGTTAGAATGAACGGAAAATCATACTCTATTGTACTAATGTTGCCATTTACTAATATAATGTTGTAACTTATGAAAATTTTATCTTACACATTTTCTTTGTTACAGGTATGGTGCTATATCTTGTTTAGCTTTAAATATTTAAAATGGACAAAAAAGGTATCAAACGTAAGTCAGAAGACCGCGACACGCCGAAAAAATCAAGTTCTAAAAGCACTCCTAAAAAAGATGATTGCCCATTAACGGAGGATGAAAAAGTAGAATATATTAACTTTATGCAAATCAAAGAATCTCTTGAAAAGGAGTTGACTGAATTGAAAACTAATTCTAAACTTCAGGACAGTATGAAAGAAGTAATGGATTTGCTTCATGAATACAATGATATTAAAGATGCAACTCAAACTATTTTAGGTGCTTTGGCAACAATGCGAGGAGTTACTGTTGCCAGTTTACATGAAGAGTACAATTTACCTTTAAAAGATGAATGAACTGTAGTTTTTACTAGTGCTAAGTTGTAAATAACTTAGATTTAAATAATAACTATCATTATTTTTGTATAGATATCTATTGTTTAATAAATAAGGCTTACTAATCAAACACTTTTTGGCTTGTTTTGGAATTTGGCACCATACTAATCTCATTTTTTAATGTGAATTTCTTATCAATAGGTTTGGAATGGTTCAATGTATCAGCTAGCTTGTCATTGCGAAAAGAGCTCAATGGAAAAATTGTTATACTAGATTTCTTTACCTATTGTTGCATCAACTGTATGCACATTTTACCTGATTTAGATGCCTTAGAAAAAAAATATAATGTCCAAGATGGTCTTGTTATTGTTAGTATTAATTTTTATCTTAAGTAAAGCCTCTAATAATAATGTATACAATTACTGCTCTATGAAATTCAGATTGGAGTTCACAGCGCTAAATTTGCAAATGAAAGAGACTCTAGCAAAGTTCTTGCAGCTGTCCAAAGGTATAACATAGAGCATCCAGTGGTTAATGATGCAAAGCTCTCCATGTGGAGAGATATAGGAATCACATGTTGGCCAAGTTTAGTTATGATAGGTAGAGGAATTTATTTTTAAACAAAGTTATGTTTAATTTTATTTGTTAACTTTAAACTAACAAATGCATTAACTCACAGGTCCTTCAGGGCAACCATTATTCGTCTTAGTAGGAGAAGATCACAGAGAAGAATTATTTTTGTACACAAAAGTAGCCCTACAATATTTTAAATCTCTGAACCAAATTGCAACAAATGACATCCCAATAGAACTGGCTAGCCATATATTGCCTGTGAATAAAAATCTTCTGTTTCCTGGTAAAGTGCATACGTTTATGCACAATTCAATCGAAAAATTAGTTGTATCTGATACAGGAAATAATAGGATCCTTATTATGGACACTAGTGGCAAAGTTGAATATGTTGTTGGTGGTTTCTCACCTGCTTTGGCCGATGGTGACTTTGAAAGTGCACGATTCAATGCACCTCAGGGTGTTTGTGTATTCGGCGATGACATTTACGTCGCAGACAACGAAAATCATGCCATTAGGAAAGTAAGTCACAAGAAAAAATCAATTTTTGCAAAATTTTCTTTGTTTTGTGATGCTTTTATTAAGTTGATTTTTGTAATTGATATCGATTTACTTTCGCAGATAAGTCTGAGGAATCAGCGTGTAACAACAGTTGCTGGCACTGGAGTACAAGGGCGTGATTACAGAGGCGGAAAAATTGGCACCGCCCAGGAGTTATCATCTCCCTGGGATGTGGCCATTTACCATCATGAGCAGGGAGATAAAACCGTACCTATTCTTTTAATAGCTATCGCCGGTACTCATCAAATTTGGGCTTTATTTCTCGAAGATACCATTTGGTGGAAAAACGAGTAAGTTAACTCATTCACTTCAATATCCAATAATTCTGTTACTTCAAAAAATGTTTATCGTGAGGATACATTTTCAGAAAACATAAAGCCGGAAAGTGTATCAATATCGTAGGTAATGGAAGGGAAGCCAACAGAAATAACTCCTACGCCCATGCAGCGAGTTTAGCTCAACCATCGGGGCTTGCAGTATCTCAAGAATTTAAATCGGTATTTTTCGCTGACAGCGAGAGTAGTACCGTGCGAAGAGTATGTCTCGATAAAGGATCTGTCTTGCCCGTTTGTGGTGCTGATAATAATCCATCTGTACGTCCTAATATTTGATTGTATTTATTTCTATTTTTAAATATGAAATACGTGAGTAATAAAACATTTTTTGCCATGGAAGAATTTGCACTGCTTCGGTGATGTCGACGGCAAAAAATACTCAGCTAAACTGCAGCACCCACTGGGGGTCGCTTGGAACCGTTCAGACATGTTGGTCTACATCGCTGATACGTATAATCACAAAATCAAAAAAACCGACAGCGAGGGCAATTGCGTGACCGTGTGCGGCGGTGGAAAACCTTCGAAAGATGCCAGCGTAAGCTCCATGATGAAAAATCTGCTGAAACTAGGTAAACATGATGATGATAACAAAACGAAGAACGATGTTGCATTTCAGTTTGATGAACCAAGTGGCTTGGCTGTCAGTCAAGATGGGAAAATTCTCTACGTCGCCGACACGAACAACCATTGCATCAAAGCCATAGAATTGGACAACGTGCAGAACATTCAAATAGTAAGTGGATTTTGATTTTCTTTAGATAATTCATAATCCATGACCCAGGAGCTTACCGAATGCCTTTTTGGACAATATTTTCATGCGTTTTTGGCTGAAACATTATACGAATACATTTTGTTTTTTTTATAAATTTTGTGATTGTAAACGATGATCAATTTTCAGATCGAGGTGATTTTACCTGATACTGTGTCGACTTTGAGCGACTACACTTACAACTTTTCATCCAAAGTCAGTACACAAGATTCCGATTTGTCGATTTCATTTGTACCAAAGTTTAAAAATTCTGACCTGAAGATGAATGTCGAGGCTCGACAAAAGTGGTCTTTAGATTTATTGACAAGCGATTTGATCGCGAGCAAACTTCATGGTGAGCTTTCTGAACCTGTAACGGTGAAAATACCATCGGGGAAAGAAGAGAAAAAAATAACCATTATGATGAACATGATGCTGTGCAAAACATCTGAGGTCTGCTTGTCCAAAAAAATTCGTATCAATTATTCTATTCTAAGAGACGAAGGTTCACCTACGCAAGTCACCGAAAACAAAGAACTCTTTGTTAAGGAATAGAGTTGATTAAAAATGATTCTATTGACATTCTTATCTCTAACTTATAAAAAATACTTTTATAAAGCTACTTTGAAAACATTGTTGAAGGTTCTTTTCCAAAATAGTCGCGTTTTTTATTCATTTTAAAGTCTTACAAATATATATCAGTATATGTTTGTGTATGATATGTTATCTGCTTAGCAAATACTTTCAATTGTTTCATGATGACAACTATCATCTTGTACATTATTTAATTTTATAAACAAATAAAACTTGTTCAAAAAATTGTGAGATATTTTAAGTCTGGTAGAAAATATGGTATACTAGCGCAATATGTCGATGTTACATGATTTTCAAGTTGAAAGTGAAGTTGCAAAAGCAATATAAAATTGCTCAACTCACTGAAATTTAACAAATTTTTAAAGAGTTATGAAATGATTGTCTAATCTTATTAACATTTCGAACCTTGAACCAAAGCAATTCCAGTTGCAACTTTTTCTCCACCACCATTCAATCACTCGTTTAATGAACAAAGAAACGTTTGTCTAATACTTGTCTGCTTTCAAAAAATGCATAGTCATTTAAAAACCACGGCGTTTCCACTTAGTCTTGAAAACTTAACAGCTCAAAATAAGCCGGCGTTAAAGATATAAAAACATTTCTTTGTAGGCACTCTTTGAAAAATAATTTTTCAAGTGACCTCGCGAATTATTTTGGTACGTAGCATATTGACCATTTTTGCAAGATATTGGCCAATGGATATTATTTTTGTGGATCGATCTCGTTCATTCGCTCTTCGACGCAGTTGTTCTTCTTACCCTTCTTTTTCAATTTTCTACAATCAAAAGTAAAAAGCATTATTGATATAGGTCAAGCACGTAATTCATAGAAAAGAGAAAAAAATGAAGTAAATAATAGTTTGCTTACTTTCCAAAGGCTTCGCCATCGGCAATCGTTTCGGGTAGTTTCTTGTTGAGAGTTTCGGGAAGTAAGAGGGAGAGCATTCCACCTACTAAGGAACTCAAACCAAAAATGACAAAGGGCAGCGGTTCCCAAACGGAAGACTGTAACGATAAAAGCTCGTTACTTAATGTATTTTTTCTAAATTTGACAGAAGTAAGTTTATAAAGATTCAAACGTATCAGGCGTCAAGTACGTACGAGGTAAATGATGTAAGGCGCAATGACTCCGCCAACGCGAGCAAAGGTCGAGCTTGCGCCCAGGCCAACGTTTCTGATGACAGTCGGGAACTGTTCGGCGGTGAAGACGTAGATGGCACCGTAGGACGCGGTTATCACCAACTTGGCGGCCATGGCGAAGGTCACGGTCAACCAAGTCATATCTGGAGATCAAGGGCAGAGCTCGAATTAGGCGCGATCGGTAATTTACTCAAAGAATCACGCGTGGGGGGTGGGTGGGTCCTACCTCTTGGCACGAAAAGAGTCCCCACGAGTATGGAGCCAGAGACGATCATGCATCCGCAGAGTATGATTTTCCTGCCCCAACGGTTGAGCGTGAAGATGAGGAAGGTGTAAGCCGGCACCTCGACGAGACCGGATATGACGAAGTTGACGTAATCGTTGCCACCGAGACTCGAGGCGTTCCACGACAGGCCGTAATACGTGCCGCTGTTGACCAGCCTGCGACACAACAGCGTACACACGCGTACTCTTAAATTGTCTTGCTGCGCGGCTATGCTCGGCTGCCGATCGCTCGCTCGCAACTCACCAATTGAAGAAGAGCAGCATACTCTTTTTTCTGAGGTTGGGGTAGCGGAACAGGTCAAAGACCGAAGGCTTGTTCGTGTCCGGTGTACTGTTGTTGTCCTTTTCGTCGAGGAGCTGCTCGAGTACGCTCTCGGGTATGTCCACGCCGTTCTCCTTCGAGGCCTTCAGCAGGATCTCTCGAGCCTCGGACATTCGACCGTTCGTGATGAGCCATCGCGCCGATTCCGGAATGAACCTGCGCCAAAAAGCAAAGCCACGTCTGTTATAGCGCTATCATGGCGTTACGGTATCAAACGCTTGGACTAACACAGCTGCAGCGATTGAGTTTTTTTTTCAAATTTCGATAAATCGTTCGTCCGAATCGAGCTGAGTCGAGGCGAATGAATGTCAAGGACTCGCGATCACGATACGTACATAGCGTAACACGTGCTCGAAAATGATCTTATCGCGTCGCTCTCGGGCATTATTACTCGGACTCTCGATGCGGCAGATTCGACGCGCGGATAAATTTAGCCAAACTCGTTTCTCTCGCGCTGCTACTCGTCGGCTGCAATCGCCGCATTTCCTTTTCCCTCGATATCGCATTATATTACAGGCTTGTAGCTGTTGCTCGGGACGACGTCCGCTTACGGCTGGTATATGCATAAATATATTGTAATATATAAGTACATGAACTTCTGGAGAAACGTTATGTCAATAGACGAAGCGACGAAACTACTTGACCCACGACGTAACGCGATATTTTTTACTCGATGTATGTACGGAACATTTGCAGCAGGAGGCTTACCACCAGTAGAGGAGGAAGGCGACGCTCGGTAGGGTAATGGCCAATTGCAACAGTCGCCAGTCCGTGATGAGATAGGCGAATCCAGCCGTCATGATGTATCCAGCCGTGAAGAACAATTGACAACCGACGCCGGCTATCAGGCGCTTCTTCGGACCGACCATTTCCAAAGCTATAAAACAGAATTTTCATGTAATTTAGCTTTTTCTCTTTTGCGATTTGTTCGACTTTTCACGGTAACTTGGTCAAAAAACTCGGCGTAGGAGCTCGATCGCGATCCCGAAAAAAGTTTCCATTTGCGCTCGCAATCGAATAGGGTAGAGAAAAACAAGGGAATCAAATTGTCGCGACGCCGCGTCGAATACGCGAAATTCTTAATTGACTTTAAGTGTCGGCAGAGCCGCGTAGGACTCGAAGCAATTAACACCCATCAGCCATGGAGGTTGAAATCGATACATCTTCGATCGAGCTCGTGTGACGCACGAGCAAATAACTCGTGGCGCAGGGTAAAAAAAGGTTCTAAATATAACTGGCCGTGCGGAGTACTCTGCCTTTTTGCGAGGTTTCTACGTTTGTCTGGCCGACGATACGCGGTATACATAGTTGCTACTTGTTTTTGTCACCTGCGCGACGCGCGTCTACGGATTCAGTCAAAGGAGTTATTTCAATTGCCTGGCGCCAAGTCATTGAGATAAAAGACGAAATTTGCCCCGCGCTCGAATCTCAACCGCTGCAACCTATCGCAACTCGTTATTCCGGATGTGGAATGTCGAGACTTTTCGATAGAAATTTACTCGGCCATGAGAAAAATGCGCCTATATATGTAAATATTCGATAACATAAGTATGATATATTAAGCCGCTGAGTGCTAAAGTAAATTGTCGGTACAAAAAATCGGATAAACACATATATTGCATATATATGTGCGCGAGATGTGCAGTTCGCCGAGAGCAGCGACGTCAACAGTCTCGAACGTAAACACGAGGTCAAGTCGTTTTACTCTTTTTCTTTCTTCGCATCTTGCATGTAATAATTAAAATAATGCAGCTAATTGCACGGGAAGCTAAAATTATCCTTTCGAGTCATAACTGAACAGGCATCGATCGCGGCACGCAGTACCATAGTAATCGAAAGATCCGGCGAGTTTCCTATGCTGGTAGAATAGGCGATCACGCTAGGCGTATACGACTCGCTTTTCTGCTTTTACTTTTCTTCGGCCGAAACGTTTAGTTCTTTTAATAATGACTGTACACGACGCCGCGGTAGCGATCAGATATACGAGAGGAAGCCACGCTCGATAATTATTATAAAAAACGACGCGTTTCTTTTGTTTTTGGGTTGTAAACTTGAGATGGAGAAGATAAAAAGGCGCATAACGAGCGCGCGACGACTGCAGCACGCGTTGACAATCAACTCGTACATATTATATATAATCAGGATCGTTATTCAGCCAATAATTTATTCTCGGTAACTAGCTTCCGGCAAATCCATTGCTTCGAATCGTCGCCAAGATTACGAGATCGAGTACGAGATAACGAAAGAGCGCAGTACAATAAACAAACGTGTAAGTAAATATATATGTCATACCAATAACGTAGGCGACGAGGAATACTCCGCTGGTAGTCGAGCCTACGATGGCTCGGAAGACTACGTAGGTGATGAAGTCGGGCGCCACAGCCACGGCGATGCCGCAGACCAGCTGGATGACGAGGCTCAGGAAGAAGATGTTCCGACGGCCGAACTTGTCCGAGAGGGCGCCGAAGATCGTCGAGCCCAGCATGACCCCGACCATGAAGATCGAGTCGCCGGTAGCTCGCAGCCAGTCCCGCTCGCACACCAGATCCCACTGAGTAAACGAGGCGCCGAATTATTATTTTTCATTTCTCAACCGTTAAAACTCGATTTATCGTACCTGTGAAGCTGTGGTGCTCGCGTACTGGGTCCTGTTGTAAACGTAGTGCTGGCATTTGACGGTCGAGTTGGCCCAGCCGCCGCTGGTTTCGTTGTATCGCTCGCACTGAGACCAGCTCGAGGCTTTGGCGTCCCAGGGGTAGCTCGCGTTCAGTATACTCGTGGGCAGCCCGAAAGTCGCGTTGTCGGCGTTCTCGAAGGGCAGCAGACACCTGCGGGGGAGGAACATGGACTTCGTCATCGAGCCAAGTCGCAGCCGATCCTACTCGATCGGCTCGCGTGTAGCTGCTTACCTCGATTCCATTTTGGCATTGAGAAAGACACCGGCTAATTTGTGGAAGGCACAGAGTATGGCTGGCAGGCACAGCATCAAGTATATTCTGCGCTGGTAGCGGCCGAATTCGCCCATTTTTAGTATCACGTCGTCGTACGCCATTGTGTTTCGATTTCTCTCTCCCGAGTTCGATCAATTATATTTGCACGAAATTATTTCAACGAGACGATTGTCGCAATTTCGGCGCTTATACTTTCGGCAAAATCTGTGGAAAAGCGACGAAAACTTGATTATAACATCGAGCTGCATTGGCGAGGAGAGAAAAAAAAGTAGAAAATCTTACCGATCTTCAGCGCTTGACTTTGAAAGCTCGCTTCGATTCAACTGGTCGCGCTTTTCCGAATCATCGTATCACGTGTTAGCTTATGATTCGTAATAAACATGAGGTCGGTCGTGGATGAATCCAAACGAAGCGCTGTAGGCTGCAAATGAAGAGCAGCTCGCTTACAACAATTATCGCAGGTATAATTTTTTCTTTCTCAGCGCGAATCATACTCGGAGCCGCAGTACATACAGGAACGAGGTACATAAAGAAAGACAGCTTGGCTCGCTCGCGCCTATCGTGCAAGCCCGCCGTCGAACAATCGCTCGCCACCCAAGCGCAGTCGCAAATTACAAGATCACATTCCCATGCGGCCATTGAGACGTTTCGCGCGTACATAAGCGAGCGTAATTAGCTCGACTTTGTCTAGATAAGCGACGCCGAGCTGTCTTTCTCGCGCTCGACTCTTGTACGCGGCAAATATAGTTTTGTAACGGGGCAAAAATCAAAGCTGCGTCGGTGGCGTATTTTATACATTATTACAAAGCAGCAGCAGCAAAGTGCGCAAAGTCTCGCGGAAAATGAGCCTACACACACACACGCAGCTAGACGAGGCGACTCGTTCCACCGGCTCGGCGCTTAATGCACTTAATGCGATAGCAGCTTCGTATATACGCGATTCCGTTAGCTGTGCGGCTCGCGCTCTTATATATTTATGCCATAGTAGTAGATGCACGTACACACGCGCGCGTGTGTCGCGCTTACTTCACCGCGCGCGTATTATAATGTAACGTCTCGCGTATATGAACTCCTGCTGCTCGGCGCCTCCTCGAACGCCGTGACGTGTAAGAAAGAAAAAATAAAAAGTAATAATTTGAATACGCAGTCGGAGCGTTGCGATTAACATCGCTGCGGCGCATGGGATCTTGGCCAGAGCGCACGCAACGCGATATATAAATACTTACTCCGGGGGGATTGTTTTCATTTTCTTGAAACGAGCGCGCGAGGTAAATACGTGCGCGCTATTAAACCAATGTAGACGGAGGAAGGGATGCAAAGAACATTCGTTCGGAGCATCGGTAGCGCAGCCAATGGGTTATTTCCGCACACGCTACAATGCACAGCCGCCGCTGCGCCTGGACTAATAATAAATTGCTAATAAACTCGCTACTCGCTGCTTTGAATTTTCTCTGTGTACTATCGAAAATATGCAGGCTATTCATCGCTCGCGCAACACTTGTGTTCACTAAAAGCCAAACGACTCGGACTTGGATTTATTTTCAATTCGTATAAAAATACTGTAAATACTGTATGTCGTAATCGCGTCATAAAAATTTAATTCGAGCGTTCACTCACCGTGCAAGTGTGTGCAGTAGTCCGCAGTGCATATATGCAAAATATCGCAAGCTTAAATAAATATGCCTAAAGAGCCGAGATGCGTGTGCGCGTTCAGTTGCAGCGCTCGACTGGTCCGCACTCATCGGCTTTGGACTGTGTAAGTCGCTACTAACGTCGACTTGCGATATGGCATGCGTGCGCCAGAGCCGGCCGGTATGTCGCGTGCACTACGCGTAAAAGCACACACACACATGCATGCACACACTAACGCGACACTTGGCAAATGGCAATGTAGCATTCCGAACGCCGAATGCGTGTAGCGTTAACGGAGTCGGACTACTCGTGTATCGACATCGTTACGATCAATATACGAGCCGATCGCGCCATGGAATTGACGTGATTCATCGCGACGCAAACTTTATATCGCCTATCCTTTCGTCGCTCCACTTGCATTTTTATATATACGACTAATATCTACTTTGTTCGCCTCGGCTTTAAGAATAGAGAAAACTAACCTGGTCAAGTGCCCGAGTTGGCCGGCTTTTCTTGCGATCGAGTACACTGTTAATCGCTCTGTACGATAGAGCCGAGTGGCTTTCGATGGGCCGTTGACATGTCAAAGGTCAAGCGAGCAACAACAGCAGTTCGATCAGTTAAATTGGGCAGCTGATAAAGCACTTGGATCGTCGGGTATCTATCTATATGTATGTAATAAGACGAAGCCGGCTTTAGCGTGGTCTTGAGCGGCTTGCGAGGCGCGCCGAAATAATTGCGAAAGATAAAATTGCCAACGGACTCGGACTACTCTAATATGCGGCTCGGCGTTTTTAAGCCATCATGTGTAATGTATCGTGCAAACTTATCGCTTTAACGCGATGCTCTCGCGTCTCTTTTTCTCTCTCTCTCTCCCCCCAAAGCCAACTACATATATATATGATGCTACATATAATGTGAAACTAATACATATAGGTAGTGCAAAGTAGCAAACGTAGGTACGTTTGGACGAGTGCTGCTGCGCACATGCCACCACCACCTCCGGCCACTGCTCGGCCTATTCATGCCTGCCCAACATATCGTCGAGCGAGACGTCGCCTCAGTTTATATGTATACAGATATACGCGCATTTATGCTGACACAATCGCTGCTGCGCATGTATTTTTCATGCTCCGCATTAGAGGGTGCGTACAGTTGCTCGCTCGCAATTCTCGCCCGTGCGTATACGCGTTTATGGTAGGCGCGCGAAGCGTATACCGCAATTACACGCGAATCTTGATGATAAAAAAGCGATCGAGGAGCTTGTCCGCGCAGGCCGAGTACTTTGCGCGGATTTTACGCGCAAGCTGACCCACTTTTTTGGAGCCCGAACTTGCAAAGTCAAATTCACTCGTATATAGGCGAATGATGCGCGTACGTTATGCTAGATACGGGTTGTCTAAAAACTGTGACTAGGACTACTAATCTTCGGCTCTCAAGTGTACAAATTGAGTTGCTCGTCTCGAACTCGCGATCGAGCTCTATTTTTTACGACGTTGAATAAAGTGCAGCAAATGAAGCCTCTATTTCAACGTGCATTGATTAAAACTTACCATTCATAAAACAAATAAAAATGAATATGGATTAATCGGCAAGTGGATACGAGCAAATTAAAAACGATGGCTCGCATGGATGTTACGATGTTGCTGCACTTTGTTCAATCGATGCACCGATCACAATAAATGCCAATCACTATTTATATTTTGGACACTTACACTTTGAAAAAATAGAAGCACTCGGTGTCGAGAAGCTAAGCTACAGGTAGCAGGTCAGGTGTCAAGCCTCATTATTATCGATGAGCGAGTCGTACCTTTGATTTATACCTGTTTTGTCCTTGCCTCGTGCAGTTGAATATTCGACGCTGGCATATAGTGCGACGCAAAACAACTGACGATATTCAGTGGCTCGCTGGCGCACGAGATATATTAGGAGCATAAAGTCAGTACGAAGCAAGGACACGAACGCGTCTCGTCCGTGCCAGTCGGAATCAAGTGCAAAACGAGCCGCACATATCGTTTGTAAAATTGTCCATTGTCGCACGCGCAACAGTCAAGTTCAACGACGAGATCGAGCAGGAAAATTGGAGCGTCGTTATATAGCGTGTCCCTATTGCTTCCTTCTTATCTGATTTATTGCAATGCGTTACGATACATCGATTATCTTTACTCGAAGGGTTTTGGTCGGTGTAATTGTAATTGTTTTGGAAAAAAATAACGACTCGTATTTATGGGATTTAATTACGGCTTGTTGACATGCGCGATCGTTCAGAGCGAGCAATGGACCAGACTCGCTGCGCCATCGCGAAGGCTAACGCACGCAGAAGAGAGAGAGAGAGAGAAATGAAAGAAGAAAAGAGACCGAAACCCGTACGATCCATTAGGTCATTGATTTACCGTAATACCCATATAATTCACACGTAACATTCGATATCTTACATACGCTTTTACAAAACGTGATGTAGCCGCGCGCGCGCGCGAGCCGAGAGTACCGTATACATGTGTGTGTGTGTGTGTGTGTGTGCTATACGGTTCGCGCGCGTACATCAATTATAGAAGCTAGTCCGAGAGAAAATCAAATCGTATAAGCGAGCCGCAACAAAAAGAAATAAGAAGCATAGCACTTTTTTCTACATTTGAAAGCAAAGCTCGAATTATGAGATTACCCGAGATTATTGTGAGCGATAGAATGACACATGGCTAATGCGCGCACATACACACACACGTGTACCGCTACATCGTACTTACTTTTATACCGACTTGGCTCGGCTTTATATTCAAGATCGCATAATAATATTACGTTGTTGACGATCTCGGGGATCGTGCACCCGCGGAGATGCGTCGTCACGCGGCGCTCTGCTGCAATTTCCTCCTCGATGTAATATCTACTATGTGGCAGCGCTCCTCGACTCCCTTTGCTAGCCTATACCTGACGATATTTTCTTTCGCGCGTCCTTCGGACGAGTCAACGATCATTCGGAATCACGGTTGAGATATTACGGCAAATTTAGCGTACGACGGTGCAGTCGCCCACGTCACTTATATTATTCGTACGTGTTACGTATATGTGCTTCGCTGCTCGGAAAAGATCGATCGTTTTTTTCAATGCCTTTTTTCCGATACAGATAAATCCCAAGTTTAAAAGAATAAAAGACACGTAGTAGCGCATACCATCAGCTATGTCAGTCTGCTCCAAATAAGAAATTGATAGAGAGAAGAGAGAAATTAAAAGTAAAATTCGATTAAAATAAAATACCGAGTTGAAAGATTTTCCCGTAATTTGCTCTATAAGCTGCGGAAGCAGTCAAGTAAAAAGATGTGCTTTTGCCGAAAGTAAATAAATTATAAGCGATCTATATCGGTCGCTCATCTCTACCAGTGGACTCGAGCTGGACTCGTGCTTGACTATCGGAGATAGGGAGAAAAAACAGCCAAGAAGACAGCTTGCCGAGGCTCGGGCGCAGCTCAGAAAATAGAAAATATTACGATACAAGTGTAGCAGCTCATTATCATCATTATCGGTATACATAGCCCCGACTCGAGAGTTGTATACGAGCTTCTCTCTCCTGTAGCTCCGAACCAAATGATGGAAATGGCAGAAGGAGAACGACCGGTTCTCTTACGCGAGGGAAGAAGAAGAAGAAGAAGAAGAAGAAGAAGTAGAAGAAGAAGAAGTCAACGAAGAAAAGGAGGTACAAGATAACTACCAAGCAAGGTTAACCCACGAGTCAATGCTCGCCGCGGCGTGTAAACGCGCTTCTGTGTGCCTGTGTATGTGCACATCACGTTTGTGTGTGTCTATAATACGTGTGCATATGTGCACGTACACAAGCGCCCGCTGCAGTCCGCACGCATGCAACAAGTCGAGCGACTAAACAGGTGCTTGCGAGCGGCCGCAGCGAGACCAGATAGAGACCCAGGGGATGAATGACCCTGAAGCATATACTCGCGCGCCTGATTTGTGACTTCTTTTTTGGATGCGCACCGCGCGCGCGTGCACACGGCTCTCCTACCTATGCATGTATACAACGCGGCTCTGGCAGCACTCGAGCGAGCTCCGCTTGGCTGTTTAGCCTCGTGATCTCTCTCGCCGCGGCTCCTGCGCATTGTCAAAAGGAAAATCAATAGCTGCTCTCCTTTTTCTCCGTATTCCAACGCTGCCACTCGCGATCCACTTGCTTGGGATTATCGAGGCGATACTCTAGGGGCCTGTGCCGCGCGCCGATCGATGCCCAACACACTGTTTACGCGCGGATCCCCCCACGCGGGCCGCTTAATTACTATGCAAAAAGTTGTAAATTCGCGATACCTCTAAGCATCGATCGCGATGCGAAAGCCGGCCAATAAACTTAGACTGAACGTGCATTGCGCAATATCATTTTAAAATACTCGACTCGTTCTCAAACTTACGAAAATATGATTCGCAATGTATACCAGGGGTCAATGTAATAGCGAATCGAATGTATCATCGATGCCAATTGCGACTCTAATTACGCCCAGCTCAATTTGCTCGACCCGCGAGTTTGTTAAAATGGTTTTACCGAATTCCTACGTGACTGTGCTTGTGAAGGTTGACTGTCGATACAAACCATCGATCGAGTAGTAAACACGCCAATTAATTAATCAATGAAGAATTTTCAAACGTGCGATTTCTTTCACACATTCTCACTTATTCTCTAAATCTTGATCGGCTCATGAAAATATTGCACAAGCTCTCGAATAATCCGATATGCTGCACGTATATCTCAACGCTGCATCTCTTCATCTCTGACAAATGTAGAGCGAAGCAAAGGCTGATTTGTGCTCTTTTCGACGAACGCCATGGAAACAGCAGACACATTTCACATTCCATCGGGTTACAAGGAAACTAAGGCGGACTTGATGATACATTTTATACATTTATTCATTTTCATCTTTAAATGTATTCAAACGAGTATTCTCGAAGCTCACTTGGCTTAGGTGAAAGAAAAATACGTTGGCTGTTTTATGCACTGACAGGCGTACGTATGTTTTCGTCGATTGATTCAAACAAACATCGACGACGTTAATGCGAACGTCTGTGAATAATTACTTTTGCCCCACCACAGATATGTTCTCTGAATATCGATGTTACCAGATAACAAGCTGAGAATTAATCATACTTTTTTTACTGAAACCTTTATCAATATGAAGCTCACGCATCCTGTGCTTGTCCATTTCTTATTGGGGTTAAAAATATCATTCGTCACATACGCCAAGAAGGTACATACGCTCAAGGTAAGTTGCCCACTTTTCCACTCAGGAAGACGAATGTTTGTTTCTTTCCGTCAGGCTGGATCCATCGGCTCGATCGAATTCGCCCACCGATTGCAGAAACTCGAGTCGGTCAGCGCGCGCGCCTGTTTCTTTTTCGCTCATTCAAACAGCGATCTCTGCGGTGCGAGCAATAAATCGATGAGGCGAAAAACGTCGATCACCGTAACATCTGGAATCTGCCGCACGTATGAATCGTGCGGAGTACATCGAAAATGCAGAAAAATCGATTAATTATGCGCGGGGCGAAGCAAGAAAGCGCACGAGGCCGCTGCGCGACGGTGCGACGCGAAAAAGGCATTAAAATCCGAGCTGGCCAACTAAAAGCGTCCGTGTTTACAAGAATGCACAACACCTGGACACTCGAGAGACTTGAAAATAAATACATATATCGAGGAAGAATTTCCAAAGTGCACCCCATGGTAATCCGCCGTCGCTGTGCACGCATATAAAAAGATATCGAGAAAGAGCGAAAGAGCGGGCATAGCGAGAGAGCGGCCGAGCGTTCGAGTCGTCTCTTTTTACCTATAGCCCCATGAGCACACGCGAGTAAAGGAGTGAAAAAGAGAGAAAGAGAGAAAGAGAGAGAGAGAGAGAGAAAAGGCCCCACTCTATGACTGTACCATCTCTCACGGTTGCTCGTTCATCGGTCTTCGTTCTCTTCTCTCGGGACTTGGTGCTTCCAACACTCCTCGCGGAGCATCCTTGCGAGCGAGACGCATCTTCGAAACTCAGCTCGTGCAGCGCGAAGCTCGATTTTGGCTCAACTTTCACTAATCGACGCTTTCAGGGGGATGCTTCCTCCGCCTAGATTTAAGTCGCGCCTCGACTTTTTTCCAGTGATCGTAACCGCAACGAAATAATCGCTCGCGTGCTCGCGCAACGACGGATCAAGTGACGAGCTCGAAGCAAGTGGTGTGCATAATAGAGAAAGGTCACTAGCCCTTGTGATAGGAAAAAGCAAGGTCAGCCGAGGAAGAAGAAGAAGAAGAAGAAGTACGAGAACGAGCAGCAGCTGCTGCACTGAAACACGAAGAAGGGAGGAAGGAAGAACAAGAGCCTAGCTACTGCTTTTTCCTTCGACATTTTACTCCATGAGCTACACTGCTTAACCGATAGATAGAGGGAATGAAAAAGTACGTAGTACGTGGAGCAAGTTGAATAATGATCGTGCCGGGACCGTAAGTGCGTGTATTCCTTGCCGATCTTCCCAAGAAATCGGTTGGATCGAGCCTACACTTTCAAGCTCCTCCTGCTTTTTTCCACGCGTAAAGACTGATTTTTTGAGACTGAAGTACTGATAAAACCAGCTGCGATTCGTGAAGTGTGAAGTTTTCAAGTGGATATCTTGATGTTGAACTGTGTGTACGGATAAACAAACTTCTAATCTACGTGGGCAAAGCCAATAAAGCACGTAAGTCTATTCTTTGATTATCTAAAAACAAATTCCTTTTTCACTTGTGCACAATTTGAAAACTCGGGCGCGATCGGTACATCTTTGAAAGTCTGAAAGAATTTAGTTACAATGAAAGAAATTCGTATTAGGATGCACATTTTATTGGTAGTAATTGGCTTGTAGCAAAGTGACTACAACAAAAGGTAAACAAATAAAAGGGAGCTAATTAATGAGCGTCCTGCGTAATGAGCAGCAAACGCGCCAAATAGATAAGAGACGTTGTCGAACTTGCACATAAACGCGTTGTTTTTTATTTTATTCATTTTGTGATTCGCGCCTCGATCGGTTCATCTTTTACGCTCTCTTCGTCTTCGGTGTGCATACAGTGATAATTTACATGTACTCGGATAAAGGACATTCGCGCGCTGCAGGACCCTGTCGTATTTTACTTTAATTAACCGGAAAAAAGTCACGCCGTCGTGATTTATTTCGCGAGGGAAACCTTGAAATTTTGTTGTTGAATTGCAAGTGGCGCGATAAAGGTCGCATCGCGTACAATGACCATTCAATTAATTATATTTTAATGGTCATACACTTTGCGCGTTAATTTTTACGATCGATCGCGCGGTGTGCGACGATGTATTTTTGGAATTTTCTGCAAGGCTAATTATAAGCGGGTGTCTATTACTTTAATTAAATTTATTTAGTTATTTCACTGATACGCTTGCGCTTTTAACGGCGAAGCACATTTTTATGCAAATATGAAAAATAAAACGAACATTCTCGTCTCTGTGCCACAGGTCAAAATGACGATAAAAAGGAGTACTTTGACTGCGCTGGCGCTACTCGTGATTTGGGGCTGCACAAGCGTGCTCGGAGCTGCGCTAGAGCAGAAATCGTTATCGGCATCGACGACGCCCTTGATGAACAATGAAAGGTAAGATGCAACAAAAACTCGGCTATTCGTAAATGCAACGCATTGTATGCCAGCGCTCGACGTCTCAACGGAGCTCGTGCAAAATCAAACAAACTCGAGGCAGTTAGTACCGTTGATCGTTGGGTATATAGCGTCGGGTCGCTTTTTTAGCTCTTATTCCGTGTGTCAAGATACATCTGACATGCGACCCAACGGTGCCACACACAATGTCTTGGTGAGCGCGCGCTGTTTCTTCCTTCTTTTCTCGCTGCTAGGCCTTCTGCCTCATGACTGTAGATAAAGATGTCATAAAAAAATGATTTTTCTCGCGCTTTATAATACAGCGCTTATATACATATACCATTGCGGTTGTTCTGGTCAAACTACAGATTGCTTATGACACGCGATATAAGCGAACAAATCGGCTTTCTGCCAATTATTTTTTGTTACGGCCGTCCGCGTGCAATACGTTATACATTTTTTGAACTACATGCTCCGTGCGTTCACATGCGTAAACGTACGTTAGTGGGTAAACAGGTCGACGAATGGATATTTCTCTGGCACTGGGCACAAAAGAGCCATAAACTTGTTAACTGTACTTTTCGACAAAGCAGCTTGTGCATAATTTCATATACATATAAATAAATAGTCAGATTGTTGAGCAATTTTTTCTATGCGGACGTTTATAATTGTTGCGAAAAATCACCATTTTTTCATCTAATCGAGTCATACTATTTCATCAAGAAAATTGGTACAAGTAATGAATCGATTCTTAGTACGCAAGAGCATTTTATTCCCAAAAGATTTAAGAAAATATATGACTTACGTCCAAGATATTAAATTTAATAGGCTTCGGAATTCGTGTGCAATATATCAAGTCGAGAAAATTTAGAAGTTAACGTTAATTTCATTAAGATCATACAACTCCTCGATTACATTATTTTTCTCTCGTATATTTTCCAACGATAATGCCCGTATTATGACGATTAATTTGGAAATAGTTCACGCATATAGCCATGAAGAAATTCCATCGGCTATTTCAAACATGTAATCTCTGGAAAAGCCGCAAAAGCACGCGTACTTGAAAAAAAAAGACAGAAAAATATACATCGCTATTCACCTCGATGGTTTTGCAGTATCGAAGTGGAGGCGCGCCGCAAGAAAGTACCCTCGGGCGCGCATTTACATCAGCAGCAACAACAACAGCAGCAGCAGCAATACTACCACCAACAACACCACCCAACTGCCTACAAAGCATCGGCCGGCTCTCCTGGCTCACCGGTAAATCTCTTTACGCCGGATGATTTTCAATTTTACACGCTGGACTCGTCGGGTCAGCTGGTAAAGAAGCAAATGACTAAGCAGGAAATCCAGGGTATGATCGCCGCTGGAGCCGGAGCTGCCGCCGCGGCGAGCAGCAATCTGCCCGTCGACTTATCTCACCACAAGACTAAAATACCTCAGCAGGAACCTAAGGTACGTAGCATGTAATGCTGCACGTGACGGGTTTTAATACTTTTCTATGAATAGCCTGTGGGATCGCTAAGGAGAGTTAGTCCTTTGTGTACCGAGAATTTGTTTCGATTAGTAGAGCCGATGTTGTTTTTTATCTTACAAAAATACCGAACGCGATTACTTTCGCAGAATTTTATATATATAAATATATATATGCGATGCAAGTACTCGCAGCGCAAAGGGACGCGCGCCTTTATAATAGTTGCGCGCTCGAGCTCGCGGATGATTGTGGGAAGAGCTGATCGTTGCGTTTTTGCTCCAAGGTCTTTTCTAGCGCGTTTCACGGAAATTGCATCGCAATATTTATACATACAAACATTTATATGCGATGTATCATGGGCTATGAGAATAATATTTTTAAACGTGATTTTTTTCTCAGATTGCCGATGTTGTACAAAACGTACAAAATGTCCTTAAGAACGAGTTGAAAAAGCCCGTTAAAATTTATTCTTCGGGCTCTTCGATTCCCAACATCGTCAACAATCAATGGAGCAGCATGCTGCCTTACATTTTGTCCGGTGGCTCAGTCGATCAGCAGGACGTCGCCCAAGACACGAGCATTCTTTTGCCGACCCTCGATTCGGACCCCTACGTCGACGTCGTACCCTTACAGAGTGATCGAGTCGTGCCTGTTTATTCGGCGGGAGTGGAGCAGAAAAACAAGGTTACCTCTCAAAAACCAGCCTTCGCTCAAAATGTCAACCAGAAGCCCGTTCTGCTCGGCAATATGGCTCTGGATGGTGGAATTCTTAATTCTCAGGATTCGGTGGGCCATTCTCCGATCCAGTACAACAAACCTGCCAAACAACCCACGCAAAACATCGTGCAGGACGCCGTTGATGTGAAAAATAATACGTATACCAAACCGACGCTTTACATACCGTCGTCACCTTCTCTTCAGGCCGATGCTAAAGATAAATACACGCACGTGCATTATCAGTCGGTCCCGATATATTCTAGACCGAACCAACAGGATAAGGTCACCACTCTGGTGTCCGAAACGAAGCAGGAAGCCACTGCGACTGTGGCACCGTTCAAAAAGCCAACGTACCTTACTAGTGCGACTCAACGACCTTTGACAACCAACTCACCTCCGTCCACGACGAGAACTACAGTTCGCGATAATTTCCCGGCGACGATTATGAATGTCGGACCGATGGGTGGTTTCAAGAAACCAGAAATATTTCACAAACCAACGCCTTACCGACCGACTTTTGAACCCATTAATAGGCTCAGCACATCTGACAATTACGAGACTACCTTCCGTCCGATTTATACCCCCATGTCGCAGACAACGGTGGCAATCGAGTCGGCCTCTCCTTATCGTCCAGTCTTCAGTGACAAAACCAATACTGTTACCTTCAAGCCGGCAAATTTTCAGTTTCCAGTTTATGAAATATCGAGCGAGCCCAGCAGTGGATTAAAGGTTACTATTTATCCTGGAAATTCTTTTGAAACAGAAACTACTAGGAAAATGCCTTCGACGCCAGTTTTCAACGTTCCAACACAACCGAGTACGGTCGCTTTCACAACGCGAAAAATGCCAGAAGCCGTAACACAGCCAAGCGGTTCTGTAACGGAAACACCCAGTCTTAAATCTCAGGAATCTATGACAGAGAAATCATCCAATGTTTCAGAAATATCAAAAACGACTGAAAAAGTTACAGAGAAAACGTCCGAAACTACCACCGAAGTACCTTTTCAATCCCCAGCTGGTACGGAAGAAGAATCTATTTTGAACACTAGACTTCCTACCACTATTATTGATATTGCTCCAGAGGAGACGAAAAAGGCACCTAGTGCAACTGCGCAAGCTGAAGTATCATTGAAAGAAACTGAAAGTAAAGATGAAAAAATTATTGAAACTACTACTTCGAGTGATTTTAAATCCGAAGAAATAATTACCACCCAATTTGACGCAGTGGACGAAATTACAACAGAGAGTATTATTGGGAAAAATAGTTTTAATCAAAAAGTGCAAGCTGAAAGTGAATCCATTTCTACGGTAACCAATTTATTACCAAAAGCTACAAGTACTTTGTCACCATTGACTATTGACAGATCTACGGAACAAACAAACTTAAATTTTGAAGATAGAACCGTAGAAATCGATACCCCAACGATTCGACCACCCAGTATATCAGAAGAAAGTACCTACTCAACGATTATTCCTGATGCAGTACAAACTACAGATCTTCCGAAAAAATCTCAAGATTCATTGAACGAAGATAATTTCAATTCTAGAATTGAGCAAACAACTATTTATCCTTCTACAGATGATAAAATTGATGAATCAAATGACGATGCTAAACAAATTACTACTACGGAAAACGCTCTAAATGACGTGATCAAAATATCATTGGATGAAGAAGCATCAACAATTAAAGTAATACCTGTATACGACGATGAAACTTTGAAGTATCCCACGAGCGCTTCTGTACCAAGTAAAATTAACACGTTAACTACTCAAGTTACTGAAGAATTATCATCACAGACTTCTACAACTGGACCTTCCTCAACCTCTTTTACGACGCAAAATATTGACACAACAGAAACTGCTTTACCCGGATTAGATGAAGCCTTCAATAATTACATGAAGGAACATTATGATTCGAAAATTCCCGCGTACACTAACGATGAAATATCGGGCTGGACAACATTCCCAACATTGAGCTACAGATCAAAAACGGCAACTGATTTACCCGCTATAGCAGATGAAGCAACCGAGGCTTTTTCTGAACAGATCCTTGATTCAACAACTATTCTTCCCTATACTGATGCTTCTGAAATTACTACAATCACGAATTCTGATGATTACAGCAACAAACAACAGTCTAAATTTGATGAAGCAGTTAATATTGCGACCGAAGTGCCATCGTTTGAAAAAGTTGAAACGCCAATCATATACTTAAATTTGGCAAGCTCCGATTCTACGGAAAAAAATGCAACCCCTAAACTACCGGAAGAATTTATAACTAATTCATCACTGACTCGTATAAAAACAAAAAATTCAGCTGCGGATAGTGATAAGGTACTACCAAACGTAGAGACTAATACGCCGCCAGCTGCTGAATTGTATACTCTGTCAAGTGAAAATTCGATCCAAAATAACATTGCTAGTAGTTTGACAACGGGCGTCGAAAAATCTAAACCAGACGAACTTGGCAATTCAAATGTCCAAGATACCAAAAATGCAGAAAAGCCGGAAGATATTCAAGAGAGCGTGACTGTTTTTTCAACAAAATTAGATGAAAAAACAACAGAAGCAATTACTTCCGTTCCTGATCTTCTACCTTACGTAGAATCCTCGACTAATACTTTCCCAACAGAAATTCCCAAAATTGACATCAATACGCAAATACCTGAAATTATGGCAATGCTCAGTAATAGCGATACCCCTAGTCAGACTGAAGAAGACACTGATCTAATAAAAAGTACTTTTATTCCTCCATTAGAAAAAATTAATGAAGTTATAAATCAATTGCAAAATTCGCCACAAAATTCTGAGCACAGTAGGTACGATTATGCGAGTGAGTTGACTACTACCATCGATCCATCAGACACGTTCGAGACTTTGCCAAAAGAAGAAGCATCGACTGAAATTCATTCTTTACATCCTATGATTGAATACCCTAGCAAGGCAGCGAAAGATTCTGGTAATGATACATTTTCAATGCTAGATCTGACATCGAGAAAAGATCCTAAATTACCTATTGAAAGTGATATCCCAAGTTTCACCACTACCAAAATTCCAGATATGCTTCCGACGCCATTGACAACTGTTTCCCCTATTAGCAGGCCATACCCAACGGGAAGACCTGGTCTTCATTCGACAAAAGGGGTAATAGAAAAAATTAAGGCAACCATCGATAAATCCGCCGGTAGAATTAATCTAGAAGATGAAAAAACTAAAAGCCGATTAAAACCGACGGAACCAATGTTAAATAAGGTGTCAATTAAAAATAAGCCTCAAAACCGAAGACCAACTCTCGAGAGTTACACGCAAACTAGAAGACCGACTTTGGAAACCTATCCCCCAAGAAAGTCGACCGTAAGCGTAGAATCCTTTACTAAGCGACCTACTTTCGATAGCCACCCGACAAGAAGAGCTACTTTGGAAACCTATGTGAAAAAGAATACTAAACCAATGAATTTAAACAGACCGACGATAAACAAAATTTCAACAGCGAGACCAACTTCCATTAAAACAACAGTGCCAGTTCCAGTTCCAACGAGTAAAACAACGATCGAACAATCGATGGCAAAATCTGATGAAGTTTCCAAAGATCTCGAAATGACAACTGTTGTAAATTTAAAACTAGAAGAAGACGAGGAAGCAATGGAAGCTAAAAGACATAATCATGGTGCTAATCAACAACAAATAAAAGCACAAATTGTCAGTTTGGATCACTCGAGTAGTGCTATAGGTCTTGATCAGAGTAGCAAAGGTCTGGACAAAGACGTGGCCGACTTTCTTAATTTGTGCAACGAATTATCCTTTAGATTTTGGACCCTGGCCAATTCAGACTTGAACCCGTCGAGATCCGTGACGATGTCACCGTTCGGCATGCTTAGCACGCTGGCTATGATATTTTTGGGCGCCAGGGGATTGACGTCCATTGAAATGAACGACATTCTTAAACTGGACGAAGTAGTGACGTTCAATCCTCATCTCGTCTTCCAGAACATTACCGATACCGTCACCTTAGCCAGAGATCAAGGTATCGAAAACGCGGCCTTCGTGAAGGCCTTGTACGCGGATCGCCTCAAAGTTCGCAGGATAATACCCTTCTACAAGGAACAAGCCCAACAGTTTTACGAAGGTGCAGTCGTGGATATAAATTTCTCGACAGCCGGCGATATCCTGCGACGCAGAACGAATTTGCTGATTCGTAAACAAACCGGTGGAAGGATCAAAGATTTCGTCAAGGGACACACGGTGCCTCTTCGCTCGCCGCTCACGGCTCTGTCGGCGAACGTGTTTCAAACGAGCTGCGACGGTGCCGAGGCTAGCAGCGAAGGTCGCGACGGCGAGATGTATTTCGCGGTCGCGCAAACCGTGAAGCAGCGCAAACTGGTGCCGATCCCGGCGGTCGTCTGGAAAAGCGGCGTGTCGGCCGGCTACGAGCCCAGCCTCGACGCCACCGCCGTGGCGCTGGGCGACGCCAAGAAGCCCGTCTCTCTCATCATGATCATGCCTGGACAGCAGGGCCTCACGGCACCCGGTGACAATTTGGAACGATTGGAGCAGAGATTGTTCGGTCGCGGCACCGACAACTCGCTCGACAAGTTGCTCAAAGTCATCATACCCAGGAGGGTCGAAGTGCAGCTGCCCAAATTCAGTCACAGATCGATCGTCAACGTGACCAACGCCTTGAAGATGCTCGGCTTCAATCATTTGTTCTCCCGAACAGCCGATCTCAAAGGCATCAACGGAGCGGGACACGATTTGTACTTGGCTGACATGATACAGGTAAGGATATTTTCTACAAGCACTCGTAACTTTCACTCTTATCTTGCATGCGCTTTCACTTATTAATGAATTACTTTTCTTCTCGATAATTCAACGATTATTTTCCAGATGAACTTGTTCGGCACATGCGGCGATGAGAACAAATCGGGCAATCGTCATCTTAGCGAAACGTATCCAGGATCATCACCCAGACACACGAGAGCCTGGGACAAGTACCAGGTACAAGGCCGAAGTAGCGTCAACGATCACTTTGAGATCACCAATAACAAAACCATGGAGCAATCGGACGTCGCCGAGCTCACGGCTGCTTGTGAAGACGAAGAAATTAATAACGATGGCGATGGGACCGAACAAAATCTATCGCCTTCCGAGCGAAGAAATTTGGAGCGAATAAAGCAATTGCGTCTGCAAATACACGCACGCAGTATGCGAAGGCCTCAGGGCGGTAAACAGCGTAGAAAATGCCGAACGCGCAGACAAACCGTCGATGGTACGACGAGCGATAAACCTCGAATGAAGATGGACAAACCCTTCCTCTATCTCATTCGGCATAATCTGACAGGGCTGATTTTACATATAGGTCGTTTTAATCCTAAAAGCCAAGCTTGAACATTAAGGAAAATCTTCGCACTCGAATAGTGTTATATCAAAGAGTAATTTTATTTACGATCCTTGAAGGCCAACTTTATCTTTCAAAGGATTTTCGAACTTGGTTGAACTCGTTGTTAATGTGACTTCGAATTTTAGCTATACTTAATACTTTGAAAATACGAAAAGAAGCACACATACATTTAAATTTTCTTGATCGTTAATTTTCATCAAGTATATTTATATTCGTGTTTCAACAATTAACAACGAGTTCGACAAATTAATTTCTTAGGCAATATAAATAAGACTTTTGTCAATGTTAAGCTTAATATATTAAAATTAAAATAAGATAAATTATTCCCAAGACTAAGGTGATTTGAACAATTATCGTGCAATGACTAACTGCACTTTGTTCAAGATACTGTAGAAATCTAGCCAATAAGACTTTACTCAAAGCAAGAAATATTGCAAGTATCAGAAGTATGAGTAAGATAATTTTTAAACAAGTATACTCAATACCTTATTTTTTTGTATATGTAATATATAATTAGCACAAATTTTTATTGCACTTAAAAATAAAATTGACACTTATATATACCCCCTTAATGATATGATGAAAGAAAAATAAAAAGAAACAGCAATAAAAATTATTTACATACTAGAAGCAATGATGGTGCTTTTGTAGCTGAACAAATTCAAAATTTGTATGGCATTAATTTTATCTAGAATTCAAGTATATTTACATAGGTCAATAAATACTGAATGTAATACTTTATAACAAAACATTTTATATTTATTTTTAAGTTTTCTTATAAGAAAACCAAACATATAATGTAGTTTAAAAAAATCTCTGTAACTCACTTAATTGTACGAAATGTTCAAGTATTATATCTTTACAAATTATTAAAAGTACTTCATTGTCCAGGCCCAGATAATGACTTATCCATGAATTTCTTTTTTGCAAAACACAGCCACCATTTACTAGGTTTCCCATCAGCTCCATAAACTTTTTCAATCAAACGAGCTCCAGTCTCTTGCCTTAGTTGTAAAAAGTATTGCCTCATAGCATCTATCAAAACATTTTTTAAATGATATTTATAAATTTTAATAAGAAATATATTATTGTTTGTTTTTAACTTTACCTGCTTCAGCTGGATTATTGGGCTTGGCATAAACAGAGTTCAATGGGAAACCATGATCTCCAGGAATATCAAACTTTGAAATTGCTAAGGAGTACATCTCATTATGTGCTTGTTGATGATTAATACATTTCTGTAACTTCTTTAAACACTCTGTTATATACAAAGTTATGTAAATTAAAACTCGATCTGCTTCACCCTAGAAATCACAGACATTGAAATAAAAATATTTATAAATTTATAACATATAAAATAACCTTGTACCTTTATTTCATATGTCCTAAAAAAGACATTGGCTTTAAAAAAATACAACGCTTCATCAATAATATCCATTTCTTCGCTATTAGCCAAGGGTGGGGCTGGCCCTCTAAAAGATGTATTGATAGGTAATAAAGCCATATTACCCAAATTGTTGTTTTTACCAGTAAAACTAGAATGATAAGCCTGAAACGATACAAGAAAATAAATCCAAGAGAAATTGATCATCATTGGAGATTTAAAAAAATTAAAGGTCTTATTTAAAAAACATCATTCCAACTAACACCCAAAAGATTAAAATAAATATTAAAATGAATATTAAAGTCAATATGGTATTATAAAAATAACACTAAATTGTAGTGTCATATACTTTGATGATTAATGACGAAAACTCAAAACAAATATTTTTTGCGATGACTCATAACCTCGTATAGATTGAATTTATTGTAAAATTTGTAACTCACCGGCATTTTGTCGTTGATTACGGGCACTTAGTTGCAAATTTTTAATTGCAATTGATTCACTGTACACCGAAAAAAACAGTGAACACTCCTTTAAAAATGAGTCACTTGAAAATAACTAAGCACTTGCTACGGTCAATCGAATTGCATCTTACGATTGTCACATTCAGATTACACAAAAACACAAACCTTCGCAGATTATACATACACCGATGTGTCAAATTTACAGAATACTTCAATACCTACTTACATAGTCATTCTATAATTCTATAGAGCTTTCGACTTGCGGTATTCCTGTTGCAAAGTCAATTTAATGTGAAAGTGAAAGACTGCAAATTGTTATTAATATCAGCAATTTCAATATATTTATTTTACAAGCAACAAAGAAATCTAAAAAAAACTGGCCGGCATTTATGAAAATATTTGTAACGAAAACATTTTTTCCGCACTCTGACCGTCAGTAATTCAGACTCCAAACCCAACGCCACTTGCTTTGTTTATCAGTTCGCAATCCACTGTCCACAATTCCGTTACCCGGTCTTTGAATCAACATTTTGCGCGGGATTTCAGCAGACTAGCGTCCGTCAGTAAAAGCTGCGTTGTGATTAGTAAATATTGAAAGTTGCAACAAGTAATGTTGACTGATTGAGGACTCGATCTAATTGTCGACACCCTCAAATAATAATCTCATTTCAAAAGAGTTTATAAAAGATCACGTATTAATTTTACGAGTTATTAAAAACTGTTAAAATGTCGAGTCCTATGCGTGCACCGACCACGCGTTCAGCCGCAACAACTCCGAGACAACAACGAAATCAACCTGCAACGGCATCTCCTCGAATAAGAAGCTCTCCAAGAACACGAGCAGCTAATGCAACTAATAATTCGCAGAATGGAACTCCAAGAGCGAAACAAGGTAGGATGCCACCATTAGTTTTAAAATAATGACCATCAATGATTATGAGGGATTTGTTTTTAACTTTACAACTCAAATATGTTATTTGGTTTGATGTTTGATGTTTTTAGGACCTTCAACTGCTTCTACAGATACTCCTCTTAGATGGGGACATAATCGTAAAACCCAAGAAACCATTGCCGCTTCATCGGAAGGGCCATCCTCAGGTGTTCCTGCTTCATCTCCTAATAGGTTTCTTGCAACCAGTCCACTGCCTATGGGAATGACTGAAATAGATTTATCTTCTCCTCTCAATTACGGAACACCAAGTTCTCTTGGTTCAATTAGAACACCTAGAAGTGGTATACGTGGTACACCATTGCAGCAAAGACCAGATATCAGATCCGACAAAAGATTGAGACAAGTTAATGTTATTCCAGAAGTAATTATATCTTTTCTACCCATAATAATTATTTCAAATTTTTATTAAATAGAAGCAAATAATTCCAAAATTTATATATTTTAGGTTCCTGATGAAAGTGGTATAGCAGTTGCTGCTTCATCAGAAAATGAACAAGTACCTGGACCACAATTAGTTATTTGGGGCACTAATGTAATTGTCAATAAATGCAAGCAACAATTTAAAGAATTTATTCAAACATTTATTGATCCAGAAGCAGAAAATGATGAGCTACCAGACAATATGGATGTAACAGAACCATTATACATGCAAAAACTAGATGAAATTCATACATTAGAAGAACCTTACCTTAACATTAACTGTGCTCATCTTTTAACATCCCAACCACAATTATATAGACAGCTAATATGTTATCCACAAGAAGTAATACCAACAATGGACATGGCTATAAATGAAATGTTCTTTGATAAATACCCAGCAGCAATCTTAAGTCATCAAATACAAGTTAGACCATTCAACGTGGCCAGAACCAAAAGCATGAGATTGCTCAATCCAGAAGATATAGACCAATTGATTACTATTTCTGGAATGGTTATTCGAACATCTAATGTGCTTCCTGAAATGAGAGAAGCTTTTTTCAAATGTATTGCCTGCGCATTCACTACTGTAGTAGAAATAGATCGAGGCCGTATAAGTGAACCTACTGTTTGCACAAATTGCAACAATAATTACTGTTTTTCTCTGGTTCATAATAGAAGTCATTATACCGACAAACAAATGATAAAATTACAAGAATCTCCGGATGATATGCCAGCTGGACAGACACCGCACACAATTGTGCTATATGCCCATAATGATTTGGTAGATGCAATTACTGCTGGAGATAGAGTTTCTGTTACAGGAATCTATCGAGCAATACCAATTCAAGTTATTCCAAGAGCTTCCAACGTTCGAGCAGTTTATAAAACTCATATTGATGTAGTTCATTATAGAAAGCATGATTCTAAAAGGTTGGTAGCATAAAAATTTTACGCATGTAGATATTATTTAATAACTTTTTGTATATAATGATCATTTAGGTTGTATGATTCTGAAGACGGTAAAGAACACAGTTTCCCAGAAGAAAGAATTGAACTTTTAAAGTTACTATCCAAAAAAAGAGATATATATGATAGATTAGCTCGAAATATAGCTCCAAGTATTTATGGAAATGAAGACATAAAAAAAGGCATACTTTTGCAATTACTAGGTGGTACTAAAAAAACGCATAATACTGCAGGAAGAAGTCATTTCCGTTCCGAAATCAATATTTTATTGTGCGGCGATCCTGGTACTAGTAAATCGCAATTGTTGCAATTTGTTTACAATTTAGTTCCACGTTCTCAGTATAGCAGTGGCAAAGGTAATGAGCCTTAAATAATATAATTATGTTTGTAAACACATAATTTTTATTCATTTTTTAATTACTTAGGATCCAGTGCCGTTGGTTTAACAGCCTATGTAACCAAAGATCCTGAAACTCGTCAGTTGGTATTGCAAACTGGAGCACTTGTATTGGCTGATAATGGAATTTGCTGCATTGACGAATTTGATAAAATGAATGACAGTACAAGATCGGTACTGCATGAAGTAATGGAACAACAAACTCTCAGCATAGCCAAAGCTGGGATTATTTGTCAATTGAATGCGAGAACAAGTATATTAGCAGCAGCTAATCCTTGTGAATCACAGTGGAACATGAAAAAAAATGTTGAGTACATTTTTAAATTACTTGGAATCAAAATTAACATTTTCTAATATTGAATAAAATGTTTTTCTGTTTTTTGCATGTAGATTGTGGAAAACATTCAGTTACCACATACACTGATGTCGCGATTCGATTTGATCTTCCTAATGTTGGATCCTCATTCAGAGGCTTTTGATGCCAAATTAGCGAAGCATTTGGTTTCATTGTATTATCAGAATGAACCTGAAGCAGATGATAGTTTAATAGACATGAGTGTTTTACGTGATTATGTCACTTTTGCCAAGGAACATTGCCATCCAACACTTGGTGAAGAAGCTCAACAACGATTAATCCAAGCATATGTTGATATGAGACGCGTAGGAAGTGGTCGTGGACAGATAACTGCATATCCAAGACAGCTTGAATCACTTATCCGCTTATCAGAGGCTCATGCAAAAATACGACTCTCCACAACAGTTGAAATTGAAGATGTAGAAGAAGCATGGAGGTATCTTATTAAATCGATTTTACTTCCGGAAAAAATAAAGTAAAATATTAATAAGTTCGTAAAAAATTTTTTGTTATTAAGGTTGCATCGCGAGGCTTTGAAGCAGTCGGCAGTTGATCCTCTGAGCGGAAAAATAGACGTAAATATTTTAACTACGGGTGTATCTGGCAGCTATCGGCAAAAAATTGCACAACTAACAGACATACTCAGAAAGCTAATTGAAACAAAAGGAAAAGTAACTATAAGTTATCAAAAACTCTACAACGAATTCAAAGATGGAACTGTGAGTATTATAATAGTTCATTCAAATTGGGTATCATTGTTACATGAACTTTCTGTACGAACTTGTCACATTTTTCTTTTAGTCGTCGGTCACTCAAGACGTATTTCAAGACGCTTTGAAGAACCTTCAAGATTTGGGAAAAGTTAATATAGGAAAAGGAACGATCAAGATTTTATAAATTAATGAGCTGTTATGTTTATTATGATTAGTAATGGCAGGCTTTTTTATCCAGTATTCACCTTCAAAAGGCTATTGTATTTTGTACTGTAATCACTATTACTTTTTATGGAAATAAACATTTTATACAATTATTTAATTCTTTAACTTGACATTTAACCATTCTCTCAACTACTATAAAATAAAAGTAATTGTGTTGAATAAATGGGTTTGTGGCGGTGACATGATGACCATTTTAAATTTATGCAATTTCGTTAATTTTTAAAATGTCTTGATAGAGGAGCTTACTAAGATTATTAATTTTAATATTGAAACTACCACGGCTTCCGGTGAACGCTCGGGATAAGCGGGAATTCCTTACCGACTAAAATCATATTTCGCGCGAAAAATAAAGGTTATGTTTTGCATTAGAAATCAATAAGAATCAATATTATGTATACGCGAAATTCAGTCACACGTTACCCCTGCAGAGTGCCGACTGCGTTACCCATAGCAAAATGTACGAGTGCGAATTGAAGCTTAAATTTTGATAGTAGCCAATGCAGTAGTAGGCAGCCAGTGCCGAGTGCGAATTGCCGAGTCTTGTGGTATGCTGTTTATAACTCAGGTTATCCAGCTTCTATCGACTAAATCAAAATTTGGTAATCACCAATTAACTTGTCAGATCTGCTGTCTACGCCATGGGTACTTGTCACATCGAAATTTTTATTCTAAGGTTCAAAACATTCTCTTGCAAATCAATTTTGTATTACTATCACAAGAATTACTTATACTTTGCTGATACCGCGAAGGTTATATTTAAACGTGTATCTCCCATTAAACAATCTTTTTAACTAATATATAATATTTGATGAATGTTCGCGTAACTTTTAAATATCTAGTCCGTAAATTTGAAAGTAATTTGTATGTGGCAAAAAATCCTAACTCAAAACGTTTTTGAAATGTAGGTGAAAATAAATATAATCTGGACTAACGCGTTTTTTAAATCTCTGAACATTTTTACCAAAAATATTTTAGCGTTTAAAGTAACAATATTTCACGTTTAAAAGACTTCGGAAAGATATCCGAAAATATATTTGGATATTTTGAATTATATTTTCTCAGCTATTTTTCCAATAATAACTGCATAATAATGACGCGAATTCGGTAAACTTGTAATATTATCAATTATTTTTAGATTTAATTAAATTTTGTATTGACTAAAGCTAAACTATAAAAATTATTTTATTTTAATATTCATAAAACTTATATTTTAATTCTTTAATTTTTTTGCAGATAACTGATGAATCATCTCAGGTCAAAAAGAATCTATATCTGTGAGCCATGAATCCTGCAACATATCAAAATATGAATAGTGATAATGGTACCAAAAAGTGTTAACATAACTTTTTTTTTTTTTTTAAGAAATTTCATTAATGTTGACTTATGGTTATTTTTTAGTTGATTGGGCAGCTTTGGCTCAACAATGGATTAAAATGAAAGAAGCAGCTCCTGCTACACCACCACCTCCAAATTTGCAGGATGCTTCACAATCAATTAATACAAGAAATGAAGTTCCAATGGATATGGATGGATCAGATGATGGTGTACCACCAGCTCCACCTGCTCCTACTATCAGTGGATCAGGTACTAAAATTGTTATGCATTGAGTACAGGTCTATTATTTAAATTTTTTATAACATACTTTTCTAATATTTTTTCCAATAACTGTACTAGAAAATTGGAATCAGTGGAATCAATGGGAAAATCAATGGAACCAATCACCAATGGGGTCAAATTTAACTAATTGGGAATGGAATAATGGAAGATCTGCTCAAAAGGCCCTGAAAACTCCAAATATTCCTAACACTGCTGTCATTGCACCACCTGCTCCTATGATATCAACGTGTCCTCCATTTGCTAATCAGTGCGTAGTACCACCTACAATTCCACAAGTACCACCACCTCATTCTTATACCTATAATGCATTACCTGCTACTCATTCTCAATTTAGTAACCAAGTCAGTACAATATTTTCATTAAAACTAAATGCATTCTTTTATATGCTTTAAAAAAAATATTAATAGTGTAATTATATTGTTTAGATGATTCCAAATGAGTTTTGGAGTAACGAACCACATTCAGAAACAAGTGCATCACTAGCAAAAAATATGCATGATTTAGCAAGAATGCCTTTTGGTCCTATGGGAATAGATATTCCCAAAAAAAGAGATATCAGAGATACAACACCTGAAGATGATCTTTCTATTACACTTGGTAACAATAATTATTTGTTTTTATTGATTATATTTCATCAAATTTCAAGGTTTCTGTTGTACATTCTACTTAAAATAACATTTTAAATGTTACAATATTACAGATACTGTAAAAAGACGCCAATTACCAGCGTGGATCAGAGAAGGTCTTGAAAAAATGGAAAGGGAAAAACAAAAAGCCATTGAACGTGAACAATTAGAAGCATTGAGATTAAAAGAATTAGAAAATAAAAAAATAAGTGAAGAGGAGGCTAGAGCTGTTCTTGATCCAGCTAAAAGTAAATTTGTAAGTTAATAATGCAAATTAAATTTTATGAATTGAAGTACCAAAAAAATAACATCAAATACAAATTAATTCATTTTAGGACACTGATTCTGATCAAGAAGTTACTGAATTTGAAATGGAAGACGAAAAAAAACCGGACAACCTAAGCGAAGATCAAGTATCAGACAAAGACAAATATGAGAAACGCAGTCCTGATTATGTTCAACCTAGAAAAACGCGATTTAAAGATGCTTCTTCTCCAGTGGTTCAGTCTAATGATACAGTAGCACCAATAATAAATGAAAAAGTTCCTGATACTATCCCACAGCAAGCAGTAATTTATCAAAGTAAAGAGGAAATGTTACAAAATATGGTAATTAAATTGATTTGTAACGAATGATGTTTTTTATTTTTTACTAAATAATAATATTTCGTCGTACAGATGTTGAAGGTTCGGAGATCCTTAACAGAAATTTTGCTTGAAGTTACCAATGATGAAATTGGTTCAGTTTGTAAAGATGTTTGGAAACGATTTTGTAGTAAAGGTACAAAAATTTGATTGAAACTGAAAACAAATCTATTAAATAAACTAATATTAAACTATTATAAATGTATGAATAAATTATCTTAGGAAAAACTACAACAAATGCTGGCCCTGCAGTTTTATCACAATTATCACGTAAACTTGGTAGATATTTATGATTAAAATTATGTTATTAAAATGTTATCATAAATTAAAAAAAGGAATATTATATTGTCTTTCTACTTTTAGGTTTGGGTATATATAGTGATAGTAACAGTGAATCTGATGAAGAACGTGCTACTAATAATGATCATGTACAACCATCTCAAGATGATGACGTTGAAAGCGATGAGGAAATAATGGTTAGTTGTAAATTGTTCTGAATCTCGAAAATATTGCTTTCTGACTCGAACAATACGAGAAATCAAAGTATTTAATTGTAGCTGACTTTGATTTAAGCTCAATAAAGTAATTTAAAATTTCAGAAAAATTTACGTCAGCGACAAGTAGCTTTTCGTATGACTGAAGCTGAAATTGAAGCTCGCTTGGCTGAAGAAGAAAAGAATGATGATGAGGATGATGAAAAGTCCGATGAATCAGAAAAAAATCAACATACCAAGAGAAATAATTCCAATCGTTAGTAATAAAATTAAAATCAATATTTTTTCCTAAATAATCAAGAACACAGTTTTACAATATATTTACTTACTTTATTTTAGTGTCTGACGAATTAAACTCCTTGGCCACTAGTTCTGAAAAGCCAAAAATTTCTCGAGAAAGAGTATTGTCCGAAAGTAGCAATTCAAAACGAGAGCGTAAGAGTTCTGATGGTTATGATTCTCCAAGTTTACAAAGTACAAGTCATCACAGTTCAACCAAAAAAAATAGTAAACATAGTAATAATAAAAATTCTAACAATAAAATGACAAGAGCATCTTCGAGCCGAAGTAGATCCAAAAGTAAAAGCTCTCGAGAGGGTTCTTCCGAGCATCGTACAAACGAGTACCTAGAGAAGAAAAACAAAAAGAAAGATATTTCCAAACACGCGGAAAAATTACATAAAACGAGATCGAGATCTTCGTCGCGATCTAGACGTAAAAATCATTCAAGAGAGCGATCTTGTTCAAAATCGAGTTCTCGGTCCAAGCATAAGTATAAGAAATCTCGATCACGTTCAACTTCGAAGAGACGACGACGTAGTAGAAGCCGGCATAAGTCTCGTTCAAGAAGAAAGAAATCTGTTAGTCCTTCTCATTCTTCAAGCCGATCGCGCTCTCGGTCTTCGACTTCTCATAAGGAATCTCGTTCGTCTTACAGTAGAAACAGCTACGAAAGAGACACGGGCTCAAAAAGACGTAGGGAAAGTCGTTCGCGTTCCATCGAACGGAAACGACGTTCAGTTTCCAGCTCACGGAGTAGTAAAAAACGCCGTGATAAATCTTACCGTGAGAAAAAAAGTAAAAAATCTCATAGATATTAATGCGTGCAATGGTGTACGCGGACAGCTTCCTTAATTATGGTCATGTATAAAATTTGAAAAGTTATTTTAGTCGAAATAACTTTAAAATGAGTGGCACCGGATAATGAAGTAATACATAAATTGTAACTTTATTTATATAAACTCGTATAAATAATTATAAGATTGTACTGTATACATATAATTGTAAACCTTCAATTCGTATTTATATTTGATTATAAATATGCGGGTTAGTGTATAAGTGTGAGTGCGAACGAATGTAAGCATGTACTGTTAATTGTCAAAGAAATAATTGAGTAGAATAGAGTTTGTATAGAACAATGTAAAAAAGTCACCATAAACTTTAAAAGTTTTAAATTCGATGATTTTTAAAATATAAAATTGATAAAAAATAATAAATAATTAGCTACTTATATAAATATACTTTTTAATTTTTATTAAGATTAGATTTTGATTGAAACCTTAGCTTGGTAAAACAAATATATCTCTCAATAACTTTTTGTCTACTTAGTTTTGGTATTAATTACTTGTTAGAGTATTTGGTTAACTTGGAACTCTACCTTACCCAGAGGGCCTAGAATTGCGGCGCGCCCTCGCTAACAAGTGGACGCACGACGGACGCCGCAAAACAAACTTGCCGCGTTTCAAGAGAGCTTATGAAAAATTGCGCTTGCGTCAAGATCGTTTTGTTTGCCTTAGCAGCGGCTTTGGTCACCGGTCTCCAGCACCGGTTGTCACGAGCTGCTTTTCTAAGTAAAATTATATTTTTAAAGAAATGTCGACTTTTCACTAGCAAAATGGGTAACTGGCTCGTGAACTGCATCGTCAACTCGGTAGGTTGTGTGGAATACCACGCAGAGCAAACAGCCGCTGAAATTTCCCATCGATTGTCACCAAGAAAGTAATTATGAATTTTCGCTCACTTTTTATTTGGAGCATTGCGTTATCAGCTCGTGCATATTGCAGACCGGTCGTCATCTTGGTGCTGGGCTTGGACAATGCGGGCAAAACTTCCGTGGTCAACTACTTGCACAAAAGTAATATTCCAAAAAGTTTCAAGAGTTTTTATTATGTTACTAACTGAAATCGAGTATTTTAGAAAAATTTACGGACGGCGATGTGCTACCCACGAAAGGCTTTAGAACTGTCAAATTCAACTATAAAAGCCAATGGGAAATTGTTCTGTACGATATTGGCGGGGCCAAGGAGTTTCGAAGCTTGTGGCCGAACTACTACGCCGAGGTGAGTAAAAAATCAATTGGCGAACGACTGCGAAGCTTTTTATACATGTTTACCCCAATAATACTTGCTTGGTGGGTACCGCGGGGTAGGTGCATGGTTTTATATACGTCATCGATGCGGACGATCATCGCCGCTATCACGAGTCGGAGGAAGTTTTCAAAGTTTTGGCCTGCCACGAGCATGCGACCTACAAGCCAATACTCTTGTAAGTATAAATTAGTACTTTTTTAGCGCTTAGCTTATCTGAAGCAAGTATGATCGAAGGATAACGTATGGTAATCAACCGATAGATCGTTTTTATTATCATTATTTATTACTTAGAGATCACAAAAACAACGTAAAATACATAAAAAAAACACAAACCCTGAAGTCCGTATTTCGAGCAATTTAGTTTAGTTTTAATCATTTGGCCCGAGACTGTAACCGATATTCGCAAAAGTGTGAATTTATAAATACAGAAAAAATTATTGTAACGCGAAAAAATATTTGTTTCAAATTGCACTATATGTTATATAGCTTGGGTAACAAACAAGACCTGGAAAATTCGCTGGACAGAGTGAGAATCATCGAGTTCATGCACCTCTACCAAATCGTCAATTTCGCCAGGGTTTATACTAGAGTTGAGGAGTGCAGCTGCCTCAAAGACACTTGTAAATATTACAACTGCAATCGAAATATTGACACAGGATTCGAGTATGTGCAAAACTTGCGTACATCATAAACAATCATACCATTAGATCGCACGTTTGCATTATTTTATAAATCAGATGAATTTTCGTAAATAAAAATTTGTAAAATAATCGACTCGTTGTATCAGGTGGCTAATCAAAACGATAGCGGAGGACTACGAAGAATTGGTTCAAGAAATTCAGCTGAGACAAGAAAAGAAGAATAAAAAGCTGCCGAGGAAGCTGGCAAGGCATCGTTCCTGGGCGGCTCAAAAAACTCGCAATCCCTTTGACTATTCCGACACAGATTCCGATACGGTACAAGTGCATCCATCGATAGCATATGCTAAAAAAAATCGTAATCTATTTTACAAAATCCAAAATTAACTAATTTGGGGAGATAATTTTGTCGCGCAGAAAAAATTTTGGTGCATCAAAGTAAAATATGGTTGCAACCAAATTGAACTTTATTTTCATAAATATGGATTTTGTATTTTGGACAAGATTTTTTTATACGTAATTAATATATCAAATTTCAATCTGATTTTTTTGCTGAGAAAAATATTTTTTTTAGTACTTAAAACCACAGATTGAACTGCCAAAACCCAAGAGTAAGTTTGAACAAATTTTCATGTTATTTATATTGAAGAAAAAAAATTGTTGCCAAAAAACAATTGGAAAAGAGCTTCACAATATTTCACCAAAAATAAAAAATCGAAGATTTTAAAATTATTCTGAAAATGGTTGTCTCTTGTTTTATGATTCGGCGTAAAAGTGACTCGTACTCCAATTGTTTACTTGGATTTCGTCTAATAGAAGTTCAAAAAATGGCAATCCAGCAAAATTAATCTAGCACTTGATTAATAGAAAAAAATAAATTTTTTTATGTCAAATAGAAAAGTTAAAACAAAAAAAGGTATTCAACAAGTTTGTGCGAATACGAAAAAACAGAACGTCTCCTCAAAGCGATGAACAGATTGAAAAGCACATGAAAGAAATGATAAAAAATATGAAAATAGAAGAACTCATAAGAACTACGCAGATCGACGAAAATGTCATTCTGTCTTACGAAAGGCCGAGGGGTCGTCCGAAAAAAAAGCAGGTACGGCCACGCACTGCATCTGGCAAAGTCAAGTCATTCAAACTGAAGCGTCGGGTGCAGAACACTTGCATAGAAAGATCAAATGAGACGACGAGAGACGTAGTTGTACCTATTACGTCGTAGCTCAAAGTATCTCAATATTTTTATTAAACCAATCGTTTCTAATAATGGATTGGTCGATTGTTTGTTGTAACTATTTGTAATTAATATTTTTTAAAAAAATTTTATTAAAATAAAATGTAACTACGTGTAAGTTGAATTAAAAAGGTATCCTTGTATTACTTGGTCTCACTCGATCTAAATAAGTAATCGTAAAATATGGATGAAAAAATCTTTTTTGATTGAATATAAACATTTTAAAAATCTCTTCTTTTTCAAACAATTTTACTTGCTGAAATTAAATGCTCAATATAGGCAATGGCCGTTATACTTCGGTCTACTCTCCTGTAGTACTACAGGTCAATTCGATTACGTTGAAAAAGGGCGCCATGATGCACCCCGATACACGATGCAGAGCTGCTGCGACCTCGTGGCGCAGCTCGGCACGGAACACGCCAAATATATAGATCATATTACATTAGGTCTTAAGTCGTGCAGTCTTGTTGGCGTCCAAATTCCAACTCGCAACAATGCAGCAGGAGCGCGTGCGTATTATAGCTATGACTTTCAATCAGTCGCTCATTGCAAATGGCTGAAAACACAAGTAGTTTCGGAGCGATCGCCAAGTGCTTGAATTACGAGTTCATGTGAGTAGTTTTGTGCGTATCTGTTTGGGTGGATTTGTGCTGGACGCTCGAGAACGACGAAATTTGGTCCAACTGGACCGTAAACATTTTTCCGAAATTAGTTTTTAAGGGAGTTTTTCGCACTAGTGTCAAAACAAATGTCAAACATGCACCTCGATGCGGTAGTAGCGGTGGCGATGACGACATCGGCACTTGTACCGGATGAGCATCAATAACAACAGAAATAACAACACGAACGTCAGCAGCAACGCTGGGAATACAATAACGTGCGGCAGCGGAGGTGGATGCGAGACTACCTATGTGCATAAGTGACTCCGAATTTGTGTTGTTATCGCCGGCGATAGTAGTTTCACGACGCGCCCTCCGTGGCGGCGGCCGCACCAGCAGATAATATATCGCTTTACCACTATATACATAACACACAAACACACACGCACAAATATATATCTATAGATATACTGGTACATTGGTACGTACACACAAATATACACGTACGGATACGAGCGCATACAAACGTTCAGATACGCAAATATCTGTAGGTGATACGTAAAAAATAATACGTATTATTTGTGACATATACTCGTCGTGGCATTGTAATTGGGCTCTTGATCGGACGCCCTCGTCGACTATTATTCGGGCGGCGGTGCCTGCGGTGCCTGCGGTGTTGGACTGTTAAATTCAACTTTGCCGAAACTACCTGGCCATCGTTCGTTTGTCATTTTAACAAAAACTGCATCATGTCGGGTTATCGGCGAGTGAATTATTATGAGCTCTGCCGGTTATGCACCAGCAGTGATGGTCTCAAAGTCAACATTTTCAACGAGGAGGGACGCAAAAGGGAACTTCACTCCAAAATACAGGCTTATCTGCCAGTTGAGGTATTGTAATTGTGCTTTTTAGCGAGAAAACGTGTTTTGTTGATTTTTATCCCTTTCCTTCAAAGTATCTGTAATCGCTCGTCTAGGGGACAACAATGGACAGCTGATTTTATCCCGGGCTTATTATTTTTAAAGGGATGCCAAAAACATCATGAAAGTGAACATTTTCAAATAAATTTCATGAAATTGACATTTCATTTTTTTTTTCAAAGACTGTCATGATCTGTATATAATTGTTTCATGGTTCACTCCAGAGATTTAAAAAAAATATTCAGCACCAAAATCAAAAAACATGTTTAAAATTTTCATTTTGAGCAAGATTTGGAATCCAGAAACTATATTAATTTTTTAAGCTTTATTTGATTAATTTTATTGAGAAAGCATTTAAGTGACTGAAAATAATTGCTGATTAATCTATTTCATTAACTGGTATTCTATTATAATTTTTATAATAATATAATTATAATGTAAAATCTTCAGCAAAACTAATAATATTTTTTCCTACCTCAGCTAATAATAATACAGTTTACTTTTAGTATTTAAACATAATATTTTACATATAACATTTATTATAACCCAAAATTTTTTTCTACCAGATCTTGGATAATGATTCGCTGCCTAAAATCGTTTGTATGGAATGCATAAAAAAACTAGATAATTATATTAACTTCAGAGAAGCTGTAGTTTCTGCAGAAAGCATGCTGGAATCTTTTTTAGCTTCTATACGTTTTACTGAAGATTTTATGAAAGAGGGTAAAGTTTATGTTAAAACAGAAAAACCATCTATTAGTGATGACAATGAAAGTTCTATCAATAATGTAGACAAGGTAGCTCCAGCAACTACCCAGATCATCACTGATCAAACTCAATCACACCCTCAACAAGTTCTGGTTAGTAACATAAATACTCCTAACTTACAAATTATCAGTGGAGCTAGAGTACAACAATACAAATGTGAAATGCAGGTATGTACAATCTAAATAAATATCTTTCACTAATTTTGAATCATAAAATAATGAATAAATTTATTACATCATTTTAGATGCAATCTGGAAATGTATCTACAGCTGTTGTGGAAACAACAGCTGAAACTCATTATAGTTATCAGCATCAGTCATCTCAACCACTATCCAATTCACAGCAAAATCAAAATCAGAATCAAATTGTAGAACAACAAACACCACAGCAGCAAACTCCACAAATGCAAGTTCAGGGCCAAATTCAGAGCCAAAATCAAATTACTCAACAACAGGTACAAACATTGAGGCAACTGCAGCAACAGTCTCAGCAGCCATCAAATCAAGCTAGTCAAGTTGTTCATCAAACTCATGAACAATCTCAAATTAATCAGCAATTGCAACAATTACAAAGACAGCAAAGACATTTGCAACAAATTGAAAAACAACAGCAGCAGCAACAGCAGCAACAACAACAACAACAACAGCAGCAGCAGCAGCAGCAACAACAGCAACAACAACAACAGCAACAGCAGCAACAACAACAACAGCAGCAGCAACAACAGCAACAACAACAACAACAACAACAACAACAACAACAACAACAACAACAACAACAACAACAACAACAACAACAACAACAACAGCATCAACAGCATCAACATATTCACATTACTGAACAAGGTGGAGTTCATCGTAACATTATTTTGAAGACTGAAGATGTAAATGAACAACATCAACAACAGCAAGCTCAACTCCAAATTGAAGTTGCCAAAGCTAATGAGGTTGTTGTTAATCAACAAAATCAACAAACATTTACAACAGTTCAAGCTACTCCTGAAGTTTTATTCAGTCTTGGATTTAAAGATGCTTTAACAGCACAAGTAACACGAGAAGAAGTAAAAGATCTTAAAGAATTTGTAAAAGCAGATGATGCTTTGACTCGTGGAACCATAGGTCCTATTTCAGAATTTCTACGCCTACGACCAGCTGGAGAACAGCAAATAGTTACTGTTAATCCTCAAGCCATATCTCATAGATCATATGTTTGTCGCGATTGTGGAAAAACATTTAATTCTATTAGTCAGTTGAATATCCATGATTGTACAAATGTTCTACTCAGCGATGTAAGTAGTTTCTACAAAATTTTACCATGATTGAATAATTTCTTTAACTTACAACATTTTCCAAAAACATATGTTTACTTATTTTAGGTAGCGGATATCACAACAAATACAAATACTATACCAGCTAAAAAAGATGAATCAAACTTGAATCAGATAAATAGTAATACAAATAATAGTGGCAATGGTAGTTCAAGTACCGTAGTTACCAATACAAACACAATGAGTCCGTTTAGCTGTGATGTTTGCAGTAAACCTTTCAAACGCAAAGAGCATTTATTTCAGCATCGCAAACTTCATACCGGTGAACGACCATACGTATGTTCTAGTTGTTCTAAGGCATTCAGTCGTAAAGAGCATTTGGTACGCCATTCAGTTTCGCACACAGGCGCTAAACACCATGAATGCGAGGTTTGCGGTAAATGCTTTTCACGAAAAGATAATTTGCATAAGCATCGGAAAACCCACGGGGTCTCAGGACCTTTCATTTGCGAGCATTGTGGCAAATCATTTGTTGTTAAACATTACTACTTGATGCATGTAACAACCCATGCAAATCAAGCGAACGTCGATGGAAATGGTGGCAATGGTGTTAATAATTGTATAACAGATCCTCTACCTTATAAGTGCAATATTTGCCAGAAATCTTTTGCAGTCAAGCAACATCTCACTACTCATAAACTCAGACATAAGCCTAAATCACAAAACAATAATGCTGTTCATCAGCAGCAACAACAACAGCAACAGCAACAACAACAGCAACAACAACAACAACAACAACAACAACAGCAACAACAACAACAACAACAACAACAACAACAACAACAGCAAATCATACAAACCAATGAAATCACTGTAACAAGAGATATTACTAGTGTTAGTCTGGGCAATGGAGTTGTAGGAACTCCTGCAAATCAATCGGTTATTGAAATACAAAACGTAGTTGAGAGAGTTGAACAACAGCAACAATTACAAACAGATAGCTTTGGTACTAACCATTATCAGGGCAATGTTTCTCAATTTCAATGAGATAAGGGGAAACGTGTCTATTATGTTCTCTTGCCAAATGGTAACAATCATAAAATTGTTGTCGTTTAAGTGCTACTATGAGAAAATTTAAATAGATACGTGTTATCCCCTTCAATCACCTCGGAAAATAAACACTAATGTTTCATCCAAATTTTCATTCAAACTCTTTTTTGTTTGATGAATAGACATAAGTCTGAAAGAATGAATTTGTATAAATTTAATCATTAAAAATGAAGTATCGTATATTATTTTAGATGTTCGTGTATAGTTTACATACCAAGATATATATTTATGAACTAGAGTTTTTTTAATTTTATAATATGATATTTGACATGAAAAAATCAAAAGAGTACATTAACTCATCTTTGATTACTTGCAATTAAATAAAAAGATGAAATATATATAAATTTATTTGGTTAAATTTGATTTACTAACATCTCAGACAAAAGATATTCTTGTATATCGTTTATCCTTGTCGTTAGGCCAGTGATTTTGAATTTTTACAATGATTAAAATATACGCAATGTTTTTAATGATAGACCCTTATTCATTATAAAAATCAAAATCAATGACTGATCAATTTTGTTAAGGTAAAGAGTGTAATATTTTGTTACAGCAATGATAATTCAATAATGATTGAAAATATTCACGTTCTTCATTACAAGCATTTTTGATACTTACATATTTGTGCATAAATTCTATTTGTAAAATAAATGAACATTATACGAAATATATAAATGTATCTTTTTAAATTCATTCATTTGGATGCTTTTTACACTAAATCAAAATGGCTGAAATTTATTGAATTTTATTTTAAATAAAAAAATCAAGATTAAACTATAACAGTTATAAACAATGTACTTTAATGTACCAAGTGTTTTATACACAATAATCGTGTAAAACTATCTTTTTAAAAAAATGTATCATAAATATATCAAATTGATAGTATAAAAGTTTTCCTAAATTTGGAAGTGTTGAAATCAGAAACAACCGCCTACATTTTGATGATTTGCTTAGTTGATGAGAAATAAAGATGAATTTGAGTCAAGAATTTCACACGCCCATAAGAAATGTACATTTTTTACGACAGATTATATAGAGAATTGTATACAGTATATAAAAAATTGAATAATTATATAAAACAAATTATTGTAACATAGACATTTTTCGTTTCTTCTAGATTTGTGAAATTCATGATTACAAATATTCTACATTCCCAAGGTCTATAGAAGAAATAGTTAATAGTTTGTGAAACTAAAAACTAGACACATAGCTGGTGCTATATGATATTGTAATATATTTGCTCCAGTGAGAAATGACACAGTATCATTAATTGAGTTTTGATGTGATCAACTCATGCAAAAAATCAAACCAAGTCTTCTGTGAAAACATTTTTCAAAGCTCCTTTTATATGTTTATGATTGACTGAAAATGAATGATAATTGTAAAGTAAAAAAATGTGCAAATATTGAATTTAAGAAAGGAAAGAAGAATAAATTTGATTTACAGTAAAAAACAAAAATTATAGTTTCCACAGGTACCCAAAAATGAAAATTTGAATATATTATCTTAGATAAAATTATCACTTAAATAGCAAGTATTTCAGAATAAAAAACTTAAGTGTTTTATTTTGAAATATTTTATTTTAGTGATGAGTAAATCAAAAAGATGAATCAGAGTGACTTTACTACAAATAAAAGTATTTAACATTACATAAAACCTGCATTTCAAATGTTGTAGTGAATTATGGATAGCTTGGTAAAACATGCAAGACAGTATCTCTGTATAAGATATTTACAATTAAGCCTTTTAAATTGTTAATTGTAGGTACTCGTTACAAAGTTCTTGAGTTTTTCCTAAAAATTATACTTTTGAAATTTCGTTTCACATGAACATTAAATTCAAATTATACGTTTTTGAACTAGGAAATCGAATGAATCTCATTGAGTGAAATTCGATAGATAAGTTAACGTTGCTCGGTTGCAACCGCAACGAAAATGATCATTATAAAATTTCCACGATCAACAAATATATGACGAATATATTTCTAGCTTTTCTACTTGATATTATAATACGCATAAAATATCGTATTATCATATGAAAATGTAGAAATTTTAATTTTATTATATATACACGTTTGGAGAACTTTAATTTACCATTTAGCTACACTATTCATGAGTTTTAAAATTATAAATATTGTAATAAGATTTATGACAGTCACTCTCAATTCCGAAGTAGAAAATGAAATTTTCCGCTGAGAGTCAAGAAAGATACAAGTAGTGGTATCCTATATCAAAGTAAAATTATTCTAAATAATGAATGTTAAATTCAAGCTTTGAAGTTATAATACATTTTTCTCATTGTATTCCGACAAAAAGAGAATGCAAGAAAAACGGTATCATGTTCCCTGCATTGAGAAATTAAAAAACAAAAAACATGAATAACAAAATTAAAGCTTATTCACATCGATGACGTTAGTAAAAATAAAATTATAAAACTCAAACGTCGACTTTGCTTACATACCGATTTTGCTTTGCAATGCCATAAATGCATGTACGTGCGAATGATTATTCAATTTATTTTGATTCTTAAACGGTCTCAAATTTTTTTTTAGCAAAATTGATTCGATAAAAAACATATATAATGAATATTTATCGTTTTGTCTTACATATTTAGATTCTATAACATACGATAACCGTTTAAAAATCGAAATAATATAAGAAAATTGAATGTATTGAACATAATGCTACGGAGTAGAAGTAACCTTACATTTTTGTGTAAATTATTATTAATAAAACCAAAGATTAAAGTATAAATACTATGTAATATATTGTAGTCATGAAATAGATAATATATAGATTTAATTCCAGATAAATCAGCTGTTTTAATTATTTCTCCCCATTTTTTTTTTGAAATTTGATATTCATTGAATAAATAGACGTAAAAATTGAATTGAAAGTCATAAAGCCTTTATTATTTAATTAATAAAATTAATAAAATTAGTTATAATACATGTAACGAGTAATAGTACTTGGTAAATTAAAAAAATTATAATATAGTATGTATAATATATAATATATATAATATAATATATACACTCTACACGTTCGTTAACCGAAAATATAATGAATACTTGGTACTCGTCGATGAACTTCGAAGACTAGTTAAACGCCTCCATCAGTGATTACCCACTTTATTTTATGGGATCGAAAATTTCTATCGAGAATGGAGATGTGTACTTAATCCATTTTAGGTGCGCTTACTTTTCACCCGGTAAACATATATTTTTAGGCCAATATCCTTCATTAATATTTTTACATTAATTAGTGAATCATTTATACAGTCCATCAACGGTTTATTAGTGGAGTTTTTTTTCAGGATTTAATAGCCTATATCAATAAAATAACAACTACACTAATAACATCAAGAGTCCTCCACTACATTATATGACCATGAAGTTTAGTTATTTTCAATAATTTTTACGCATGTTTGTGCGTACTCAAATAACCAGTATTATAAAATGAAGGAGGAGAAAGTTCAGGCACTGTGAGGAAAAACATATGTGTTAAGCACGCGTAATTTTCTTGTCCTTGTAAAATTTTAGACAAATTACATAGTGTTGCTCTTCCTTTATCATAAGCATATTAATTTTCTTCTATTAATCTGCTATTAGTCGTAGCCAGCTAACAGTTAAATGTTGTTTTTGCTTCATTGCTTTGTTCATTGCTCAGGGTGTTTTACACAGATTTCACCCATGAAGACGCGAAAATTCTTTTTATATTGTATTTCTACAGAACAAGTTTTTTAATCCATAAAAAAATTATGTGCTGTATAAAAACAAAGATTTTACACTAACATTTAGAATTTCAGAACAATTGTAAATAATACTCTTCTAGAAATGATGACGTACCTATTGTAGATCACGATAGACATCAATATGAGTCTTATTTAATAACAACCATTTTTGACGTATTTTTATAACGATGATATTTTAACGTTTAAGGTATATTTTTTTCAAATTCGCTTGCATTTCAATCCATTCAATTAACACACACATCAATCTATGATCGAACATTGGTTCAAAGCTACTGAATATATAATGCAATTTTATATCGGTCCCACGTATAATTCATACCACGTTTTTACATATAACATGCTCGTGAACATGCACGTTAATACATTACTTAGGGCGTTTAACTTGGTCTACGATCACTTGATATAATACCAATGTCATCTTGAATTGATTGTTCTGTCATCAATTCGACGACCAAACACATTCCATTTTTTTTGTGATAATTTCTCGTTATTGTCCTGTTAACGATAGACATTTTTATACATACAAAAAAAAACACGTCCAAGCCATTCTTAAAGTACTAATCGTCCCACTCGTCATCATTATCACTGAAGTCACTTGAATCTTCACTCTCACTGTACATAGCTCGCGATCGTTCAGCCAATGCTCTGGTTAGTGCTGCTGCTAAGCCACCCTCGACAACGTTCGGTGTGGCACTGTTTGGCCTTGGTTCATTTGTTACTGGTTTCAGCGTTATTCCTTGTCGTATTTCATCCAAAAGATTACTTCTCGTATCTTTTGGAGTGGGCGATTTTGTTTCTTCTTTATTTATTTTCTAAGCAAAAATTTTAAATATATATTCAAATTCAAATTAATTGCTATTAATAATTACAACAACTTTCATTAATATTACTACTGAAAAATTTACCTTCAAGGGAATACCACTACGTATTGACTCCATTAACATTGATCGGGGATCCACTGCAGGTACAGGTGCCTTAATATCGTTGCTAGATCCACTATTACCATTATTATTAGGACTCAAACTGGGTAGAGGTGGTGGTGGTGGTGCATTTACAGCTTTTGGTAATTCAACAGGCATTGGAGGGGGTGGTGGTGGTGGGGGTAATACTGGTGCTATTGCTGGTGCTGGTGCCGCAACTGGAGCTGCCGCAGGTGGAGGTGGCCTGGTTGGAAGTGCTCTATGAACTTGAGGTGGTACATTTGGAGGTGGAGGTGGAGCTTGACTTTGAGTCTGAACTGGAGGCAACGGAGGCGCTTTTCGTTGATGACTCTGTAAATTCATTTTACAAATTAAATAAAATTCACCCTGTATCAAAACTGTTTGACAAGGAATTATTTGAAAAGTTACATTGTTTGAAAAGTTTGTGTTCACTGGTATTGTTCTTGCTGGCACAGGTGGTGGAGGTTCTGATTTTGGCAAAGGTCTTGGCACTTGATGCTGCATATTAATTGGCGACGGCGGTTTCGTACTTGATGACGGAACTATTTCCTTTTTCACTGCATTCATACCCCCATAGCGCTCGATAAAATCGTAAATAAAATCTCGTGTTTCGCGATTTTCCAAGTGAGTATCTGATATTCCAACTTTATCAAAGAAAGCTTTCAATTCCGGATCTACTACCCTACAGTTATTTATATCGGTGCCCACATGTTCCACGTGTCTGTAAAAAAAATGCATAATGAAAAATTGTTTCTTAAAATTAATAGATTTTTCTTCAATTTTATCGTCAGAACTCACCTAAAATCAAACGGTAATCCAATATCATTAGTTGTTAATTTTTTCTTAGACTCATGATTTTTCTTTTTCTTCTTGGAAGATTTGGTAGATGATGAAATGTTCGATAAACTTCTATTTATATTAGAAGTCATGGATGTTCCATTTGAAAATTTTTCCGAAGTATTTGGCACAAGACCTAAAGATGGTGTGCTCACACTTTGATTTTTTTGAGGTAAAGTAACTCCTCTTTGATTTTCTGGTGGTTTTGAGTGTCTTTCAGATCTACGTCTGGCTCTTGCAGAGAGTCTTTCATCAAGAACATTTCTAAAAAATTTCAAGAAAATTAGTATTTTTGTCATTTTTTATAATTACATTTGAATATTTGTCATTATTTTTTAAAATGGTACCTAATAGATATACAATCACTAATTCTTATCTAAAAATACAAAGCAATTATCAGTAACAGATAAGACCATCAGTTAACCGAACAAAAAATTTTTTTTTATGTTTTATCGTTAGAAAAACAATTTTTTTTTCCTGCATCTGAAATTAGGTCATTCAATAAAAAGTTCATGTCAACTTACTTCAAGACAATTGCATCAGTTTCACTAGCAAAATTAAATGCTGCCATGCAGTCTTCAGCTTCAAAGGTATGAAAATAATTTTCAGGTGCCTTATACTCAATGGACATGTAAACTTCATGTTCCCAAAGTAAAGTTTTCTTCTGAATGCAATACAGTCTTAGGAAAAAACTTCGTTTAGAAGTATCTCTGATCAGTGTGATGATTCCTGTATTTTTCTTTATCCATTCATTATGTCTTGGAGGTTCTGTCAAGTACAGTTGAATAATACCCGCAGCAAGGCACTAAAGATAATAAGAGTAATTGTAATTAGTTTACTATGCACTATGTAAAAAAATGTATTCATAAAAATAAGTTAACACATGATTCAAGCTACTGTAAAGAAAAATTCAATCACTTTCAAACAAGACAAGAATGTCAAGTCTATATTGAGCGAGTCACGGTGTTGTCATTTTATTAACAATATGAAGCTACAATGACAAGTGCAGTTGAACATTAGATAGGAAGTGTATAAATAGGAGAGTTATCACTAATAAATACTTGAGTAAATACATACATAATAAGCTCAAAACACCAGCATAATGTCATTAGAACCAGTAATGGAGGTACAGTGAATAAACCTCAAACATTCAAAGTGTCAAAATTGAAATTAATTCCGTCTGTTCGAAATCGTATCTGTTTGATGTATTTCGTCGTTTAAGGTGCAGCCGAAATCGCGTCATAAAAGAGTCGAGTTAGCATGGCAAGGTTTATAAATAATCACAGAGAAAAAACGAGCGATCGAAAAATGGAAGAAAGAAGAAAGTGTGCGAAGCTTGATACACATTTAGGCATGAATTAATGACATATTTTACCTGGCAGCGATTCCCAATAAGTCGAAAGACCTGTTCATTTTCCTCTGGTTTGAGCAATATCGAGCCCTGATGTTCGTTCGCGCTGCCCGACTTCATCGTGGAAGCTATGACGAGGTTTCAACGACTCGTTGTCTCGGGTCGTCAAGCAAGTTTTGACGTCGAGCGCGATGCAGATGCGATCGAAAAAAGTTGGAGCCACGAGCAATATATGCGAGGTCGGCCGATGACGGCAGGAGATGACGATGATAATGATGGTGATGATAATGATGAATCAGCCAAGCAAGTAGTTTGCTAACAAAACACTCTTGGCATCGTGAGCGAGCGACTTTCTCACACTCGCGTCCATCATCGCAAATTTGTTTTGTCCTGGCGCTTTCACAGGTCACACACACGCACACGTTGAGATGTTCCTCTCGTGCAGCACTACGTATATATATCTGTATGCACTATATGTATATAACGTACTGTAGCAGTAGCACGAGCTTCTTTTTTAAAGTGCTCGGCTGTCCGCTGTTTCACTACTTGCCACTGCAGCAATAGCAGCAGCTCTGGTTGTGAGATATTGCGAGTTTTCAGCGTGTCAATGCGAATGCATAGAGAAAAAAAGTGACCGAGGAGAAATGTATACTCTACACGATTCTATGTGTATATAAGAGACTATTGTATATATATACAACAAGCGTGTATGTATGTTCGTATAATAATACCCAAGAGTAATCGTAGTATGTGTGAGCAAGAGTAACAGAGACGCAGAGAGAGAGAGGCGACGTTTAAAGAGGGACCCCTGGCAGAGAGTAAGCTCCGCGATGGCCTGCTGAGCCTACTCTACTGCTGAGAATCGCTCCTACTGCTTGACGTCGCGATATGTGGAGAGGGGAAGCGAGACGCCGAGGGGGTGCAGCTGAGCAGCTTTTGCTCGCAAAAAGGCTCTGACGATAGTCGCTATATGGAGCATCCACTCTTGCCAACGCTCCGGTAGCATTTTTAAAGAGACGCCGCCGCTGACAATCGCGTCAGCACTGCCCGGTAGAGGTAGTCAGCGTATACGGCAAGCTTATACACGTTTCATCAATTAATTGACAATTTCACTTATTAACGTCGCCAGTGATTATTAAGCACACGCTGCATAGCTTAATATTAGGTAGCATAGGATAGAGTGAGAGAGGAGATACTCGCCTACTTAGGAAAACATAAACACAACCAAAACGCATAGCGTCAACAGCATGTAGACTAGCTGTCAAAATAGTCTTCAATGGTCGGAAGATCGATCAACTTGATTTTCCGTGGTTAGGAATTTTATTCTTACCTTTTATATAGCGAGCTAGTTAACTGATTACATCTGCCAAAAGAGATGAAACGCTCGGCGACTCCTTCACATTCTAGTGACGATGAGTCTAAGAAAGATTTGGAGCCCATTGCCAAAAAGAGTAAGAATAATTTCAGATATGAGTATCATTTTTTAGATTTGCCAGATGATGTTTTACTTCATGTTTGTAATCTTCTCAGTGCTTTTGACAAAATTGCACTGCATCTGTAAGTACTGATCTTGCAATTTGTATTTTAAGCCATTGATCAACTAATCCACTGATTTTGTTTAAACTTATTTTATACTTTTTTAGGACTTGTACTCGCTTGTCAAACTTATGCTGTGATAGATTCTTATGGAAAAAAATAGATTTCCGAGGAAAAAATTTGACTGTTAGAACTCTTAAACTTTATAGTAAATTCATTCTGCCTATCACTAAATTTTTAGCTATTCGTGGGAATACAGAGATTGATGCTGAATTTTTTGACCTACTTCGCCAGCAGAGCAGAGACTTGAAAGAATTTATCGTTGAAGATTACATTATTTCACAGCAAGATGTACGTAGAAGACTTATACATTTATTTCTTTATTACCATCTCAAGTTTTTTTTCTTATGATGACTAATAATTGTATTTTTAGATACCTATTACATCATTTCCAAAAACATTAAAATTACTTTCGCTGAAAGGATGTGATGTAATCAATAGATCACCATTGCTTACAACTAAATATTTGAGTAGAATAGACTCTCATATGCTTAACTTATCGGTAAGATGAACAATCCATTCTTTTGTACAAATTCAATACCAGCCCAAAATAGAAAAAAAATATTGTTTTCAGACATTAATTTTATCAAATTGTAAATGGTTAAATTCACATTCATTTATGATTATCAGTAAAATTCAGCAACTTAAAGAAGTCAGACTAAATTCTTGTCATGGATTAAAAGAGGACATAGCATATACAAGCATAGCATGTAGATGCGGAATGAAAAATTTAGAGGTATAATTAAAATATTGATCATTTTTATTTGTTATTATTGTGATAAATTTGTAATGTTATACTAATTTTTACACTAAAATCAGATTTTAGATTTGAGAGACACATTTGTTGGAGACAGTGTAATAACTAGTTTTAGTCTTTGTCCAACATTGACTGAAATATACATGGAGAATCCAAGTCCTGAATCTGAACCATACCATCATGAACCTCCACCCGAACACAGAGAAATATTTCTAATTCAATTGCCTCGAGGTCCAAACATAAATCAAAATAATGTTGCAGTAAATGTTGGGGTATATAAATGAAAAAATTATTGCATATATAGTGTTCAATAGTTTTGACTAAATTTTTGATTGCTGTTACTATTATATTTCAGCGTGTTAATGATATAGATGCAAATCGGCTGATGGGATATATTAGAAACAATGTAGATCGTTCTCTAATAACAGATAGGTCTGTGTGCAGTTTAGGCATTCAAGGTAGAAATCCAAATATTGCCATAAATCATCTAGAAGAAGTTCAATTAGCTGTAGGAAGATCTAGAGAAACAACTAATCCAAATTTACAAAAATTGGTAGTAAGGTAAATTAATAATATTAATATAATTAATTTTCATTCATCAGTAAAATGATGTTGATCTCTAACTATTAAATGCAATTTTCAGAAATTATCCGGATGTTACAAATAATTCATTGACTCACTTGCTTCATAATGCTCCTAAACTGGTGTATCTTGATGTTACTGGTACTTCGGTGACAAAACAAGCAGTGGATAATTTCAGACTTCAACGACCTGAAGTTACGCTTTTATCATCTTTTTAATTTTATTTCAAGGAAACTTGTAAATATTTCAGTCCTCTTTCGAATGCAATCAAATTTTTTTTTGTAAGAATTATTATTAAGTACTGGTAAAAAATTAATTTTATATGTCATGATAATTGCTTGAAAAAATTAGATAGAACAAATAATTAGAAAACTGTGATTTAATATTTGGAGATGAAGAGTCTGTATTTTTCAATATACTTATTCGAGTGTGTGCGCGATAATGTTCACAGTTATTTAAAAAAAGTGTGATACTTAGATTTGGCAAAGTAAAAGTGTTCCTCATACTTGTAAATAATTAACCTTTTAATGTAAAGGTAACATTGTATGGCCAAAATTTAATATTCACTACTTTAAATTGTAAGAATAACTGAACTCCTACCTCCAGACATTAATTTTATATATCTATCTACATTTTATTTTTACGTAAAAAACCACTTTGGTGACTAATATCGAACAAATTATAAATAATTGCTTTTTCACAAAATCACTTATTGTTACTATATGTTTAATATGTAATAAAAATACATAAAACAAGCTTTAAAAAGTATTATTTTTACTAAATATTCATGAAAAATTAAAATCACAGGATTATCAAAGGATTCATGTTAGTTTTATTCATAAATATTTCTAATTATACAAAGTACTTCATTTTGATGGTTTGAGGTTTTGGATGAAATTGTGGGCAATTGCTACCAAGACAACATTCTTCTACTATGTTCGTCGAATGCATTTGATTTCGATTGCGAATGAATGTCTAAACTTCTAAGGATTCTCTACAATCTACATTTGTCGCAACCGTTCAATTGTTACCAGTTTGATCATTTATGTTCCTTAAAAAATCAATTCCTCCATGAATTATCACAAACATCGTACAAATAAGTCTAAGCTAATCAAACAATAATCATAATTGTTCATGTAAACTCCAAATCGTACTTAATTTCACTATAATCCTTACAGAGATAATTTGCTAAACTAAAATAAAAGTTATGAGGTAATAATATCCTTGGGAATCGTATCGAATGGTATTTTCATCGATATTGCACTTGTTCTTAATATAAGTTTCAAAAGAGATTTAAGCGTCGCGATACATTTTCTACACCTAAAAAATAGGTATAAATAATTATACCAGTTTGTTTGTGACATTAACATTTATCGACGAGTGCTTTTGCTTATATTAATCGATTTTATTTTAAAAACACCCTTGGTTTTATAAAAAGTACGAACGAAAGTCCTCTACGAGAGAACTTGTTTTTATTTATTGATTTGTTGCAAACTGTCGCCTCATCAAATGCTCGTAATTTGTTTAAATATCGAAGATGAAGCAGCATTGCTGTGCATTATTTACATGTAAAATTGGATAATTTTATGTTAAAATGACTTTGAATTTTTCGCAGCTCAATTTTAGAATCACTAGAGTTTTTCGTCGATAAAATATCGTGAGAGTCTGATTAGGTTTTTGAATTTTGTTTGACCTCTACTTTATAGATTAAATAACAATATTTCTACACTTTATCGACGTTTCGAAGAAAAGTTCATTTTTTGCTGGGTCAGCACTTTACAATACTTTTTTTGCTCCTTGATGCATTTTTTTGTCCATGTACTTCTGTGTAATAGGATTTAGTACAACGTTATACAAGTGAGTCTTAGGTAGCGTGAAATATTGGTCTTTTTTTTTTTTTGACTCGGTCAGACGATAAGTGCCATCGTCTTTTTATAATATAATATCATCGAACTTCATTGGCTTTGAAGAAGTATGTTAATTATATATTTTTTGGCTAATTTACGTGCAATATTGATTTACAAATATCAGATTAGAAGTCGCACGGGGGAAAAAAATGGGGACTACAAAATTGTAACATTATCTGTATGCATTGTTAATATGAACAAATTGCAACACATAACATTTCGACGACATGAAAAATTGCAACGGTTGTACAGCTAGTCAATGAATATACAATTTAGTATAGGTTTATATATAAAAATGAATTTCTTATCTAATCTTCGAGCGAGCAATTATACATGTTCATCGAGGGACTGAAACGCCGTCGCGTTTGAAATATTTTCTGAGATTAAAAATATCGAGACTGTGTCTGGAACTGATGGCACGCGGCGCACTTGTTCTGGAGTTAACTTTGGCATGAGCTATATCATAATAAACGATATAATAACGGAAAGAAAAAAATCACAAATTCACATTAGCGCGTCGTGGCTCGCTGAAAAAAAAAATCACAAGGAATCGTCATAAGGTACAAGAATTGCGTGTCTAAAACTCGACGTGCGAATGGATCTGATGCTGCTGGTTGAACATGCCGAGCAGCCGTTCGCCCGAGGCCAGGATCGGCGAGTCCGCGTCCGGGTACAAATGATGGAGGATCGCGTGGTAGTGGAAGCCCGCTCCGGCGGCCACGAACAGGTGCCAGATCGCGTGGGCGCACGGTATCCGGCCGTCGGCTTTGAAGAACACGATGCCGAGCAGATAAGCCAGGCCACCCCACTTGAGCTCCGGTATGTTGTCGTACTCCTTCTGCACAATGGGTAATCGAGTTAATAATAAGACCGTATACATAGTATATGCAATGAAAAAAAGATAAAACTCACAATGCCTACGATGGCAAAGCTCGGGCCCACGCCCATTATCACATAGAAGGTCGTCTCGAGCCACTTGTACTGCTCGTGGAAGATCTGTTGGTAGATGATGCCGACCGCGGCCATGATCCAGACGAGGATCCTCATGGTGGGCATGAGCACGTCACCCTCGAAGGGCTCGTGATTCAGCCAGGGAAAGTAGGTGGCCGCTATGAAGACGTAGATCATCGCTCGGTCGCAGCGATGCAGCACGTCCTTCAGATTGGTCAGCAATCTGCCGAGAGGAAGAAAAGAAGCTGCCTTTGAGCGATCGCGCGTCTCTCTCTCGCGTGCGTATATAGTTTTATTATACCCTTTGTGAAAGCAGTAGTGGATGCTGTGGAAGACGGTCGACACGGTGAAGAGCAAGAGCAGCGACGTGCCGTAGACGATGGCCGAGACGAGCTTGGGCCAGCTGGAGGCTCGCTCGATGAGCTCGAGGGCCCCGAGGAGGGCCGGCACGATCCAGACCCCGTGGGTGATGACGTTGGCCACGTGCTCGACGAACGTCGGCACGTACGCTTCGTTCGTGCAGGCTTGCTCGTTCATCCATCTTACCCTGCAAGCGCCGTTTCGATATTGCTCTTTCCAATCGATCTTTATGTGTAAAATCTCTCTCTTTCTGCATAGGTGTTCGTATCGATCGATCGAATTATCCACGAGTCGCTGCGCGCGAGCACGGAAACATGCAGAAAGTGCGCGACGATCTAATAATAAGCGCAAAATCGGGCAAGCGAGAGTATAATATTATCGCTCTAAAGCGTCTGCGACTTTGTTTATTTATTTGCTACTTGAGCGCACCGTATCATCCGCTCGCGGAGCAATATGCGAGCTCGATTGACTTTGCAAAAATTTGTCTGACTGGCGTTTTATGTAATTGTGTGATTATATATTGGAGCGCTTCGAATACGCGAAACATCTTAAAAATAAGTATGTATAGCTGATCGAAAATTAAAAAATTTCATTTTCCGTGTTATAAGTCAATTTTCAAATTGCCGATGATTTTCACTTCTAGTCACACTGATATACATTATAACGCGTCATCGTCAACTAATTAGTAATTACAATTGTGAAAGAAAAATTGAAAGCTGTGCTACACAATGTCAAGTCAGTGCGTCGATTGCTCCTTAACGATTATGTATACCATGGAGCCTGAGTCGAGCCGAATATAATGATAAGGAATCGATACACGGCGAGTTTTGTATGACTCTGTGCGTTTTAACGGTGACCGGGAATACATCAGGACGCACATATCGATCACGTGAGCTTGTGCCATGTGCGTGCTGCCGCTGTCTCGTGCAGATAAAACGATGTGCTACCGTGCTGCAACGACTCGGCCATCGCTTCTATCTTGCGGCAAGTATACGACCGATTATCCATCGAGTCCAGTAGTACAAACAATTTTATTTTCCCTCTTATGATAAACGTGTTGTCTGTTTAATCAATCAATGACCCTCAATTTTCTTTGAATCTCTCTACCCATTCACGTCTCGCCTCAGAAGCCTCGAAGTAGCAGTTCATTTATGACTTTTACTGGAATTCAAAAAACGTTCCAGTAATAAGTTAGATCTATTTGGGGCAGAGTCAAATATTGTTATTTATTTCATCGAAAATCAAACTTTTTTTTTAAATTGATTTCTTCAGGCCTCTGAAACGTCTGAGAAACACTTAAAATTTCTTGTCAAATTCAGAGCAATTTCTGAAATGACAGACAATACGCTTATAATGTCAGGCAAAAATAAACTTTGGTTCGTCCGATTTGACGGAGAATCAGCCATTTACAGCACGTGCGCGATAGTGCAAATTTTCATCTACTTATATGCTACATGCGTACACGTAACAATTGCGTTTATAATAGGCTCTTCTCTACATAATATCGTGTTAATAATACGTGTCCATTATATTCATATGCACGCGTGTGTACGTGTTTATAATTCAATGTGTGCAGTGGCAATTACTTAGATGATTAATTTCTTACCCCAATTACAGTATTAATATTTAACCAATTGCGAAATACCATCTTGTTAATTGCTAACACTTTATTCATTCATCCTCTATAGCCTACCAAAAGAAAATATCGCAATACTATATGAAGAACTAATTACTATAAATACGAAGCTTAATCGTATATTATAATTACTCGTATGTATATCAATTGTTGCTTTTTTTCTCAAGATTTTTCTACTGAAAATACTCACTCTTTGAGACGTCGCATTTGCAGGTAGTTTTGCACGGCTACAATGTACGGATTCCGCAACGTTGGCCCACCCATGATGCAGCTTCGAGCCGATCGACAAGTTTAATTAATATTCGGCTACGGTGTACCAGCACAGTTGAACGGAACATTTGTGTATGGGTTTGCCGATTTTTTTTTTTGCCTCGATTACTCGTAAACACAATTATCACCTGCAAAATGAATACGATGCAAGTAAGAATGTGCGTGATAATTGTTTCTATCTGAAATACGTCTTATCACACAAGATCTTCAAGTATAAATAATTTCCGATTTGAAAAATTCTTTTTTCGTCATTGTGTAACATGGATCATTGATGGTGGTAGGTATAGGCTGCTGCTGGTCAATGACATTTGTCGTCAACACATCTGCTTTATTTATTTATTTTTCTTCGTAGCGACTGCGATAATTTCGCTGTATAGATTAGATCGCGAGATTGTCCGACTGGTCGATTTCTTAAAAATGGCAGTGCATAAAATGGCAGATTAAGCTAGTGGCATAAGATAATAGACACAGGTTATGCTTTCAATACTCGGTTCTCAAAAAATCACAGCAGTTTTGAAGAGATTTTCAAATGTCAAGCAGCAACAAGACACAAAATGAGCGCAGTGAAGCAATTGCAGCGACCGAGTTCAACAAAAAATGAAACAAAATGAGGCTCGGAAATTTGCATGCAATACAATTGATTGTTAAAAGATTTAAAAAATAATGAAGAGTTCGAAAAGTCATTCACACTAGAAACGCACACGATCGTATTGGCAGTCATCGAGTAACGTAAATACAAGCGATTGTATTTATTTTTTTGTCACTTACATTTACCTTTGACTTTCTTCTATTCTATGTATGCATCTGCTTTTATGCAAATTTCTCAGCACGAAAATCGGGGACAATATTTTTCATGGATTGAATCACTCGATATCGTATAAAGCGACGATTCGCGTCCGCACAGATGCATCGAACGAGCGCAGCAACATAATTATTGTTGCTCGTGGTCAGCGAGTCCGATCCGTAGGCTACTTATTAATTTATTACATTCGATGTGCGCGACTATCGCCGTCCGAGAGTCGAGTCGCGACTGCACGCTGCGAGATACATGCACGAGGCTCGCGCATACGGCACTTCTCGACTCGAGAGAGTTAGAGAGACTCGAGACTGGTGTCGAGGTACTATGTACACTTGACTACACACAAACACACGGCCGTGTAGCTTGTGTGTATAAGTACGTGCGCATTTCGAAAATAAAATCTGGCATCGAGCAACACTAGCTCCGGCAAACAAACTATTAGCGGCCTATGCACCGATGGGGAAAAAATATTCGTGTTACCAATAAATAATTCGTTCGGGGTGCGGCAAACATTTGATAATTCTTGGTATATGCCACCGCTGCCCTTTCTTATTCAATCAAAAAGACATCGTAACACAGATGCGCTGATTCTCTCCTGCTCGCGGGGTTTTACAACTAAAATGTGACCGATTTCCAAGACATCATGTAGTGCAAGCTTTTTGCCGCAAACTAAAGCGAATTATTGTGCATGGAATTATCATACAAAATAATCTACGCGTCTAATTTTGCTCATTTTTTTCCTTGACGATTACAACAAGGTCCCTCTTTATTTAGATAGAAAAAAGGGCGAAACAAATCTTGGAAAAGTTACTTTTTTTGGTTGATTTACGTAACTACTTGCCTACAGCTAATGGATCTATAAAGTATCGAAAGAGATAGTGGCTCAAATATTGGCAATGCATCCTTGATCTTTTGACTCGAGATTATAGTAATTTTTTTGTTCATCCATCTGAATCAAAGTTCACAAGAATCGGGGCTTCAAGTTCAACGGAAAAGAAAGAAACAACAAACACGACTCAACTTTTTATTCACAACTCGAGTATTTATTCAAAGTCCAAAAGTACCGCGGATACATGAGAACTCGCAAACAATGCGTGTATTGATTTCGATGCACGTTGACGTCTTACAAACGCATTGCGTAATCTGCTTTTTATTTTATGTAAAACCGGAACTCGTTCGTTTGGCGCTCGATCGATGCATGTAATTTTTCCTATGTGTTTGTGCCGCAAAACAAAAGGTGAGAGAGAAATCGACAGATTTCAAAAATTGTAAAAAAATCTCTTTGACGCAAAGTAAGCTTCATTATGCTTGGTCGGGAAGGTAATAATAGCACGCGTCAAAAGAGAAAGAGCGAGAGAGTAGGCTGAAACTAAAGGCTCTTGACATTGACGCTCGCGAGAAGACTTACAAAAGGAACTTTCGGTCAAATCGCGAAAATGCAGTAGTATAGAAAAAAAGTGTCGAGACCTTATACAAATAATAATGCACGATATCGATTATCTGCGCTTTTGTCGAAAAAAAAAACAAAATTAAATTTAACGAATAAGTTGCCCGTATACTGGCGAGGGTCGATCGACACAGCTGATAAAGTGCGACGCGCGCGGATTTCAATTTCATTTCTTTGACAAAAGAAAGTTCGTCCATGTACATATATTTAATATCGATTCGAGACTACGTGCGTATTTGCTTCTACATATTTTCGCGTTAAAAAGTGAACTTGGACAAAGATAAGTGTCTATAAATGTAATGATTAATTACTTATCGTTATTCAACTCCAAGGTGATCAATGATTCTTACGATGTACATGCAAGATGAAAAATGTACAATTGACACCGTAATGTAGGTATGCGACGTGAAAAAATTCAAGTCCGTTTTAAAGTCCGTTTCAAAGCCATCATCATAAATATAGTCCGATAATCCCTTGATCGAAGCGTATACACACACGCTGCAGCGTCTGCAGCGGCCAGTCGACGCATCCCTATCTAATTCAAGTGATCTAATAATAAGTCGAAATCGATAGGCGAAAAATTCAAGCGCACGAGACATACGTGTATAATGAGCTGTCTCGCGCTCAGCTTACAACGTACGAATCGCATGGATGTGCACGAGAAGTGAAATTGAGTTGGATCGTTCGCGATGCTGATAGGATGTATCGTGTGCGTGTTTGCAGTAGCGCAGGCGAAAGGACGTGAGTCGACATTATTACCTCAGGCTATAGGCGAAAAAATAAAGCGAATGGGATGAAAAACTCGTTGATTAACCTCCGACGCATTACTAAATTTATGCTGGAAATGTAGCATTGAGATTTATTCGGGAGTTTCGTACGTCGTTATAGCTCGGCCAATGCGCGCCGATAAGAATATTTCACTTCCATGTTGGCGCGATCGCGGTTTATAACCAGTTCTCGCGGGCAGCGCACGAAATAAACAGGTTTTGAAAATTCATTAGCTCGGCTCCATGTTACGAGCGCACTTGCATATACTCATATTATATGCGATTTTTTACAATATGCTCTGCGCGAGCAATACAAATATTGACGGCTGGCCAAGCCAATGGTTGACCACGAATGACACACATTCGCTCGCACAATTGCGCCCGCGCTCCTGCGACTGCTGCTGCTTATACCGAGATTTATTCATTGACGCACGTGTCGGAGGAACGCTCGGCAGCGATTTCATACGAATAAGAGATCAGCTTCTACGAGTGCTTTATGCAAGAGTTTGCACGCGTGAGATCAGTATAGGTCTCGTGAAACTGTACCGGGTCGCCTAAGATGGAGCCTCTATGTGTGCTCCGAACGATAGTCGTCGTTGATCAATTTATGCATACATTATAACAGACAAGGAGCGAACGCATATGACAGCCAGATCGTGAACTTCAGGAGGGATTGACGTTTTCCACCATACGCGTTTGCGGGCGATGAGCGAGCGACGCGGACGGCCGCCCCGCCTCCTGCACATGATAGTTTCGAGTTCACAAGGGTCAATACGCCTATCTTTCTCTCTACATACGTACATGTATTATTATGTATAGTAAAAAATTGGCCCGCGTGCCTCGTAAGCCGTTTCTCTTCTTCTAACGATCGAGTCGCGCATTTCATATAGCTCGTTCTCTCGTATTTACCCAGTCAGCTGTTGGGGTATTTAATTCTGCCAGACAATGGAAGGATTAGCCAAGTGGCAACAGACGTATAGCAGAACGCAATACTCCATTACGAATGGGTACAATAAATGGATGGGGTTGCATTGAACGAGCTGAGGAAAACTGCACTCACCTAGACTCGAAAGGAGCGATGCATCCAACGTAAGATTCTCCTTGCTCATATGCGCACGTACGGATGATCGTCCTCGTAGCGTGGATGTGCGTATACCTTCATTATCAATCACTCGTACTTGCTTCTTTCACTCACGATCTTGCGAAAGAAAGAAAATCCCCGAGAAAGTGACGCCCAGCTTTGGCACGAACGGGGAGACAGGGAGAGCGGAAAATTGCGGCTCACTTTTGAAAATCCGTCGTACGTGCAACGGAAATGAAGGAGCGAGAAATCGGCTCTACATAATAAAACAGGATGCTTTGGACGCGGCCTTCGTCGCTCCCCCGCGAGTTAATCTACAAGAAGCCGCAGCAGCAGCGGCAGATGCAGTTGCTTCGCTGCGAAGAGTGTCCCAAGGCAGAAAAATGACAGCCGCCGAGACGACTCGCGCGACCGCACCAACGACCGCTGCTGCGCCGACTGCCAAGATCCGACGATCCGATGCCGTTGCGGGCCGTCGGCACGAGCATTCGGACACTCGGCTCAGCAGCACTCAGCAGCAGCGAACGGCAGCTCAGCTCTCTCAGAGGCTCGAGACACTACAGCGCCGATATGACTGATGCACATACCATCTCATCGTTTGTTATTATTATTCACGTGTAGTACACAAGATACGAGACGTATCATCGCATAGATGACCGACGCGCGGAGCGCTCGTGCAGTGTCGTCTGTCTCGGCGCAGCCTCGTTGCCAAAGGTTGCCACGAGGGCGGCGCTCCATTTCGCCACCGCTCGCGTGGGAAGGGCGCGCGATTTGAAAACAGACACTTTTTCTCATCAGTTTCAACGAGATTTTTATTTTAACGAAATTCGCCTTTTCTATCATTATTCGACATTTCATCCATATTTGTTCAAGTTTGCGTGAGTGTGTCATGTTCGTTTTTGTTCGCTAAAGTATCATTAATGTTTTATACGTTAATTGCTAGGGATGTTTTCAGACGTTTTTCGTTTCGTTCGAAGTTGTCAGCGTAGTGGAATTGAAATCGCCAATCTCTTTCTTGAACGAGTGAACTGCAACAAATCACGGATAAAATTAATTAGTAAATGATACTTTATTACATGTAAATGGTGATTATTGACTTCTTAAAAATTAAGCTTAACATAAAGCACAATGCAATCGAATTATTATTATGCAAAATAAGTGTTATTTTAGTGCCAATTAAGCGAGATAACTTTTGCTATTACTTTTTTCGCTACACATCAACTGTATAGTAATTGTTTTGCGTTCTACAAGTGCTGCAATGAATAAAAGCCAGCATCAATAGTGCAGAATTAACCAAAAATTTACTATTGTATTTGTACCTTTAAATTGTATCCATGAGAGAAGTTCTTCCTGCCTATTCATATATATATTTGTCTTTATGGAATACAGAAAATTATTCGATAAAGTACATAGTAAAAATATTACAATTTATATCTTCTTGAATATTTATTTTTTGTACAACGAAATATTCACAAACTTAGATACTATTAAATTAAATGTAAACTTGATATTGGAATTAAAATTCCTTGGTACAAGTATATTAAAAAACTAAACGGTATAAAAATTATGTAATTTTCAGTGTTGCTTTTAGTGCTAAATGATAAAATCATAGACGTGCTACCACCGTAGTCATTATATATTTTTCGACTACCCACTAAAACCAACACTGGCATTTTTGATACATCGTAGATAAGTATTCTATACAATTCAACATATTTATTAGTTCTTTGTACTAAAATTAAGAATTAACGTATTATTACGAGACTCAAATCTAGATCATTGGACATATGATACTCATAATAAATGTTTAACAACGTTTCATTTACTGTAGTTACATCATTAATGAGATGAAGCCCAATAAATTTTTTACAAAAGTTCATACAGATTTAAAAGGATGGTATTTTTTTGAAATACAGCCCATAAGAATAACTGATTTTCTATATTCGATATTATTTTTAAGGCATATATGTATATACTTAGAATTATCATTGAAATTTGTTCAAAGTTATATTATTGTCTTTTATATAAAACGAATTGAACTTCAGAACGACCTATGAATCATCGATTTCTGGTAGTAAAAGCAGCTAGTTAATCTCATCCAAACTATCACATCATAATATTGACAAACGAATATTCACTAACTTCGCCCGACTGAAAAAGTTTTACTCGAAATTTCTTAATTATTCAAGTTTAATTACGTAAAGCTGAGTGAATTTTTGAATCTCCCTGGTATAGACGTCGTTATTTCGGCACGACACTTGATCAAAAGCGGCGAGTATTCGTCATGAGCTGATATCGGCTGATATCTATTATTTCCATTGTTATAAAGATCTGCGAACGAAATATTTTCAAAGCACTTTTAGAGACGTTCAATCTTGCCATCCAAATAGCCACCCAAAGATTTCATGCCAAGCTTCAATAATGCGCACACAACTTGCCTCCGTTGCAATGATAAAGTTTGTAAGCGATAATTTTGCGTTTCGTTGTGTATGGTGTGGCGTTGCTGACATACGTTGCAAGATTTTTTTTTAGCAACTCTTCATATGTTCTCCACAATTCGTTGAATGAAGATGGATGACGTTGTAACAGAGTGATTATGTGAGTCGTGATGGATGATTTTCTTATAAATAAACTGCATAATTCGTGAATCGAACAATAATTAATATAATAATTGTATACATTTTCCAATAAGCTCAATACAATGATGAGTTGTCGTGAAAAGGTCATAATCGAGCCTTGAATATTTTCAGACGAAACTGCCACACTCATTTATCAAATTTAAAACACACTTGGAAAAAAAATACTGTACAACGACTTTTGTGCAAAAATGAAAAATTAAAAAAATATTTTTCTTTCAAGTATTTACTTGAGCTTTATTTACCCTGTATCCTTACTAAAAATTTTAATGAATACCATAACTTGAAAGCTTTAAAAATCATGAGATATTCCATTTGCATACTTTCATTCATGCGCGTTTTAATTTGTTTGTTATAAAAAGCATAAAGCTTTCTCTTAACTGTAAAGCCACTCGATAATTTACATTCATACTCCCACAGCTTTATGCTTAAATTTTTTGTTGTAGAAATGCATACGAAATTTACCATCGTAATGATAATTTATGAAGAAAATATCGGCCTCTCACTTATATGATTTTGTATAAAAAATATTTTTCTCGTATACGTTGACAAGATATGGAGAAAAAAAACCAAAAAAAAATGGGAAAAGACGGAAAAAGCCAATATTCGATAAAAGTTTGTCGTTTTGCAGTTAATTTTTCAAAGCACTAACCATTGACTCTTTTAAGATCGGTTAAAGACTGACGAGCCTCGCCCACCTCTTCGTCGTTGACGTAAGTTGGCTCCTCGGCCGGTTCTGAGCTGACTCGATAGATGAAAGTCATCATGAGAGAGCCCAAGATCGGCGGTACTCCTGCCAGCAGAAATGGTAACTGATATGATCCTGAAAATGGAAAAAAATAAAAAAAAATAAAAATCGACTTGGTATTGCGGTAAAATGCAACTTGACTCGATAAGAATCTGGTTCTCGTGCTCACCGGTAATGTCGTGAATCTTTCCAGCGATCGGCGGTCCGCAAGTCAACGGTATCGAGCTCATTCCCAGTAAAAAGCCAATAGCTTGGGACGCGTCCTTGCTGCCACAAATATCGAAGGCTATCGGTCCTATCATGGAGATGAAGCAGCCGTCGAACAAGCCGATGCCGAGCGATATGGCCAGCAACAGGTGATACGACTTGGCGAATGCCAAGGTGATCGTTAGACAGCCGATGCTGAAGAACGAGAACTGCTGCAGGAAAATTCGATTGACTCGAGGATGATCGGCTATCCAACCGAAGAAGAGCCGGCCGATGCCAGAACTAATACCGATGCACGTGAGCGGCAATTTGTCATCCATACCTTCGAATTCGTCTTTGACAAATTGAGCGATGTAGACGTACGGAATAAAGTACCTGTACATGATGGATTAAGAGTAACGATTAAATTCATTCGCGTTCGACAATTGCTGCTGTGCAAGACTAACCCGAAAAGTGCGATTGGAATGACCGTCGCCCAGACGAGGTACTTTTTACGCTTCCAGATCGACACGTTCACGGCTTCCTTGAGCATCGTGCCGAACTTCTTCTTTTTCAATTTTTCCACTTGCTCTTCCGCTGCGGGCCCTGCGCGTTGGAAATATTAATCAATATCATTGCAGGGTTGTGCATATACTCGCAACGCAGGGACTAAGTTCAAACGATCCCTCACCTGGTATAGGTTTGAACATGAGTGCCGAGAGCATGACGATACTCGTGGGTATGGCCAAGCACTTAAAAGTAGTTTCCAGACTAGTTTCCCTCAGGAGCAAATCGATTATGTAAGGCATGATGATGGTGAATGTTGAACTGCCCAATGTCACGACGCCGTTAACGAAGCCTAAGTGGCGCTTAAAATAATGGCCGAGTATAACTAAGCTCGGGGTGTAAGCCAAACTTGCACCCGTTCCGTACATTATGCCATACGTCAAGCATAATAATTCAACCTGCATCAGAACCACGAGAGGTGTCAAAAAAATACAAAGGGAGTACAGGATTTATTTACTTATTTTTTTTGCTTATTCACCTTGCTAGCAACGAAAGAGGACAGCAACAAGCCACTGACGGCCACAGCGCCACCGATGAACGTCGTCTTCTGAATACCGATTTTGTCGGTCAATATGCCAGCGAAAAATGACAAGAAAAATGTCGTACCGATCGTCAATGATCCGACAAGTGCTGCAAATTTTTTTCATACATTTATTCAAAACAATTATTTCATAAAATTTTGTTGAAATTGGCATGATCTCATATGCTAATAGTAGCTTTGAGCTCGTCAATTCAAGCACTCGCTCGATCATTCATTTCAACGATTAGATGAACAGCAGTGAGATCCCAGTTAAAACAAAAAATCTTTTATTCGTTTCGACTTATCTATAAATATAATAGAATAATTAAAGATTCTCAGAGCCCATTGATCTTTCCAATCATTTACTTCGAAGCAATTTAGATAGTTAAATGTTTTTATAATTTAAAAACGGTACCATTCAAATGATAAGACTTTTATAAATCAGTTTAATTGTTCGAACCTATCTCTTATAATAGTATAAGTTATTTCGATGCATCACGGAAAAGTTATTTTCTACATCTTTAATTGCTATCGACGAACATACACTTTTGTCATATTTTTCCTACTTCAAAGAGTATTTCTGATTTTAATTTATTAAAAGTGCAAGGAATTGATTTTTGCGACGTGCGAATATTCGAATTACGTTGACACGGCTCGCTTTGAAACTCTGAAACTTAATCACACTTTCATCTTGAATGCGTCAAGTCATCAGTTACACACTTTAATTATATTTCACCATACTCAAGTTTCACGAGGGTAAGTTTTTAAAAAGAAAACATTAGAATAAAAAGACACAAATCTATAATCACGCATAAAAATCCTTTTTTCGACAAGAATAAAGTTTTTATTATGATTGAATTAAAAGTAATTAATTGTCGTTTTTAGTCTATTCAAGTTTAGGCTTTTCATACTGTCCCGTTATTTATTGAGATTTAATTTCAGCTTATTTTATGACGATGTATCAAAATGAAACTTACATGCTCTCGAGGCTACTTCGGTTTCCTTGTTTTCCACTAATCTTGTCTCGAGCTCTTTATAAATTTGTGAATATGAATTGATAATACCAAAAAGCACGCCATTTACTAAGAAGCTGGCTACCATGATAGACCAGGCTCTGAAAATGCAATCGATCGATTAGTTTCGGGCGCTGGATAATAGGGTAAATTAGCAAATTACCGGACACCACCGTCAGGTGGGATACTCTCAGTACCGCTTCCAGTACCATTGAGTTTTGCACTTTCATCTTTTCCAACAGATCCATTTTCGTGTGATGCTTTTGAAGCCGGTACAATTACTGGCTTTTTCTTATCACCTTCTTCGCCCTCGTTGAGCATTGTGTATCAATCTAGAATATATCACGCAAATGATTTATTAATTTTCATTTTATACACGAAGATTTTGGTGCTGAGATATATAAGTATATTTAGCGGAAAATGGAACATTATTTTGTCTTAAATGATGATATTTATTGAAAGTCTACACGGATGTTGCCCATCCAAATTTTATCGTTCACTGTACAGAAGTATGGTTCTTCTTAATGATTGTGAAAGTATTTTAAAGGCTCGAGCCAATTTCCGATTATCAAAGCTTGTGATCGCATCACAAGTAATGAATAACTAGCACTTTATCTCGTTCGTTTACACTCGCTCGTTATGAACAATAACATTGTCTAAGGTGATTTGTGGCTTTTAATTCATGCACCGTTACAAATAGATATATTTAATTGATTCAGACAATTTTTTATACCCTCTGTTAATCTACAGTTTTATACAAGCAATAAAATGATCGAGTGTTACGACCATTAACAATAGTAGTGGAATTCATGCTGTTTATTTAATCACGTTGATACATTGTATAAAATAAATGAAGTGACTATTCAGGGGAAATTCGTGCACGAAATTTTTGATTTTCGTATAAGAAATTGACAATTTTTCAGAGAATGTATTTCATGGGTCATGTTCTAGTCGATGGTGCCTACGAAGAAAATCCCCGTTTTATAACAGCATTTTAATTTTTTAATATAACAATCATCCAGCTTTTTTAGATCTAGGGATTACATGTTTTTGGAAAAGTTTAAATTACAAATCGAATGAGTGGTTTTTGAAAAAAAGAGAATTTCTTCGGTACAGGAATTTGTCTGCATTTAAAAAAGAGATAGTCTTCGTAAGCACCGGCGTAGTATAAATATCTTTGTGGTTAATTTGGGATGATATTTCATTAAAGTACTCTATTATCATTATGCTAACATTTTAGAATGATTCTTACCAGGGAAAAGTATATTAGAGCAATAAAAAAAAAGTGCGATGAAAAATGTCTCTAGTTGTAAAATAATGATGATTTATAACAACTAGATAGCCGTTAGTATTCTTACGAAAATTACGCGTTCTCTTATTATTATTATTATTTTTTTTTTTTTTCATGAACCATTTTGTTTATGAAATCAATTTTGTTATTGCAACAACGTTATAAGAGTCATGCACTTGGGATGTTTGATGCAAAATACCTTGATTACATTAAAATGATACAATTTACACAATTAAATAAGCTTGAATAAAATCAAATTGCATCGTAATTTTGAAAACTGTTTTCCTTGAAATGCGGAAGTTTGATGGGGAAGAAAAAAATTTTGACCCACATCGGGCAAAGTTGTTTACGACTTCTTAGGTATTTTTGACATTTTATAAATATTTTCATTGGGTCTGACAGACATTTGTTTCCTTTTATTATTGCACTTATGTTCTTTGGTCTTTATTTGAAAAAAGCGTTGGTATTTTAGTGTAATGCATATTGTTGCAATTTTGGCTGAAGAGTTAAAACTTGAAAATAGTTTACCAAAAAATTTTGAGTACCGAGGAATGATGAAAGAAAAAAAACTTTTATCAATCATTGAATTATGCGGGATTCGTATGTGTATAAACGTTGTCCGTACAATCCATTAGAAACATGTTTCAACAAATACAACGACGAATATTTAAATTTTATTTGCTTTTTATCTATTTCGTTCTAGTTTCACACTACACTCATAATGTATAAGAAAAAATTGTTGCGAAATTATTTCGAATTCATAAAACTTTAGCAAAATTGAATATACATGAGTTTACATTCGCAATCTTTCTAATCATTCATAATAATAATATTAATTGTAGAAAAAAATTAGCAATAAATCTGAGTCAAGCGAGAATCATGCTTAATAATATTGATACTTGACATAGCCTATATTTAGATGCTGCATGTGTAGGTAAATCTTAGAACGTCAAAATCTCAGTTATTGCGTCATACAACTACCATAAGACTTGAATCAAACTTCTTTACTATTTAAATTTCAAATGCATGTTGCATACTATTATTTGATGTTTTTTGATGTTTATGATAAACATTTTTTACGCGCGTAAAGGAAATCCAATACAATCCATGACGATCGTGATAAGAGCATGCCTTTTTTCATAATGTATGACACTATCTACGCCAACATAAAAGAATTTTATCCTTAGGATTTTGGGTGGCGAGAAAAAAAACTACTTACTTATGAGGAAAAAGTAGCAATCAATGAATCGATTGTTTAGGTAAATATTATTAGACGTCGAGACAATTATATTGATAAGATATTATGGATTCAACGTTGATATTGTTGGCTCAGTATGTGTGCTCGTAATGATAATTTTTGGCGAAAAGATGTATACAAAAGTCGAAAGATTTAACATTAAAATCACAATGAAGAAGGCAATCTAATCGTAGGCAGTTTTTGCTCAATAAAAAAATCTGCCGCAAATGGGAGAAACTTATCGTACGTTGAGCGAGCGAACAAAAGATTAAAATAAGATGTGGTACCAAATGATCCCCGTGAATAAAATGAAGGAAACAAGACAAGTATAGAAAATGTTGTGGTCCAGTGACCGCATAACCACGATTAAAACAAAGGGGAAAAAGAGAAGAAGAATGACCGAAGCGAAAGGCAGCCCATAGAAGCCCTATATGGTGAAGCAAAACAGAGCGACAGTAGTACATCTAGAGGTACGTGCAGCACAAGCGACGGCTGCACCCTGCATAGGTGCGTGTCTCGAGTGTAACCAAAGAACCGGCGATTGCATTTCTGCAATGTACCGACGGCCCAAGCAGCCATAATATCTATTAGGAGAAGTCGGAGCAGCTATGATATTATATGGCATTGAGTAATGACGTCGCGCAGCCCTCGCATTGTTTTCTCCAGAGCGGCTGAAAATAAAAATCAAAAAAAGTCGCGAGATAATGCTCGAGTCAACTCGATGTGTTTCTCAACCGAATGACATTTTTCTCGCGACTTGGATTTCGTATGTGGAAACGATCCGAGAGCTCTGCCCACTGTCGAAGCGGTGCAGATAGCTCTTTCGAATGATCCCTCCCTATCGCGATGCTTCGCAAGCCCGACACGAGCCGAAAGATTGATGTATTTAAGCGACAAGTGCTTGCCCGAGCACATTGTATATTTGCTATTATAATTGGCATGCAATAATTCAAACGCCTATGCAAAGTGTGTCTGCGTGGTCGGCAAACACGTGGAGGCGAGCGATCGTCTTACGTCGCGGCCCGCGCATACATTATATTATGTATCCGCATCGATATACTTTTAAGGCTTTTATTATTATTGCTACTACTTTTTACGACTGGTGCGCGATGAAAAGCTTCACGGCTCGCCTATTAAACATCGCGTATTATCGCAGCTTATAAAGCCCAGTGGCAGGTGCAGCACGTTCACGAGCGGCATGGGTGAACCGTGCGATCGACTGAATCGACTGAATAAAAAAAACGCGTTACTCAGACAGAGAATTCGATTTGCCGAGCATAGTAAAAGTCTAATAAGCGTGGCTCGTGGGCCAGAGTACAGCCGCCGAGCATGTGACTGCATATAAATAAACTCCAAGGGGGGCAACAGCCTGAAACCCAAAGATGAGCAGCATGAATGAAGCTCGCGCCGCCTTTGCACTCGCAATCGCACGGAATATTATTCAATGAAACGAGGAAGTAACATTTTGGAGATTTTGCTCACTTTTTCTGCAGGCCACGGACCACCGAACGTCGATCGAGTTACTAAGAAATCCCGATGGTCATGCACTGTTCACTCATTCGTGAATTTTTCCTGATAATAATTACACTTTTTCCTTTTCATTCAACACATTGAAAGAGCAAACAAGATATCAGGTAATATATTGAAAAAAAAAAAAAAAAAAAAAAAATAGAGTTAGCACGTGCAAACGTTCTCACAGAGTTTCGCCGAGGCTATAACACGCACCGACTAACGGCGCGATCACAACTGAACTGTGCAATCAGAGATGGTCTTCGCAGTTCGCGCTCTCTCCTGCTGCCGCCGACTGCCGTCGAGTGTATATCATATGCGTGTGCGGGCATATTCACACATACGTACATGCGTACACGTGTACATGGGCTATATCGCGTCAACCGTGATAGTCCAAAAAAACGAAATTGAAACAAAGTACGTATTATTGAAGAGAAAAATCAAAAATGAAAATCCTGAAAATGTCAACCCTCAAGGTCCATCCCTTGGGGTTCTACAGGGGCTCAAAGATGGAATTTCATTTTTCAAATTTTATCCGGCATTCCTACAAAAAATTTGAAAAATTAAATTCCGACTTTAAGCCCCTGTAGATTCATGAGGGCTGAAATTTTCAGGATTTTCATTTTTGATTTTTCTCTTCAATAATACGTACTTTGTTTCAATTTCATTTTTTTTGGACTATCATAGTTGACGTGATACAGCCCACATATATATATGCCTACACATACGAACATGCTTTATGTATACAATATATACATGGCCGATTCCCTGACAAATCAAATATCCAAACAATGTTTTTCAGCTGACATAATTATCATATTGTTTGTCGCGTTAAAACTAATCTTGAATTTCATTCGAATTTTAGGACTCATTCGGAGACTACTTTTTCAAGATCTCGAATGGTCTATGCTCCAAACTTTATGGATTTTCCTTGAATAATCCAAAATTCATCCCTCGGCCTGAGTGACTTGAGAAAAAAATACGAAATAAATTTTGTGAAAATTGTTTGAAAAACCCCCACACTACGAAAAATTCTTATAAAATTCGAAACTACAACAATACTGGTGATTATGATGTCAGTAAAAAATTTTTTGATTCACTGAAATTTTGACAGAGAATCAGCCATATATATGTACAGTTTTAGCTACTCGACGTTATCGTCGTCGCCATTGCTGCTGTCCGTCTGATATATCGTATATTGTAGAAACGCGCACGTTACATACGTATACCAGTGGTCCCCCTCGCCTTTTCCCCGCGAATTTCATATTTCTGCGCTCATTTTTGCAGAGCTAATAGTGCTCTGTATCATAAAATGTAAAATGTAAATATTATAATAGTTTAGTTCCAGAATAAAGTTTAAAAGATTGTCAGGCAGCAATACAACTAATCCATCTATCAAAATAACTTACTTTCAAATGATACTTTGCAAATAAATGAGCGGCACCCAAAATTTCTGTTGTTTGGACTGTTGTTAAATTGATTCATAATTTTTTCGCATTCAGGTTATGGCGTTTTTACAACTGTCTCTAATTCTAAAATTCTCTCTCTAAGTCACGTGAAGATTTTCTAAATTTTATGTAGTATAATAGTAATAAAAAATAAAAAAAACATCGAGCATCGTTCAAAAGCTGAAATTGACATAATTCGCGATTTTCTATTAAAAAATAACAAATTATAAATTAGCGCATATACTTTAAAGATTTAGTTCGTGATTGAAATGCCCAATTTTATTGATTAATTTATATGTAATTCGGATTGGACAATTGGGTGTATTTTGCTAAGCACAAAGCAATTTACAAATGTTAATACGATTCACATTTTAATTCAATAAAAAAAGCCCAATAAACACCCAAAGTATTTATGCAGAAATTTTCCGAAGTTTTTTTGGCAACACTATTAAATTTACTTTGCATAAATAACTCAACAAAATTATTTAAGTAGAATTGCTGATTTGAAGCATTTGACAAATAAAAAGGGTCAAAAGAATAAATCTTTTATTATTTTCTCAACAAGCAAGAAAGAGGTCTAGAAGCTGTCTATTTCTCATAAATACATTATTTTGTTCATTCCTTAATTTTTGTACTTCAAAATTGAAATTGTTTTTGAACGTTCTTTGCCCTGACTTGGTTGACTTTATGCATTTTTATCCAGCATCAAAGACAAGTAACGTTTGCTTGGAATAATAATTAAGAACGCAATCAAGAACTTGAGTTAATCTAAGATGTAGGCCAGATGTTCGATAGATGTATCATGCACGTCGAGACTCGATATGAAAAAAAATTCAATTCGACAATTGCACCGCGTGCTCATGCTGTTTTATTATTGCCGCAGCCGGACGTATATGAAGCATCTGTACATGCATCTTTTAGTGGTACATTGGGTCAAGGCACATTCAAACGCGTCTTGGACTAATATTTTCTTCCAACGTTTTTCTAATCCAATTTTATAATAAAAGTCTATTTGAAGTTTGTTCCCTGGTATAAATAACTTGACGATGAGAGAAATATTGTTCGAGTGAGAAAATCGCGGCCCGCGTATTACTGCAAGTCGGGCAAAGCCGCTGTAGACTCCTGCTCATACATCAACGGTTTAATACACAGTTTCGCGGGTGAGAGAATCGGTAAACGAATCAAAGTCAGGATTGGTAGGTACGCATAAATGAATCAGCTCGGTGTACATGCAATTAAACATTCAAGAGGAATGCAGCGAAGCAAGAGTCGATAACCCGCTAAGCACGCGGAAGTGCCAATATTCGTATTGAGTATTGTACGCGAGTTAAAACTATAAGTTGATACATAAGCGCGTACTCAAACATCAGCTGCGTGCAAAAAGCTATACATGTATTAATTAATTCTATAATTACCGTGCACTGCGAATAGTTGAACATACAACTCGTTCGGTGAAATTAAATTCCTGCGTGTTTGTATCCATTCATCAATTATTATGCTGCACTATGAACGTCGCCTTCCCGATGGTACGTTGGTACTTTACATCGAGACCTATCACCCCTATATGCAAGCGCTTTTCTTCGATAAAACTCAAATCGAGCGAACCGTTTATCACTACAATTATTGAAAACTGCTGATATGATAACTGCACTGCAAAGTTAAGGGGGCAAAAAGAATAAATGTGTTCTTAAACAAAAAAAAGTGTAAATATATTCGTATTTATTATTATATACACTCATGCAAGCTGTGAGCGAGCGATGCAACAATCGCTATTGACGTTCTCGTTTGATGTACGTGGCAATAAAACATTACACTTGCAGAAACATTTCTGCACGTGAGAACAAAATGAGAGAGAAAAAAGAGTCGACTTATGTGGATGAAAATGTGGTAACAAGTGCACGGATACTGAAAGAACCAAATGATATATGATATTTTGCCTGCGGAAAATGGACTGGGCATTTTTATGATTGCCTGCTATATGCGTATATTCATTACTGCCGCGTCGTTGACCCGAACATTAATGAGTGGTTGCGGTGAAATGTATCCAGTTTAGAGAATAAAATTCCGACAGTTTGTACAGCGATACACAACGTTCTTTAGAGTAAAAATGACCAGCACCTTCATTTTTTCCAATTTTTTGTTTCATGTAAAATTGACTTTATTCTTATTATTAATATAATTATTTTTGTTTTCGAAATTATCCTTGCTTTTACTAGTGTAACAATGAATTTTTCATGACGATATGATTTGCGATAGACCGTTTGCATATTGAAATTCTCCATTATTTTCGTGTTCACATATGTCCAATGCTACAAGGCAACTTTCGCGCACTACTCGCGCTTCGTCTTTCACGTATTTTTTCAAAACTTCCCAGCAGTAAGGTGAAGCTATAGCTCCCAAAGCTTCGGCGCACTCGTGTCGAACCATTTCATTTTCATTTGGATCTGCTAGATTTTCTTCTAAAGCTGGAGCAGTGATTTCTTCTTTTAATTGACCCAAAACAAAAGCTATTTCATGTCTGAATAATGCACTACTTGCTTTTAGACCTAAAATAATTAAAACTTAATAAATAATAATTGTTGATAAAATTTAAGGAAATGTCTATTCAGCAGCCCAGGCGTGCACTGTAAAAGCATCTTTACATAGCGAAAGACAATAATATTATACATTATTTGAGATGGTGAAATTTTAAAAGATTGCATGTGTCCTCACTGCTGCATAGACACTCTCAAAAATGTAATAGAGTTTTGATTAAACAGAAATAAATACCTTTTGACAAAGCAAGGGCACTATCATTACTTTTAATATTTCTTAAATTAAACATCGCTCTATATCTGTTGAACAATGTTTCGTTTTCATCTAGCAATATTCGAGTCAATTCATTAATATCTTTTAACCCAGATGGAGGTGCTGGATCAACAGTTTTGTAATTATCATTAAGATACTGTTCATCATTTCCAGTTTTTGAATAATTTATTTTATTAAGAGCAATCTGACATGTTTCTGCAACTTCTACAACAGGATCTTTGCTGTATTCTTCTAAAACAGGTATTACACTGCTATTGCCAATTGCTCCCAGTGCCTCTCCTATAAAATGTAAAAAAATAACAGTGAATTATTCTCAGAAGCAATTTTTTTACAACTAAATATGTACGTACCTGCTTCATGGCGAACCATTGCCTCTTGCTTTGTGTCTTTAAGAACTTCAATCAATTTTGGAATGGCTTCATCAAGTTGCATTTGTCCCAAAACATAAGCAAGTTCATGTTTCAATAGAGAAGATGGGTCATCAAAACATTTAATGATTTGTTCCACTGATTTTGCCTCTTTTATATTTTTTAAAGTAAACAGAGCACGAAATCTTTCATTTAATGGTTTTGTTTTATCATTTAAAATATTGCCCATAGCAACAATTTGTTCATTACTGATTGTGACGACCATGATGATGTGAACGAAAATGAACTATGAATAATAAAAATAATTATCAAAACAAAAATGATTTACTTTGTTGGTCAATGATTGATAAAAAAGGGAATTTTAAAATACACAAACATTTTAAAAATGAATGTTTACACTTAGCAAGTGCAAGGGTGCCACTAGAAATTTGTAAGATTCCAAGTATGCGATAAAAATTGGAATTCAATTTGACGACTTTTTGAACGTTGTCACATTATATTGTTTAATAAAAAATACTATAAATCATACGTCATATGGCCTTCGACTAAGTACTGGCCTTAACCTGCACCGCACGTGTTTATATATTATTGAGCGACTAGGAATTGACTGACTGCTAGCTAGTTATCGATGCAAACAACAGAGGCACTGGTGGCTTTAAATCCAGCAGTCCAGAGTCCAGACTCCAGACTGTTCTGACCCTGCGCGCAAAAATATTCGATCAGGCAAGTCCAGGCACATCAGCTGTCAGTAAAATGATTATCATTCAAGCGGTCTCATCTGATTTCGGATCTAATACCTACATTTTCTATCTATATATAATACTTGCATTACTGATTGGAACTGAAGAAATAAAGTTAATTATAAATAGATTATACGCTTTGAGATGAGATCCGCAGTTTTGCGAGTAATAATATGTCATTTAACTCGAAAAAAATTACCTCAGATTAAATGAAAGATGTCGAGCAGTAGTTTTCAAACTCAGCCGTTCCTGACGAATTGAATTAAGAATAAGTAGTGGTTAATTATTTTGAATTTTTTTAAAAATTATGATGTATTTAATTGAAAAAATGCATAGACAGTTCCCAGTTGCCTCCCAATTTTTTGACTTCATGATTTAGTCTTGCGCTGTATGTACAGACTACAGAGTAAGCTGAAAGATGAATCAAACTTTTCATCTTCCACCACCACGCTGCAGCACGTCGACAGTTCGACACTCGGACTCGACTACACTACACCAGTCCAAGAGCAGTCGCCGACTGCTTCGTAACTCACGGAAGATCCCAACCACTCGTCTTTCTAGATGCAATTAAGCATAAAAATAACAACAAATTTCAACTAATTATATAGTAGGTTATGTACAGATTTACGAATTTGACGTTTTTCTTCTAAAATTAGGTATTATTTTTTTGAACGAATTCGAAGAACAGTGCAAAATGCGTGCCCAAGACAAAGACAATAAGGCTATTGACAAGCTCAAGCAATTTTTTCGCTTGCAGAGGGGTGAGCATTAAATATTACCCAAAAATTTGTTCAGAAAACTCTTATGCTTAGACTTAATAATTTTGCTTAGGTACCTTCAAAAATAGAGAGGACATGGCCTTAAATAATACCATCGAGAGGGAAATTAGCCCTGATAGTACAATTCATTGTCGATTAAAAGCTATCAAGGACTTGAGTGATGCAGTTTTGAATCATCAATGGGAAGATGTATGTTATTTATAAAATTGTATTTGATTATAATTCCTAAAAAACTTCATTAGTTTTATTGTACTCTAATTGAACTTTAGTGTGCTGCAGAAAAACTTTGGTTTCTTGTGCAGGACTTGATTAGACCTGATGTTCCTAAAGAACAAAGACAAACAGTACTACATTTTTTAAGATGTCTTGTTCAAGGACAATATTCAAGACTATCACCCTTGATGAGGGTAAAATTTTTTAATGTCATAAAAGAACATAGCATTCCTGAAGATGTAGAATTAAGGTAAACAAAACATAATTGCATTTGTAATCAGGAATAATTTATATGTACTTTATTAACACAAAATATTGAATGTATCTGGTTATATTAAATTTGCAGGCTAGAATTGCTACAGAGCTTAACTGATAATGGCAAAGATATAGTGCACTTGGAAGAAAAAATGGGACCTTTTCTTTTGACGTGGATGCCAATATTTACTGCAACTGATAGAAAACGAGCAGCTGAATTCTTAACTTTACTTGTTAATGTAATAAAATTTAATTCTGCATGTATTGATGAAGATATAATATCAGGCCTGGTTTTGTAAGTTTTATTAAAAGTTTAAGTATGCAATAATACTAATATTAATAATGTTTATAAAATTGTCCATTATAGATACATCTGCCAATTATGTTATAACAGTAATAATACAGAAATAGTATCAGCAAGTTTAGAAGCCTTAGATGCTATTGTTTGTTATAGTAAATTGCAACCAGATTCACTGCAAACATTCATAATAGCTTTGTGTAAAACTGTGAATGATCAAGCATACTGTCAAATGAGTTGGAAGGTAAATTGTTGATAATTAAATCCACTTGCTAATATTTTTATTTATTATAAAAAAAATATTCTCTCTAGATCATGAGAAATTTATTAGGAACTCATATGGGTCATTCAGCATTATACAAAATTTGTTACTTATTGCAAGAGCAAAAATTTCAAAAAGATGTTCGTTTACTCAGAGGAGCTGTATTCTATGTAAATATGGGTCTGTGGGGAACTCATAGAATAAAAACACTTCAATGTACACCATCGTCTGTTTTACCATCCTTTTATCAAGCACTTCAGTGCAATCATCCAATTGTAATGTACGAAGTTACAATTTCTATTCAAAGATTAGTCAACAAATTTGGAATGGATCTTGTTCAACCAACTTGGAGCATTATTTTTGATATAATTGAACAAGTTATTGTCCATACAGGTGAAAAATATAATAATTTATAAAAATATTACAATTTTCTATTTAGGAGATCCATACTCCAGCTTAAAATTCAAATTTTCAAAAAAATTTTCTGAAATGTGTTAGAAAATTTGAATTTTCTTAAATAATATTTTATTAAATCTATACTTATGATAAAATTGTAGAAACTAGTAATCAACCTGCTACAAAACAAGTATCTACTAGTTTACATGAGACCATTACAAGTTTTGAATTGCTTATGGACAATAATTGTTATAATGGTAATGTACAACGATTTTATGAATTGGTCGAACGATGTTCAGATTCAAGACCAGAAGTATCAGTCATTAAACTAATAGACTATCAAGCATCAATGGTTGCTCCAACAAATTATTTATGGCAGGGCAAACTTAGTGCTTTGATTGAACGTTACTATAAAATTGAAACTAGAACAAATATCCGTCTAAAAGTGCTCGATGTTCTAAAAAATGTTATTCAAGTAAACAGGTAAAAGCATAAACATTATTTTTTATATATTTGCGATTTATACATAACAATAATATTTCTTTCATTATTCTTAAGATCTGGATATGAAGATGAGCTTATTGAACGTATTGTTGTACCCCATTTACAACATGTTGAATTGGATCCAGACATCATTATTCGTAATTACGCTGCTAATGTCCTTGTTGATTTATGTTTGGAATGTGAATCAAAAAGGTGCATGGAACTTTTGGATATTTTAGAAAGGGTAAAAATATCAGATCTGCACATTATTTTAAAATTATATATAGAATGTTGTTATTTATAACACTCAAAATTTTGTAGATTATCAATCGACCTTTCACATTCACTGCTCTTGTACAATCGGAAAATGAAATTCGAGATGTAAAAAGTGCCGTTATTGGAGTCATAAAAATTCTTACACAAAAAGTTTACCGATTACCGTCATTACATGCGATACGTGCATACCAAATACTCGTGAACCATCTCGAACTTCACTATCAAGACCCCAAAGAAATTTTCCGGGACATATTTAGTGTCAGATACTTGGTAAGTAGCAAAGCGAAACATCAACTTGACATGAATTAATATAAAAATTTAACCACGTATAAATCATTTTATAGATTTTCGAGTGCTTTTTGAAGGCTCGAGCTAATTGTTTGGGTCACTTAGGTTTTCCTGATCCGAAATCTGGCAAAATTAATCGTTACAGTCCCTACCTGGTTCTAGAGAACCCAACGAGTTTAGGTAATGGAGGAAGTAGCGCAAGCCCTCCGCCAGCGAGTCCCGTTCCTACCCAAAATGCTTCGTCACAGATAACCAATATTTCCTTAGCCCATGCCTGCAAGGCTGTCACAACTGCTATTAAACAAGAGAAAGATTGGCAAGTCCTACAGTTGATTCTGAAAGAACTTCCTCAACTTTTGCAGAATCGGGCTTTGATTTTGTCACGACATAGTAATGACATTGGTTCGCTAGCTCTAGCTCTTTGTTCAATGGTTCGAATAAGTCATTATATTAATAATTTCATTTATTTTTGCAACATTATACTTACACATTGATTCTTTATGTTTTTCAGATCGACGACAAGACATTTCGACCAGCAGATTCGTTGCAGAATGTCCTCAGAAATGTACCATCAAAATTTACATTTTCCGACCTCCGCGCACATTTTTTTCCTGTACTAGCTTCGTGTACATCGTATCACGCACACTTCGATCTCAGCACCCAACAACGACTCATTAAATGTTTTGAGGTGAGTATCAATGACGAAGAATGGAACATTCAATGTTTATTGTTACGTCTTGATATGTTATTAAAGGATGGGCTGAGGACAACCTGTGCTAGCCAATGTGTAACGAGTCTCATGACATGCCAACTTGAGATGCGCGACACAATCAGCAAGCTGGTATCCAACGTTCTCCTAAGCATATCGAAAATTTCTGACACTGTGCTAATTGCTATTCCAATTCTTGAGTTCTTATCTAGTAAGTTATTCAAATAATTAACTTAAATTACGAATTTAATAATTACATTCGATATAAGTTTTACAATACAAGGTTACAAAAATTTAATCTTTTTTAGCACTAGCGTGCTTACCCAAAGTTTACTCTAACTTCACCGAGGACCAGTATATGGCTATTTTTGCTATAATGTTGCCTTACACTAAACCTACGAAGTACAATCATTATACAGTATCACTAGCACATCACGTAATAGCAGTATGGTTTTTAAAATGTCGATTACCACTCAGGCGAAACCTTGTCAAGTACATTACCAAGGTAGCAAGATTAAATTTATGTGACTACAAATCTCATTTTACGAATAATAAACTAAACTTCATACCTTACAGGGTTTAAAAACCAATGCAAAAATGTTGTTGGAGGAAGGAAATATTTCTCAACCAGATCTTGGTCTCAATGAAGACTCGTCGAATCGTAAACGTAGTTCGAGCTTGACGGAACAAGGCAGTAGAGCTCGCAAATATGTCAGAGAAAATCGTGCATTGGATCTAAAGCCACCAGTTGACAAAGCATTAATGAATTTTCATGTTGAACTCACGGAAACTTGTATAGATCTGATGGCTCGTTACTCTTACTCGATGTACTCGGCTCGTCCGAAGCGCCTCTTGGCTTCGGATTTTTTGCTTAAGGAAGGCCTTTCGGCTAGTTGGATTTTAGGTAATAAATTAATCACCGTAACGACCAGCGGATGCAGTAGCAAAGCCATGCGTGGTCCACTTTGTGATAACTGTTGGTCAGCTTGTAAAGCCAGTCCTGATCAAGCTCGATCAAGTCACTCAAGCTTATTGCGAGCTTCGAGTGCTGATGGTAACAGTGTGGAAAAATTATCGAGGCAATCATCCGGTGGTCACGCGAGTTCCAGTGCCAATACAGCTGCTAACTCACCAACAGATGAAAATAAACGAGTAGTTGATGACTTGGAAACCGATCCGCAACAAAACAGCGAGGCCTACAAACTCGAGCAAATCATGAATGTAGATAAGCAAGAAGAACACCAGCCTTGTGCTTGTTGGTGTCAAGGTTGGGCTGAAATTTATGTTCGCAGGCCTACGGGTGATACTTCTTGGATCATGAGAATCCAAAATATGATGCATCTAGATATGCCTTATGATTTACCATTGGATAATTTGACGGCTTTGTATATGCCAACTACTGATATGTTACCTCAGAAGACCAGTCAAGACCTTGTTTCTGAATACTCCGAGGATGAGTCTCATTTGGTAGGTTCATATTTACCAAGTGCCACTTTACTTACATTAGCTGTACGTTCATTTACATGTTTTACATTAGCTGTATGTTCATTTACAGGATGCAATCGATAAAAATCTGGAACATATTTCGCCAGACGTTGGTAGTGTACTAAAATCTGGAATTTCATCGTCTTCGGAACCAATTGACATACCCAGCTCCCCAGCACGCCCTAGCCCATCTAAACATAGTCCCCGAGATAGTCTTGAAAGCCTAGAAGGGGAAGATGGTAGGTGTTAGATAGACTAAAGGATTCTCGTCTTTTGAATTGAATAATAACAATATTTAATTTTGTTCAGATTCTCGAAAATCGAGAAATCCAGTGCGGCGATCGAATTCTAGTCCTGAGATGAGCTCAAATTGGAAAAATCCATTTTTAAGTAAAGATAAACTGACAATACCAGCAAACGATCGAGATGACTCTAATTTGGAAATAGATGTCAAAAACGATTCAGATCTTAGAAAACATATAAAAAATTCTTACTCAAAAGACATGAGGTATAATATTTTAAAATGCATTTGAATAAGTAATTATGAAAAAACGTATAATTTGTGGATGTTAATAGGGTTAGTTGCGAAGCCATACCGGAAGAAATCTTGGGAGCAGGTACGACGCCACCGTCAAATGATAGCGGAGCCGACAATATGAAAGTAGGATTACCCAATCAGAAAACATTTCCAAGTGCAATAACTATTCCGCCTATCGCGATGGTTACGGACAGTAACGTTCCACAATCGCCGACGAATCTTTTGTCATCTCAACTCGCTTCAAAACCACCTCAATCTCCTACTCAAGTCTACGCTAGGCACACAAGTTTAGACCTAAGTCACGCAAGACCGATGTGGGATTCTAAGCCACCGATAGGCCGTAGTCCATTAGTCGATAAGGTATTTCAATAGATTTTCTCATTTGATTATTTGTGATAAAAAAAACGAACATTTATTTGTATTAACAGCTCAGAGAAGATAAAGTCGATACTTCAGCTTTACCTCCTATTGGTTTCCGCGATAGAGGATATACGATATCAGTGATGAGTCCTGCAAAAATAAGAAGAAATAATTCTTCTAGAGTGAAAGATCTGCCTTCAGTGATGAATTTACCTAACAATAGAAATGGAATTAGTCCAAGGTAGAAAATATTTTCCACTTATCTAATATATAGATCATTGAGTTATGAATGACCAAGTTAATTCGTTTTCAGTTTCATATTCTTACAATTGTATCACGCGGCGTATTTTGGTCAGCCTGCTGATAAGCCATTATTGGTACCCCAAAACAATACTTTACTGCAAACATCTATTACTAATTTTGACAGAATTCAACCATACGAAACACACAAAATCGGTGTACTTTATGTTGGTCATGGTCAAGCACAAAACGAAACGGAAATTTTGTCAAATCAGCATGGTTCATTGCGTTACACGCAGTTTCTCCAGAGCCTAGGTACGCTCATACGCCTTAAAGATGCAGACGAAAGTATATTCTTAGGTGGACTCGATCGTAATGGTGAAAATGGAAATTTTGCTTATATTTGGCAAGATGACGTAACGCAGGTGGCATTTCACGCGGCAACGCTCATGCCAACTAAAGCCAGTGATCCCAAATGCACGAGTAAAAAACAACACATAGGAAATAATTATGTTACTATTGTATACAATGAAAGTGGCGAGAAGTACGACATTCAAACTGTGAAAGTATGTAGATACAAACAACTGGTTGGATTTATTGTGAATGTACGATAAAAATTAATTTCTTTTTTAGGGACAATTCAATTACGCTTGTGTTATTATTCAACCTCTTGATCATGGTACGAATCACGTTACCGTTCAGGCAAGAGAAGAACTTAGTGAGCCTATTGGTCATAGCGATCCTAAAATTATATCTGATCAAAATCTAGCTCTTTTAACACGACAATTAGCCGTTCATGCTAATGTAATTATTTTTTTTTAAAATGAATATATTAGCCTATTACATAATACTAATAATTGGATTATTAATAATAAATAAATAAATTATTTACTTTCAGCTTGCTTCAATGGTTTGTTCGTCGTTGAAACAAAGCAACCGCAATCCTTATGCATCTAACTGGTTGGAGCGATTACGTCACATCAAACGTTTAAGAAAACGCGTTCTCGAAGAATCATTGCGGAAAAACCCAAACGACGATGTGTTGAAAAACGCACTCGAGGAAGAAGATAAAATGAAAATAGTCGATGATCTCGTACAAGATTTCACCGATTTTACAACGTAAAACTAACAGAGCTTTTTCAAGTCAAAAATATTGTGATGTAGTTCTATTATATGTAAAATGAAATTTTTAATTGTAAGCGAACAATCGAAAAAAAAGTTCACTTTAATAAAGTATATTTATGATAAAATTAATTTATCTCAATGATCATTGCATTTGGTCGTTTGAATTTCCCGCCTAGTAGGTTGTTGATTTACGAGTCTAATGTGAGAATGAGGATTCAATGATAAACGTAGACTTGTCACACTACTGACTACACTTTCATACCTAGAGTGTAGATTTCTATTAAACTTGCTGACATTGCTGAAAGCACGTTTTTATTCCTTGAAAACCCGGTAGATTAGTCAATTTTCAAATCATATTATGGTGGGGTTATAAAATATTTATCAATTTCAGTAACTATTTATACGTATTTTATTGTTTTGGAAAAATAAAAATAAGTGATTTTTTACATGGGAATTACATTATGAGAATGTTGAAGTTCCTTTTAATTCTTTTTTGTTTTTTTGTAATCACTTACTGTGGCAGCCCAGAGGAAGAGGGTGTCAAGTATGCAGACAAGTGTGAAGGTATACTTTTAGAATTGTTTAATTTTATGAATGATTTTTTAAATGTATAATTGAAACTTATTTGTACACTTCAGTTTGCAAAGTGGTTGCTATAGAATTGCAAAATAAACTTGATGAGACTGGAAAAACTAGCGATGCTATTGAAATAGGTTATTCCCTGGATGAAATAGCTCCCAAAAAGAAAATAGCTTATAAAAAGTCGTGAGTATATTAGCAAATGTAATTTTTAAACTTTTTTAATTTACCTTAAAACCATCATAAATTATTTTTTATAATATTTTAGGGAATTGAGATTAATTGAATCGTTAGAGGATGTTTGTACTAGAATTTTAGACTATAATATACATAAAGAAAGATCTGATAGTTCTAGATTTTCAAAAGGAATGAGCCAAACTTTCAAAACATTACATGGATTAGTGTAAGTTTTAATTTGAATTTTTTTTCAATTAACATGAAAGTACAGATAATGATATCTAATATAATTGCAGTGATAAGGGTGTTAAAGTTGATTTAGGTATTCCATATGAACTTTGGGATAAGCCTTCGGTTGAGATAACAACATTAAAAACTCAATGTGAAGAACTCATAGAAAACCATGAACCTGATATTGAAGAGTGGTATTTTAATCATTTAGAAAAAGTTCCACTATCAAAGTATAATATCTTTCATTTTCTTTTTGGTGATTATTTTTTATTATATATGTAATTGTAAATTAAATTTCAGGTATTTGTGTTCAGAAAGGTATTTAAAAGAATTAGATGATTCTTGTTTGAAAGAAAAAGGAGATACTGGAAAATTTGATGCCGAAAAAACAGGAAGTGATAAAGTTCAAGACGAATTGTAAACATTTAAAATGAATTTCAAAGTATACTATATATCATATCATGTGTAAGTCAAGTCAGAGCTGTTAAAATTAATATGATAAATCATATTGGTTAAACAATTGATTGTATAAAAATAATTTTTCACATATGACCATAAATTTGATTTAACTCAAATAAGGTTTTAAAACCTATTATTTTGTTAAACAATTTTTAAATATTGTCTGTTAGCAAAGGATAATTCATACCAAATAAAGTATCAATTTTACGATAAATAACAAATCTATTTATTATTTTTTCTAATTACATTTTATAAATTCATGTAAGATGTTTCAATGTTTTTAATGACACATTATTGGAAAAACTAAAAATAAATAATACTTAAAAATTATTTCAGAGTTTTCGTTGAGTCTTTCTTTTTCTCTCCATACTTCCAAGCCGATTTTCCTCTCAATTCTCTCAACCTTTGGTATTCTTCTTTGAAGTCTTGATGTTCATCTCTGAATAATCCATACCATCGAAGATGTTTCATCAAAACATGAGATTCTCTAAGCCTTGGATAGTATTGTACAATTTCTTCTCTTTTATCTACTGGTTTCTCACTAAAGAGTTTAACAACTTTCATGGATTTTTGATTGGTCGGTCGAACAACTTCTCCAAAAATTCTGTTGCTTAAACGATTCATTCGCTTAGCATAATTTGTAGTTAAATTAGCGAGATTCACGTATTTGCTCATTTTCGATGTTGTTGAATTTGAGTTACTTAGTAGCAGTAGAACTCGCAGAGTACTTGTTTGATCACGTGACACAACGAATACACCAATGTTATGTTAAGATCCAGACACATATATAATTTTTATAATTTCGTTTTTGACCGTTTTGTTTAATACATAATAGCTTATCTTTTACGATTTTAAAACGTATTAATATGCAATAAATCTGATTTGATTATACACAATTTTACTTAGATTAAACCAACTTTTCTTTATTCTTCTTCTTCTTTGGTTCTGTCTAGAAGAGTCAGCGTTGTTATTACGAGCAGCTAATAACATGGCCGCCGCACTGTTTTATCGACTCGATTTCGTAAAATTTTTTAAATTGCGGGAAATGTGTGGTAGAAATTTTTGAGCCAAGATGGCGGAAGGAGATCGGGCAATAACACAGGGCTCTTGTATGGCTATGTGAAAATTTTTTTTAAATGCCAATAAAACCTATTACTACTACTACTACTACACAGGGCTCTTATGGGGCCGAGCCTTAAAAAAATGTTTAAAAATGTATGAAAAATATTTTCAGGTATCGGATGCGATCAAAATAATCTTTATATACGTATATTATTAGAAAAAAAGTTTCAGGCAAAACAGTCTGTCCGTTAACATGCAATTAATTAATTACGACGTTTGGACTCGGTATTTGACGTTAATTCGGCTGCTATGGCTGTTTAAAGTGAGGTAATGAAGAGTCATAGCAGCCGTATTAACGTCAAATATCGAGTCCAAACGTCGTAATTAATTAATTGCAAGTTAACGGACAGACTGTTTTGCATGAAACTTTTTTTCTAACAATATACATATGGCCGATTCTCTGTGAAATCGAATGGCCAAAAAATTTTTTTTTCTGCAAATATGAAAAACTTGCTGTTTCCGATGTCAGAAATGTCCCCAAATTTTATTAGAATTTTTGGGACCATCTATCACTCTTTTTCAGGGGCCCGAAGTTGGCCATTTTAGGGTTTTTTTGAAATTCATGAAAAATCACAAATATTCAAATAATTCCTGGATCAGGGTAGAATGATTCAAAAGTAAAAGTGCCCAGCAACTTTTTTGTTGGAAATTGTCCAAATTTTCAGAAAAAAAATATGCCAAAGTGATTGGA